AAATTTAGTCAATTTTTTTAACCAAAAAAAAAAAAAAAAAAGGAGAAAATTTTTTTTAAAAATGGAAAAATTTAAAGAAGTGGGTGTTAAATAATATTTGAAATAATTTTTTTTCACCTTTCAATTTTTTTTTTTTTTTTACAAACAACAACAAAAAAAAAAAAAAAAAAAAAAAAAAAAAAAAAAAAAAGAAAAAGTTACGACGGGTTGTGAGCCGGGTTAGATATTTGAAAATATACAAAAATCTTTAATTCCCTTGAGAGGTGGTGTATATATATAAAAAATTCATTGTTACCGGACCGGGCTCCTTTTGCCATCATTTAATTGTATTCGAATATACATGTATATATATATATATATGTATATGCACAAATGTTATATGCGTATGCTACATATATAAAAAGAGAAATAACAAATGGACGTTTTGCAGAAATGGAAAAAAAAAAAAAAAAAAAAAAAAAAAAAAAAAAAAAAAAAAAAAAAAATTAAAAAAAAATTAAAAAAAAAAAAAAAAAAAAAAAAAAAAAAAAAAAAAAAAAAAAAAAAAAAAAAAAAAAAAAAAAAAAAAAAAAAAAAAAAAAAAAAAAAAAAAAAAAAAAAAAAAAAAAGGAAGTTTTGCAAAAAAAGAAAAAAAAAAAAAAAAAAAAAAAAAAAAAAATAGAAAATAACAAAAGAACGTTTAGCAGATATTTGAAAAAAAAAAAAAAAATAAATAAATAAAAAGTAGAAATAACAAAAGAACGTTTAGCAGAGATTGGAAAAAAAAAAAAAAAAAAAGAAAAAGTTTAAAATTATAAGAAAACGCAATACAAAAACAAATAAAAAGGAACATTTCGATAGTTTATGAAGCTTATTATATTTGCTTTATGTAAAAAACAAAAAATTCAGCTCTGCGTGAAACATTTGATTGATTAAATACTGTTAAACTGATGATGGAGTTGTTTCAGTAGATCTTATAAATTTTTTAACGCAACATTTAAATAAACATATATAAAAACCTGCATGTGTTCTAATGTATATCTTTCCTCCATACCGTATGCTAAATTCATGTCAGTGCATTTACTCTGGAAAATCCATCAATTCTTTTTTTCTTTATCTATGTATATATATATATGTATATATATATATATATATATATATATATATTTAGATTTTTTTTTTTTGTTGTTTTCTTAGGGGGGAACAGGACATGAAGGGGGGAAGAACCTTTTCACGTGCCTGACCATGTTCATATTTTTTTTTTTTTTTTTTTTTTCAATTTTAATAGTTACAAAGAGAAAAAAAAAAAAAAACAACCTATCTTTCGCTTTGTATTGCTAGTTTATCCGTTTTATGTTTATTCTGTGTATACGACACCATTTTTATGAGCGTATGAATATTAGACTCTTTATGTTGGCAAAATAAAACATGTACAACAGGCAGCTGAATTAACAATCCCCATGTGTCAGCCCCAACGGCCAGCCCAACTGCTTGTTCCTTTATTACAGGAACAGTTTGTTCGCTCTGCAGCAACGTGTAGTACGTGCGAATTACTCCCATTCATTGCATCACATGCACAACATGTAGAAGCATAAATACACACAATACATTTATGCATACATAGCTCCTGAACAATTTCCCAGAAGGTGCACATGTTCCATACCCATCGCACATTTTTTAAGTAAACGTTTTACGCTAGTTTTGTGATATAAATTTTCGTGTCTTATGTTAATCCTGAAATGTTTTTGAAGTTTTGTATGAATGAATCTAATGTTATTCCTTTTTCAGAGTAATAGCATCTCATTGTTCCAGTTGGTTACTCCTGTTCGTTGTTCATACATGTCTCTGTGACACTGCACCGTGATATGCCACTGGATTTTCATTTCGAATTTCCAGCATGTCAAATCTTATTTCATGTCTAGTTCATTTTGTTCATGTCTTTTTCTATTTACAAATGTATGCACATATGATTTTTACACATCGGACATTTACTCTCCCGTGAATTTTTTTACATATATATATATATATATATATATATATATATATATATATATATATATATATATATATATATATTTTTTTTTATATATATATATATATTCCATAATGACAACCGATTACTTTTATGAAATTAGGTGTACGGGATATTATGAGGTTTTAATTTTTTTTTCATATATAAAGAATAACGTTACGTACTTTTATTTTATGTGTTGCACCTTTTTTTTTTTTTTTTTTTTTGGCGTCTGTTTGATCGTATGAACGTGTTCATGTAAAAATATTTATGCCATAAAGGAAACATACCAAGTATATACATACCTATTGAATGCATCCAATTTTGGGTGCGTATAACAAGTATTATGTTGCAAAAAAGAAACAGAAGATGTTGAGATAATTTTTTATTACAGCTTCGTCATTCTTTTTATTTTTTGAAATCTAAACGGGTGTGCGAATAGTATTTTTTTTTTTTTTTTTTTCCCAATTATTTTATGAAGATTTAACAGGAGTATGAATAGTATTTTTTTTTTTTCTATTATTTTATGAAGACATAACAGGAGTACGAATGGTATTTTTTTTTTATTTTATTTATTTTTTTTTTTCATGTTGTTTTTTTGTATGAACACGTGCATGCAAAATATTGGGGCAATATATCATATAATGAATTTAGGAAGGTATATATATATATATGAGTATTCCAAACAAGTGTGCTTAAAAAAATAATATAAAATAATAAAAATAAAGGGGTGAGAGATACATTACATGAAAAGGGGTGGAAAGTGAATATACAGACATACGAGTGTGATACGATAAGAAATATAGAAGAAAGTTATAGGAAGATCATTTCAGCACACCGAAAGTAAAAGGATCAAAGGAGAAAAGAGATAAGACACAATGGATGCTCATAGTGCCTATCAGTTTAAGGACAATTTAATAATAAACATTATCAGGACTAACGATGTGAAGAGACGCTTTTACAGTTACACGGTATGCATCAACCTGTGCAAAAGAGAGCTGTCTCGTTCGTCAATAGTGTCTACCCACGTCGATTCACGCTCAACCATTTGAATTCACTCGCAACCATTTTCACCCCCACAATGCAGGAATACGTTCTTGAGTTTAAAGCTCTGAAAAATCAAAAGATTTTGAAAAAGAGATTCTCAGACTTTGTCACGTTTTACGAACAACTGAAGAATGAGCTGCTTGAAAAGTTTAGCGAATATCTGGAGCAGGTAAGTTCCATTGATTGATAAAAGGCGTCATGTTCTATCAGATGAACCCTACACACGATTGCGACACTTTTATTTTAAATACTTCCAACAAAGCGCGTACAGTTCATCTGCACATGTTCATGTAATTTTTGAAAATTCTTTCCCTCCTCATACTTCCTTCAGATCTCTGTTTTACCATCAAAAAAAGTATTCGGTCGTTTGAACTACAACTTTGTGGAAGAGTAATACATATTTATACATACACAAACGATAAGGAGTGAATTGAAACTAATTTTTTTTTTTTTTTTTTTTTTCAGTATTCGATCAGCACCCCGCACTGTCCTTCTCTCTCACGTAGAGATGGGCCCTATTACTTATTTTTGCTATACGGATGAGAAGAACCCATCCTTATGCATTTATACATGTATGATTTTCTATATTGTACATTTTGATGTCGATTTTTCACGTTTCTTTTCACAGGAGGAGACAAAAACTGGAACTATTCCTGAAGCAGATTTCAAATCACAAGAACGTGTATCTATGTGATAAATTTTATGAGTTCCTATGTTTAGATAACATAACAAAATATCTGTTTAAGTTGATGTGTTCCGAATTGAATGACATAATAAACATCCAAAAATTACTAAAAAAAATTAATTACATTTTGTTCATGTCAAGAAACAATACGTTAAAAAGTGCAGAGTGTGACATTATAAATTTCCTTTTTTATCTTAAAAAGAATCTAAAGTTAAACAATGAAATTAAGTTTTTTATTTTAAACATTTTCCTCCACCATTTGACGTATACGAAGATTCCAGAAAACTTGCTGAACGTGCCTTTGATGAAATTCGCCTTTGAAATTATTCACGAGAATTTACAAGGTATACTGAGAGGGGAGAGAGACGTGGCTATGAGAGAGGTTGCTGCCTGTGCTTGAGGTGTATGCTCTTTGAACTCGAAATTGAGAAATGACCAGAACGGGTGTCTTCAAATTTTGGTTTTACCTGAACGGGTCGCGTAAATTTGAGAAATCACCTAAACGGGTCACGTAAATTTGGGAAATCACCTGAACGGGTCACGTAAAATTGAGAAATCACCTGAACGGATCGCTTAAAATTTCGGTTTTACCTGATCGCGCATGGCATCTTTTAGACAAAAAAAAAAAAAAAAAAGGTGAAGACTTGGTGCGCTACTCTGTTACGCCGGACGTCCGTAACATGTACACACGGTGATAGACATTTTTTTAGAAAAATATGAAACATTTATATTTCTTCTTTCTCGATTAACATAGGGGAAACGATAAATGAAATGCTTCTGAAGACCTCCTCAGAAACCATTCTGCGAATCGTGGATAAGAAAAACGATGTATTTTTGGAATACTTGAAAATATACAATTTCAAAGAGATATGCACCATTTTCAACATAATTAATAAGAGAAAGGAAGTAAAAGAAGACAAAAAAATTGATAATATAACATTTAATATATACATTTTAATATCGCTATTATTGTTATCTTCAATACATTTAAATGAAATACAGAATTTTTTTTCCGTAAAAAATAATACAAATAAAGGAATAGTGATACTAGGTTATATGTACGATAGTGAAAACATAAACATTCAAATAATATGTTGCATAATTTTGTCACTTTTAGTTATTAATGATAAGATAAATGATGAGGAAGTTATTCATAAAACAAAAATGTCCATTTTATTAATTCAGAAGGAGATTCAGAATCTAAAAAATGTGGATTATCAGTTGATTGAAATTATATGTAGTAAGAAAAACATAAATTTGTTGAATAATGTATTGGTTTTACTTTTGAAAGAAAAGAATGTTGTGCGACAGTTATATTTAGATGAAGATGATTTCTCAAAGGATCATTCTAATTTTCAAAAATTGGATTTAGAAGATATTAACCCATTGGAAAAGGACCTTTTCTATGAACAAAAAATAAAATGTTCCGATTTTTCAAACAATGATATTATTTTACAGTTCATTTTATTTATTATAAATATTGGAATTAGTGAATTTTTTCTGTTAAAAAGAAATTACAAACACAAAATGAGAACAAAGGTTCTTAATTTGAAATTGAAAAAGAAGTTATTACATGAGGAGAAACTTCGCAGGAAACGTAACAGAAAAAGGCATGATCTCCTCATGCTGAAAAATGAAATTGAAGTAGGCACAAAAAAGGTAGATGCTGAAATAGGTTCTAATAGAATACAAAACATAGATGCAGCGGTGAGTGGTAAGGATAAAAACATACACCAAGAGGAAGAAAAGAAAAAAAAAAAAAAAAAAAAAACAGAGAATACAAAAAATGTGTACAATTACAACATTGCAAGTGTAGATGATATTAGTGAATATAAAAGAGAATGTATGCCATACGGTCATCATAGACAAATGGAATCAAAGCAAAAGAGAGGAATGACAAAGTTTGGATCCACATGGGATGGGGAGGAGGATGGTTATCACGAGAAAGAAATTGATGAATTGGATTACGAGGAAGAGAAACAAAACATTAGAGTTGAGGGATATGACAAAAACAGCGTACCCCAGGGAGAGACGGATGAAATGGATGACACAGACGATGCAGATGATGCAGATGATACAGACGATTCAGACGATGCAGACGATGCAGACGATGCAGACGATGCAGACGATGCTGACGATGCAGATGATACAGACAATGCAGAGGACACATACAGTGAAGACGTAGGCAATCGATTCGTGCAAGAACACGAGCAGGAGAAAGAGACAGTTGAACAGAGATCGACGAAAAAGTGGGAAGAAGCAAACGACACAGCATCCCTAGCTAGTTCATGCATTTCTTCTTTATACTCATTTTCAAGTGATTATGGTAGTACATATAGTGAGGAGGAAGGGGAGAAGAGCACCTGTGATGTAGATAAAAAGTGTAGGGGTGATTCTGACAAGAAGGGCAGTGATGATCCTGATAAGAAGGGAAGTGATCGTGTTAAGAAGACGAACTTTAGAGAGAAGCGTCCAAGTCACATCCATCTAGACATGAGTACTGTAATGAACGTTACGTATGAAGATGATTTCAGTGTAGATTCTGGAAGTATAAAAGATGACATTGAATATTTAGAAGGAGAGCACAGTAGAAAGTGTGAATCAGGAAGAAGAAATAATAATGAGTCGGTTATAACCCCAAATACATCTAGAGAATCAAGGAGGAATAAGGAGAGTAATGTGATTCCATCGACAATGAGAGGAGGAGTTGGAGAAGGAGGAGTGGGTGGTTCTATTAAAATTATTAAGGAAGAGATAAAGGCACTAAGAGATAGTCGAAAAAAATTCGTAAGAAGAATACGTAGAATTAATGAACAGATAATGTTAATCCTTTGTAATGAGAACATGGTACATAACATATTTAAGTGTTCCAATTTGGAGAATGAGAAGATCCGTGTGTATGCATGCCTCATTCTTTCCTACGTTCCGAATCTGAATGAGGTGTTGTCCAGAAGGAGAATAATTGGTGCTGCAGGAGCAGGAGCAGCAGTAGGAGCAGTAGTATCAACAGCAGTATCAACAGCAGTATCAACAGCAGTATCAGCAGCAGGAGTAACTGGGAGAGGAGGTTACCTGAACATGAACAGTGAAGACGGCTTTGGAGGTAGTTCAAATAACAGCTTCAATCGTGAGAGAAGTGGAAACATATCGATGGAACAACAACAACAACAACAACAACAACAACAACAATCAAATGAATTAGGAATGCAGGAAAAAGGAGGAGAATATAATGTAGAGACATTATCGGTGATAAGTCCAGATATCATGCTAGCGAAGAAGAACAACAAGAATTTTATTTGTAGTGTGGAGGGAGATTACTATAATTACATATATCGATTCGACATTTTGAATACATTGATGAGACATGTTTTTAACGAGAATTGCTTCTACAATCACATTTTGTTGCATGTGAAAAAGTTTATTGAGGAACACAGATACATTCTGAATTTAAAGAACTTTAAAATAAAAAAGAATGAATATATTAACACTCTTTCTTTTCAAGACATAAGGAAAAACGTGGATTCGGGTAGTGGAAGAAGCATTGGTAGGATGAATATGAAGAAGAAGAAGAAGAAGAAAAAAAAAAAAAAAAAAATGGAAGGGGAAGAAAATTTCAATCCAGTTCAGAAGACTTGCAGCAAGAGTAGGAAAATGAAGAACTCTGTTTTAAGTGACAAGAGCGATAGTGGAGTGGAAAACATGAAGTGGGGAAGTACCAAATTGAAGGGAAAAAAAAGAGAGAGTGATGAAGAGGTACGTCCTGGTGAAAAAAACTGCAGAAGTGCAATCGTGAAGTATGAAAGGAGCGAAGATGAGAAGATGTATCAGTGTGTACCGTATGAAGAATCTAAAATATATGACCACATGAACTTTGTATTTGAATATGTAAAGAATTTGAGAAAGTTTGGACTTTTAAACAACTTAATTATAGAGATGTATAAGAATATAGGGAATAAAGTAAAGAAGGTAGATGTAGAGTTCATTTTTGAGACGTTGAAAGGGAGAGTAAAGGAAAAAAGAGAGTTAAAGAAAAGCATCCTTAGTCTTAAAGAAGAATATGAATTCGTGAATGTAACATATAATGAATACATAAATTTACAATATGAATCAAACAAACAAATGGAAATTCTAAATAAATTATTGGATGATTTAGAAGAAATAGAAAAGAGAAGAAAAAAAACGGTTAAAAATTACAAAAGTGTACATACCAATGTTTGTAATTATAGAAAAAAATTAATCCATATTGAAAAAATGATTGAAGAAAGCCCTTCAGTTAAGAAGTGTCTTTATGAAGAATTAAATAATATAAAATTAAATATATCACTTTATCAGAAAGACAAAAAAAAAATATATTTTTTTATTTTAATCTACAAATTTTATTTAGATGATTTGAATTCAATTCATAATAAATTAAAATGTATGAATACATCTATTCAAAATTTAGAATTACTTTTTAATGAATTTGAGAAAAATGGAAACCTCATTGTTAGTGAACTAACATATCTAATCGCCAATGATTTAATTTTAATTCAGTTGTTAAGTGAACATATTAACATAACAGTTCATAATGAGAACTTTACGCATCTACTTGCACGTGCTAATTGTATGAACAGCTTTAATCATACCGTTTGTAATGAAAAAAAATTGCTTATTGTTAATAAAAATCGTAGAGAAATAGTGGCAGATACAAGAAACATCTTCCACTTTTCTCAATCAAATGATTACATGAATAAGAGTAACTATCGTTACTATGATTCTCGAGATGGAAACGTGTTCCATTCGTCGACAAACCGAGTTGGGAATGTCAATTCGGCTAGCACTTTAGGAGCCAACATGAGGACAGCAACACAATTTAACAATCGATACAGTGATAGTGATGTCGATATGGATCCTAATAAGGATCGCAATATGGATCCTAATATGGATCCTAATATGGATTCAAATATGGATTCTAATATGGATCCTAATATAGATCCCAATAGTGACATCGACAGTGACTTCAATGTGGGTGACAGAAGTGGAATGGACAGAGGTGCTTCTCGAAAAGGAAAGAAAAGTGACACACGTGTGAGAAGTGGATTTATGAACCAGCGTGGCGATGGAAATGATCGAAATGGTCGAAGTGATGGAAGTGATGTGATGGGATCTTCGCACAGTGGGTTCAACAACGCTATTGGTCGTGATCCACGTCAGCCTCGCCATTTAGACCAAAGTAGTTATCTCGACCGAGGGGACGATGGAGACACTTGTGATCATTACAATAACTATCATGATTTGGAAAGATTGAACTATTTGGATGCTGCACAAGGTGAGGAAGGAGAAGGAGAGTGCATTGGTTCAGCTGACATGAACAAGAGCCCGAATGAAAGAAATTTCTACCCAAAAGGAATAAGCAACCATCGCATGGGTTCCAACATTGGACGTTCTGAAAACAGATTGGTGAGAGGAATTTCAGACACCATGTATGGCCACATGGAGAAGGAAAGATGTCGAGAGGAATACATGAACGGTTATACAAACGTGTATGGTGGTGCAAACCCTTATGGTGGTGCAAACCGGTATGGTGATACAAACCGGTATGGTGATACAAACCGGTATGGTGATACAAACCCATATGGTGATACAAACCCGTATGGCGATACAAACCCGTATGGTGATACTGCAAATGGTGGAAATTCCATGATGAGCGAAACTCAGAAGAGACGTGGTGGGGATGAGAATGATGAGGACGAATTTGGTGACACCGAATTTGTGTCGAGTGACGAGGAGGACTCAGAGTTGAAAAGAAAAATAGATGAATATAACAGTTTCAAGAACAAAGATGTTAAAGATATCGAACCTGAGGAAATAAAAATAGAAAGTCACGCACTTACCAGAGATGTTTTCGAAGAAGTGTTAGAAGTTCTTAAATTGCGAAAAAAACAAATCGAGAAATTGATTTATCAGCAAAATAGTAATCAAATATACAAAAACATACACAAATACAATTCCTTAGTGAACGAATGCAACATGCAGATTCAGATTCACAAAAAGCAATATGCCAAGGTGAAAGAGCAGATAGGTTCCATCGACACAAACACAATGATCAAAAAGTCCGAGGCCATATACAAGTCCATTCGGGAGTAAGTCTTCAGTGCGTCTACTCCAGCCGCTACATCTACTCCAGCCGCTACATCTACTCCAGCCGCTACATCTACTCCAGCCGCTACATCTACTCCAGCCGCTACATCTACTCCAGCCGCTACATCTACTCCAGCCTCTACATCTACTCCAGCCGCTACATCTACTCCAGCCGCTACATCTACTCCAGCTACGCTAGCTACTACATCCGCTACATCTACTCCAGCTACGCTAGCTACTCCAGCCGCTACATCTACTGCAGCTACGCTAGCTATTACATCCGCTGCGGGTTCTATCTCTGGCGCGTGCTCCGCTGCACCGGTCCAATTTTATTTGAACCCCTTTTTCATCCACCCCTCACGCCCCTAATCATCTTGCAGATGGGACGAGAAAGTGAACCTTCTGAATGAAGAAGTGAAAGTGGTAGATAACGAGAAGAAGGAGAAGCAAAAGGAAATTGCACTGGAAAAGAAAAAAGTTGACAAGAAGGAAAAGGAAAAGAACAAAAAAAAGGAAGAGTTGCGAGCTCTTGTAACAGAAATGTATAAACATAATAATCAAATTAAAAAACGGTTTAAGAAGGATCAGAAGATCACTTTGTTAATACTTTACAATTCGTGGTTCATGTTTCATTACATATACATTATATATCTGAATACACTAAAGTTGAAGAATTACCTGTCGTACAAACGAAGCATTAGTGAGGAGTTCCAAGCCTCTGCAAAGCAAACAATCACGAATATAAGCAGTTTTACCGAGCTGATTGATGAGGTTGAGTACTGATCCGGTGGTGTGGCATCGCTTATGTGGCATCAGTTGTGCAGCATCACTTATGTAGTGTACAAGATCAACGCTGCAAAAAAGAACCTGTGTTGATCCTCCAGACTGAGGAAAACCAACTCTCAAAAGATTCAAGACGTCCTGTGCATATTCATGCCACTTCTCCACAAGTGTGATGAAACTGGTTTGCTTTGAGACCCTGACGTATTTTTGGCTGTTTTTTTTTTTTTTTTTTTTTTTTTTTTCCGACTTGTTTTATTCTTCCAATTTTCTCTTCCATTTGTGGATGAAAAAAAAAAAAAAAAAAAAAAACTACACACAGAAGAAGTGGGGAATCTCTCCAAACGCTCCTACATATTTCACTGTACCAACTTTTTTATTTCTAACATTAGTATTAATGCATACTTTTTTTTTTTTTTTTTTTTTCGTTTCTTAACCATTCACATAATATATATGTATATGTAAAGTAGTATAATTTTTAATAAGGTCGCATCGTGCATGTATAACAGGATGAGTTATGTGAGTTCATTTTGTCACTCATTTTGTCACTCATTTTGTCACTCATTTTGTCACTCATTTTGTCACTCATTTTGTCACTCATTTTGTCACTCATTTTGTCGCTCATTTTGTCGCTCATTTTGTCACTCATTTTGTCGCTCATTTTGTCGCTCATTTTGTCGCTCATTTTGTTGCTCATTTCTCCGTTAATTTTGCCGTAATCTTGTTAAAGACGAATAAAAAAAACACGGGTCGAATGTTTCAAGAAAAAAAATTTTCGAACTAAGCAAACTGAATTTGGTTCTAGGAGAAGAAAGTATATCACATGTAAAAATAAATTTGGTGAGATAAGGGAAAAGAAAAAAAAAAAAAAATGATGTCAGATATGAGAGATGGGCTAAGAAAAAACATTCCCTCCCTACCTCTACACACACACTGATTTACTCACACGCACGTAGATTCAAAGAAAAGAGAAATAAGGGAGAGTAGGAGGGGTAAGGAAGGAGGTAAAAAGTATATGTTATTATATTTATATATAAAATAAAACATGTTGGTTATAAAAGCACTATTACAATTTGCTTTATTTATTGTTACAGATGTGGATCGTTCGTATTAAAAAGTTCACTTTTTTTTTTTTTTTTTTTTTTTTTATTTTATATTATTTACTTAAATAATTCGATAACAACCTTTTTTCTTTTCGCAAATCATCACTTCCTACATTCTTCACATCAAACCCCCACCCCATTTTTGTTTTGGATCTTCCTTCATTTTTATATACGTTATAAAGTTGTTGTATGAATTATATTATACTACACTCCATAGCTGCAAATTTTTTTTATGCCTTTTATTTTTAGATTACATAGCGAATGTTAAGTTTAACAAGATTTACTTTGTTGAGAAGTGATAAATTCGGCAAGTTACACATATTTAGTCACGTCGGTACTTTTCACTGTTCACGTGGAATCCCCAGCATGGACATATTCCTCATTACTGGCAACCAAAACAAAAGACGGGAGTTCCAAAAATTAATGGATAATGAGCTGGACGTTCACTTCATTGACATTGACTGTTAGTAACCACACACACCCCTCCTCACCCTAGTACAATATAACATACATTGAATTTTTTTCCTTTCTGGTGTTATATCTTGATTGTTTGTGTACGGTGCTTTGGTTTGTCTTTCCACTCCGATGCACGCTCACTCCGATGCACGCTCACTCCGACACACGTTTACTCCGACACACGTTTACTCCTCCCCCACATGGCAGTGATGGAACCCCAATCGGACGACATCGTGAGCATAAACGAATTCAAAGCAAAGAGGGCACATGAAATTCTGAGAAATCAGAGTGGACCAGATGAAAAATTGAAAAGGAAATTAGTTATTACTGATGACACGGGGCTATACATGGATTGTCTGAATTCCTTCCCTGGACCCTACATGTAAGAGAGTCCTCCCTCAAGCACACCTGCGTGAGAATATCCAACTGAGATATACACATACACACACATTGCACATGCGAGAAGGGACGGAAGTTAGTCCACGAGAATACACATTGCACACATGCAAGAACAGATGGAAGTTACTCTACGCACAAACCCCTTTTCTCTATCATTTCCTGCGACGCCACATTACTTATACTTTTCTATTACATTTAAAAATTTTTTTTTTTTTTTTTTTCTCATTTTAGCAAATGGATGATGAAAAATGTTGGATCCAAAGGAATAGTGGACATTGCTTCGAAACTTCAGGTTAGTGGTTCATCTTGCCACTATGGATGGTTGAAATGTGGTAGTTTTTTTTTTTTTTTTTTTTTTTTTTTTTTTTTTTTTTTCGAAAAGATCTTTTGACCTCTAGCTGACCTTATTTTTTTCTTTTTTTCCCTACATTTTCCCCTGAACAAAGAACGACAAATGTCACGCCATTTGTGTTTATTCTGTGTACGATGGAAAGCAAATATATTCCTTTAAAGGTGTAACTCAGGTAAAATCCATTTCTGTATTTGTATTTCCTTTTATTAGCAATTTTTTTGCTACCATTTTATATGAACCATTTTATGAGCCATTTTTTTTCCATTTATATCAACCAATTTTTCACCATCTTCTTTATTTTCCTCTTTATATAGGGAAGGATTATGGGACCCTGTGGATCAAATGATTTTGGTTGGTAAGGAGAAAAATACACACCAGAACTTTTTTTTTTTTTTTTTTTTTTTTTTTTCCCTTTTACTACTTTTCTACCTATTTCCACATGCACACGGTTTTTCCTCGTGTTATCATTTTTTTTTTTTTTTTTTTTTTTCTTTGGTTCCCTCTTTCCATCTCTCCGAAGGGATAACATTTTTTCCCCAGAGAATTCAAATAAAACATTTAGTGAAATGTCATTTGACGAGAAGAAGAATTTCTCCCCTCGATTCAAAGCATTCGTGCAGTTAAAGGTAAATATTAAAATGTCCATAAAAAAGTAGGGCATGAGAAAAAAAAAAAAAAAAAAAAAAAAAAAAAAAAAAAAATACTCTTTCTAGGGATATCATAAAATATAATATCATGATATTTCTCATGATTGAATGAAATAGCTATTTCTCCTGATGAGGAGAAAAAAAGAAAAAAAATTTCTGAATAGCAAGGTGAATTCTGTTATATACATTTCCAGCAGACACAACAACTTAAAAAGGTGGCATTTTTTTTTTTTTTTTTTTTTTTTTAAATCCTTCTTTTCCACATCCAACTGGTTACTTCTTCTCACCCTGTTAGGCATTCCTACTGCAGGAATTGAAGAAGCAGAAAATATGAGCTCTTTTTTTTTTTTGTATCTCTCCTAATATGTCTATACATGTACACACATATGTATAGACATATCAACTTTGTGTCTCTTCATGTAATTTCCAATGTGTATCGTTAACAATGCAATAAAGTATTACACCAAGCATATCACTTCACTGTATATAATCCAACACTGCTAGAGGAAAAAAAAAAAAAAAGAAAGAACCAACAGGGATGGTACCAACTGTGGTACCATTTTCTCCTCCCCCTCATCATCATCCCCTGAATGGATACTCAATTAGAAACCAAACAAATATATATATTTTTTTTTTTTTTGATAATTTTTATGAACTGAAAAAAAGAAAAAGAAAACATAATGTTTCAATTAGAGGACTTAGACCCAGAAGAGTTGAAAGTGGAGGCCAATATGAAGTGGGCGAATGTAAGGAAAAGCCAACCTCTGGTGTTCACAGCTGAAATGGCTTGACGAAATGGGCAACGGGAACCCTACTTACGTATGTCCATGCATGCCTGCACGGATTTTTCTCCATATGCATGCGTGCACGGATTTATGTCTGTTAGCACAGACGTACTCACAATTACACACTTCTTCCTGCTCCTCGCAAGGGTGAAGCCGAGGATGCAAACACACTTTGGAGGATGGCTCTCAAGGAATGTATCAAATATTCCATGAGAGGTAAGAGTGTTTAGCTTAACAACTAGACACAGTATAAAAGACAGGGTGTGTATTGTGTTTGCTTTCCTATCCTCATTAATGAGACCTACATGTGTGCTTGCTCATGCAAATGCAGATTCACACTTGTACTTACACTCATACGTGTATTTACAAATATTTGTCTGCGACGTTTTCATCTGTACCCTCCATTTGCACAAACCTGAAATTGTACGTGTATAGTCCAATTTTTTGTCGTCACTAACTCTCCATTTAACACACACACACACATGTAGGTTTTCCTACGAAGAAAAATCGAGACATGCAACTGAGTCTTCGTCTAAATCTATCACTTTATCATTTTAAAAAAAGAGAATACCACGAGTGCATTAACCAGTGTGATATCATTTTGGAAGGAATAGAAGGGTTAGAAGCTTTGTTAACCCGGTACGAAGAGGAGCAAATTGATTTGCAGGGAGAGGGGAAAGAAAGTTCTTTGCCTGAACATGTTCAGGCAGAAAAGGAATTAAATGAGGTAAAGGCGGAAAATTATTCACATGATAATACTGATACTGCTGCTACTGCTGCTGCTACTGCTGCTGCTGCTACTGCTACTGCTGCTACTGCTGCTACTACTACTACTACTGAAGAAGAAGAAGAAGAAGGGGTGATGAACATGATCAAAAGGGAAACTTTGATGAAGATTTTCCTTAGAAAGGCAAATTCATTTTTACATCTACAAGTAAGCTGAGGCAGTGAATATGATATACTATGGGTTCTCCTCACCAGATTGAATACGAGAGTGTTGGTGTACTGATATCAGTTATGTAGCATCGCTGAAGTGGTATATATTATGTCTATCCATACGTGCACATAACCACCATCTACACATTTTCCACTTTCTATTTTGCATCTTTTTTTTTTTTTTTTTTTTTTTTTTGCATAACAATTTATTTAATCATGTACCTACTGCACTATTCACATGTGATCCCATTTACAATGTCATCATGCCTCATCACAGGAATTTGAAAAATGTAAAGAAAATATCAAACTGGTAAGGCGAATCGACAAGTGGAATGTTGAAGCCATGAATTTAGAAAAGAAGCAACAGATAGAACAGATTCAGTATGAACAAATGCAGAAGCAGTTGTATAGAAGAATGTGTAATGTGAATGCTTCAAGCGATTCCAAGGGAATGAAATAAAAATCAATGGTTCGTCAAAAATGAACTCCTTTATTCAGAGATGCACACATTATATTTTGATAGGAACCTTCAAAACATTTAGAAGATATGTTATCGAACACATGGCAAAAAGTGTGAATGTATCTGTTTTCTTCACACGAGCATTTCTTGTAAAATAAAAAAAAAAAAAAAAAAAAAAAAAAATGCATTATTTGAACACTACTGGGGCAGACAAAATATGATGACCAAAAAGGTCTTCCCTCGAGAGTTTTTGTTTAGAGACGGATAAAAAAAAATGAGGGAGGTATACAACAATGCATGACAAATTACAACCCTGGAAAAATCATTACAACTATATCCAACCTTTTGCACTTAGTGATATGTGATATGAGCATGTCGCGTGTGTGTCGAGAGGAATGCCCATTTTTTTTTTTTTTTTTTTTTTGAGCGCATCATAATTTTTTCTAAACGCATGCAGACTTATAAAATTCACATATACGCGTTTGTCCCAGCCCTCGGCATCAGTGGAGCTGAGGAGTATATAACCTCTCCAATGATTCTTTATTTTGCCTTAACCGAATGGCGTTCGTACATGCATACATGCACATAGATAGAGTTCTACAAGTTTGTATATGTTTGTGTATACGTCTGTGTATACGTCTGTGTCTGTGCGTGTGTGTATACGTCTGTGTCTGTGCGTGTGTGTATACGTCTGTGTCTGTGCGTGTGTGGGTTGTTTGCCCTTTTACAAGTTGGCTGTCTTTCCATTCGTAGTGTAATACAGAGTTACATTTATTTTTCGTGCTGCGTCTGCTTGTGCACTTGGATTCCTCAACAAATAGGTAGGTGCTGCACATATCAGTATACTTATATATGTGTGTTATGTGCTTACAGATCATGTGTGAGAAAATTATTACTTGAAAAGGTCAGCTAATTTGCTAATCGACTTGATCAAATTAAAAGGGGAAAAATAACTGATACACGAAATAAAGATCATGAAAGGAGATATACTGATAAATTTTTGTGTAGAAACAATATTCCCTTCTTCCCCCCACAGCTTACTTTTCCCAATAGCACTTATTATTTTTTTTTTTTTTTTTTTTTTTTCAATGACAATTCTGATATGAAGGTCTCTCAAACGATAGCCTTTTTAAATGGGGATAGCCATAAGTTATATATTTTATTCTGAATTCATTAACTTGTATCACCATCGCTTCGTATAAGGTCTAATGTGTGAGAAGAAGAAAAAAAAAAAAAAAAAAAAGGAGCGTTGTATAGAAGAGAGAAAACATAAATTGGTTCTCAAACAGGTGTTTATGGAGAGAGGGTTTTCCTGAACAGATGCATAAATATGCAAGGTAAAACTTTTCCAAAATAGCAAAACAAGTTAATCTATTTTTGCCAAATTGTGGTAGAAGTGGGAAAAATAACACAATCCCACTTTTTCCCTTCTTTCCCCTTTTCAATCTCGTATATGTTCCTATATTGGGTGCGAGGATAATTGAAGAAAAAAAAAAGAAAATAAAAGAAAATGAGGCAATAAAATGGGTAGTGTATAATTTTCCATTCTTTTTTTTTTTGCTTGACTTTCCCAATAAGTGTTACAATAATTATACGAGCGTGCTCAAAATGGATATGGGTTGGGTGAAGGGGAACGTCAAAACGGTGTAGCAACATAGTTCTAAGGGGTAGGGAGAATAGGGAAGCGAGTAAAATTGTGCATTGCTACTTTTTTTTTTTTTTTTTTTTTTTTCCATATCGATTTGACCTCATTTTTGACGCATTCTGTTTGTTTCCCATTTTGATGTCAAATGGGTAAATGCATTTTTCTTTATTTCCCCTTGGCTTGGCTTAGCATGACTTTGCTTGATTTTTTTTTTTTTTTTTTTTTTTTCCGTCCCCATTTTGAGCACGTTCATATTTGATTAAATTTATGAACACGTGCAGGTGAAAAAGTAAACAAAAATTTTTGGTTTGCGTCTGGTTAATGTAGAATTTATACTGGAGGGTAAAGAAAGAGAGAAAACTTTCGCTCCATTGCCACCCCTATAATTAGGTTACTGATATGAAGAATATTAGAAGAATGTGTTTCACAGAAGAGTTTTTTACCTGAACAAAATGAATTACTGGGTACACCTCCCCCGTTCCATATATGCATGAATCTACACATATATAAAACTCTAAAGAAGAATTGAATATTTAAAAAAAAAAAAAAAAAAAAAAAGACCCCATGTGCATGGAAAATGATAAAAGTAAAAATTAAATAGGAGAAAAGGAATAAGGAGAAGAAGAAAAGGAATAAGGAGAAGAAGAAAAGGAATAATAAGAAGAAAAGGAATAAGGAGAAGAAGAAAAGGAATAAGAAGAAGAAAAGGAATAAGGAGAAGAAGAAAAGGAATAAGGAGGAGAAGAAAAGGAATAAGGAGGAGAATAAAAGGAATAAGGAGGAGAAGAAAAGGACCCATAAACACAACGGTCAACCATTTCGCAGAACCCGTTAGAAATAAAAAAAACCTACCTTGTCGTTCAGAAAAAAGAAAAATAATATGAGAAGAGAAATATGCACATGCACAGAATGAGAAACTCATTATTTAATTCCACGAAAAAGTTGGAAAACCATACAAGTGAAGTAGAAATCCTGGATGATCCTACGATGGATTCGAGGCATAGCTATAGAGGTGAAGATCTCCTATTGAATGCAACTGAAAAAGGAACAAAAACCATGTTTTCAAAAGGTGTTCATAAATCACCTGAAGAGGTCAGGCTGGTTGATGATACTAAAGAAAATCAACGTGAAGAAGCTTTTTTGATCTCTATCATCGATTCACGTACTAGCCCACGGAATGGTTCAGTTTCGAACAGTAGTGAATATCTACTGAATGATGAATATCAACACGAGGTACATAACAACAGCTTTGGAGTATCATCTCTCCATAAGAACCTGAACGAAAAAGAAAAAAACAATGTTTATAGAAAAGTGGATGAAATATTAAATCGTGATATCACTATTGATGAAGATTGGGTTGTAAGTGATATAGATGAATCTAGGGAAAGTGATGAAGCACATTTAGATGAAAGACCAAAGAGAGATGTTCTTGTGGAGACTGTTACAAAGGAGAATGGGAAAAAATCATGGAAACAATATCAATTGGATCAAAATTTATTCAATTTAGACCAACACAATTTGCACTATTTTTTGAAGAAAGATAAATATTTTCAAACCAAGATAAATGCACGTATGAGGAATGTAGTGTATAGGTACTTGTATCTTCACACAAAGCGAAAAGGTTTGTCAAGACTAAGTAGAATTCGAAGAGGATCAAATAAAGAAGGGATCAATTCGTCAGAAGTTGACAATTTACCAATCGTTTTTTCAGAAACAAATATGAACCAATCATCTGCTTGTGATGGTATAGATCAAGGGGAGAACACGATTCTCCACAATGAACTGAGTGCAGAGACATGTATCAATTCATTATGGAAAGACATAAATTTTTTATACATGGAATACATGATAAGGAAGAAGAAGGTGTTGAAGGTACGAGATTTAAGTAAATATATATATGACAAGAAAAACGTCCATTATATGAAAATGCTTAACTGCAAGAATGTGTATTTGTTGTGTGAAGGAGAGGAAACATTCGCTAGCAACACACCAAATGGTTCTGCTGAGGTAGATACAGACTCATGTGCATCTATCCGAAGAATATACACTTATCATTACACATGCAATAACCATTTCGTGTGCTTACAAAATGGACATGATGAAATACACGTTTTTAGTCATAAAATGCTAAATTTTAATGAACTTATATTTTTTAAAGATAAACAAAAGAATACAACAAATGAAGAAGAAGTAAAGAAGTTTCTCGATGATTTTTCGACACAGAATTATGAAAAAAATTGCAAAAAATTTCTGTTCAATTTTTACTCATATCCTTATTACATCATTAGAGACGACAATTTGAAAAATATAAAAAATGTGGATATAAGCAGTTCAAACCACTTGTGCGTCTGTACCGATGCGGGTATATTTGTCTATCAAATATTTTTCGTGAATTGCAAAATTAGGTGCAATTATGTTGGTAAATATGGCACAAGTTATGCCACATCTAATCATGCCATGTCTAACCACGCCACTGCTAATCATGCTAATCATGCCAATCATGCCAATCATGCCAATCATGCCAATCATGCCAATCATGCGAGTCCTAATAAAGCTTGGAATGGGTGCATGATAAACGAGAAACAGATGTTATACTTCAGCCATTACAATATTCTGTTCCTAAATAGAAATGCGAAGCTTTTCAAGAATGACATGTTCAGCATTGTGAAAAACATACGATTCAAGTATCGAATTTTGAATGTGTCTTTATGTCAAGAATGGCTAATCGTTTCTTACTACAACAAGGTTTCGGTTCTAGAAAAAGGGAGTGGAAAGGTATACTTCGTTCTTCAGTTAGATTCTCAGGGATGTGTTATAGGGCATGAAGCTAACACAAGTGTCCAAACCAAAGGCCCAGAAGTTGGAGTGGCATCATCTGTCATTGAGAATGAACCTGTTTACAATATTCCATTCATGTGTTCACTTGAAGGAGAAAAAGGAGAAATCTTATTTTGCTTAGGGTACGGGAAAAAATTAGTCATAATCGAATATGCATCTAAAATTATTGTAAAAAAAGTGTTTTTTCTGAATCATTCCATACAACATCTAACAAGTTGCAGAAATAATATCGTGATTATATATGACAATAATGAGTTACTTATTTATCAGTTGATTTATGTAAAAAAAGAAATAGTTCTGCTTTTTTTTTTCAATAAACATGTGAAGAATGTTAAATGTACGATTATATGTGACGAAAGTAGGATTTTTCAGTCGTATAGCAAATCCATAGAAGTGAATGTGAAACATATTAAGATAAATAGAGATGATAAAGTTGCAAAATCTATTTTTTATGTATTAAATAAGACTGATATAAGGGAAGAACATGAGATGGATAATGGGTGTGGGGAAGATACTCATGATATAAATAATATTCCCCATGGAACCACTACTTCTGATTGTGATTCTAGTATGAATAATAGCTCCCACCTCTACGTGAACGTTATATACATCTACATTTTGAAGAATGGACGAGTTGACATTGTAGTGGTGAATTCTCTCTCCTATTTGATTTACTTGCTCTTTCGTCATCATAGGTACAGACAACTCTTGATTCTGATGCTGCACTTGTACAATGTAAGCTGGAGTGTAAGGTGGTCATACCATTTACTTTTACACATTCGTTTGTGCGTGTAATCGGGTGATTCATGTTAAACGTGCCTCTTCCCGCCTCGGCACCCCAACTTATGTACATCTGATCTTTGTGCATCTGATCTTTGTGCATCTGATCTGATGTGCATCTGATCTTATGTGCATCTGATATTATGCACATCTGATATTATGCACATCTGATATTATGCACATTCCTACGGATGAGAATTCATGTTGAACCCGTTAACTCCACACCACACAGGGCAACTGTTGCGTTCTAACCGATTTTCCACTGGCTGAAGACGAGAGAAGGAAGAAGCTGAAACCTCTTTTCTACTTCTTATTCGAGACAAGAATAAGAGATATAATAGAAAACAGCAACAAAAGTGAAAGTATGCACATGAAGAACATTCATCATAAGGAAGTTAAACATAAACTACACAATAATAAAGATGATTGTATGGATTTTGAAAATATGGAAAGAGGGTTCAACAATTCTCATATGCTTACATCTGACAAATCTTGGAATCATGCACCAACATCTGATAATTTGGATCCCGAATTTCCTGCATGTGCTCCTTTCATTAATTGTGATGATTTATCAGGGAAGGACATCTCCCCATCGTCACCCTCCTACATATGCACAACTGGATCGTCATTCCATTCATCCGTATCATCATGTGTAAGCATTCGTTCTGATTCAAAGTCATTTCTGGAAGAGGAAGAAGAAAGCTGCGTGAAAAATATATCCGAATGTGAGGCAGACATTTTACATGACAGTGAAGCAATTGGTGAAGAACTGAACAATGAAGGCCAACATATGAGTAACATTTCTTCTGATATTCGAAAAAAAACGGTTAGAGAGAAAGTCATCGACAAGGAGGATCAGAAGGAAGTAGTAGAAAAGCAAATTTACATTAACGGTAAGGCAGTTGCAATGGAATGTATTGAAGAATTGCTGAAGTTATGCATTTTGGGTCTTGAATTAAGCATTAAATTTAACATGAACCTATATGAATACATATTTAAAGTGTTTTCAAGATATAGCATAGAAAATGTGTACTTTTATTTAAGTGAGTACTATATAATCAATAAGAGAATATGCATTACGCACCATGCCTTAATAAGTAACTTAGTGAACTATTTCAAGAGATTCTACCGATTGTTTTCTCTTTACAATGATTCTAATTATGATGATTCTTATTATGATGTGTTTCTCTTTTTCTGCAGCTTTGTTGGTGCCAGGAGGGAACAAATGGGCCAAGCTGTTCAGAGTGGAGATCCCCATCAAGGGAATCAGCTGAGTGAAGGTTTCCTTAATGAGAATCTCCTTAGTGGGTATCTCCTTAGTAAATTCATATTTTCACGTGGAGTGAAAGAGAGGAGAGGCAGTTCAAAGGAGGAAATCCATTTCAGAACACATGATAGATGCAAAAAAAGCACAGGGTACTCTTCTCCCTGTGGAGATTTTGATACACATTTGTATTATCACCACTTGGATGGGAAAAATATAGTAACTAAGATTCGCAGAATATATGCATTCATATGCATAATAAACAAGTTCTTTCACATGTTTGAAAATATGAATTTAGAAATGGATATAGAAAAAGTAATTTCTCATTTTCCAATACATCTAAGTTCGTTTATTTATAACAAACATAATGAAGATAGAATTACAACAGCGGAGTTTTTTATATCTTACCTGATTAGAAAAAAGAATATATTTTTTTACAATTTCTGTAAATGTAACAATTTAAAGAATGATGATTTTCCTATATATTTACCAATGTATATATACAAGAACTTTTACCAATCGTACTTTGCGTTTGATTACATTTTTTCCGTTTTGTTTAAATTTCCATTTTCGATGCGTATGAACAGATATGAACAATCGTCAGACAGAATAATAACTCTGCGTGATATCTACCACAATTCATACGAACATTTCAATTTTGAGGATGTTTCAAATTATGAAAATGTTTTCTTTATATTCCCCCTGTTTCACCTGGAGCGACAGAATCATTGTACGCTGAACAAGACCATACTTTCGCTCTTAAAATATTTGCTCAATCGGCACGACAAGCACGACCAGCACGACCAGCACGACAAGCACGACAAGCACGACCAGCACAGTGCAAATTTCATGAACTCGCCTCAGAGATGTAATAGATGCACTTCTGCCGATCGAGGCGCAGGGACATTCATGAAGTTTCTTCAAAAGGGCGAAAGGGGTCGATATGGGGACAGATTCTACCTGTCCGAAGTGGAAATAGATGCATCTGCCAGCATGGAAGGAGTGCAGGAGGAAGGAACTTTCAGTAAGGAAAAAGGATTGCACCGAATCAACATAAACAATTTCTTCAATTTGGATAAGAACGGAATTTTTCTCCTCTTGCAGTTATCACTAAAAGACACGTTTTACTTATTAAATCGGACATTCTTTCATTATGACTTTAGGGAGAATTACGAGATCGTGGACTTGTTGGTGCATAACTTGTGTGATTTTTACCTGCACATGGTCATAACTTTTATTTTTTATAAAAAATATTTGAAAAATATTTTGAACCAAAATTTAGCGCAAGATATGTCTTGTGATATATATAGAGATATAATATGTGCACTTACTCATTGCATTTCTTATGGCGAAATTAATAGCCTTTCTGTCAAGATTACCCATTTGATTTACACAGAAATGAAAACAGCTGATAGAAAACACCTTAACAGCATAGTCAGGTGGATCATATTACAACTATTTTTTATTAACAAGCATATGAAAAAAATGATTAGCTGTGTTACCTACATGTTAATTCTTTTTTTCATTTTCTCAAATGATTATTCTTCCTCGTTTGAATATTGCACAAATGTCTATTTCGTCAACTTTCTTCTAAGACTCAATACTGGATGGTGGAGACACAATGGGTCTATAACTGTTGAGAGGAGACGTCATTTTGAGAGAGTTATGAAAAGGTGCACTGAATTTGCGAAAAAAAATTACCTGAACAAGGTCAGGCAATATACACAAGAGGATCAATTTTTTCAAATTTTTCATTTAAAAAAAATAAATTTACGTATAAAAAATAGTATTATTAGACAAAATGTTAAAGGTACATCTATGCCACATTGTGATTTGATAAACTATCTTTTAAAAACAGTTTACTCAATTGATGTGATAGGATTGATTCACCAACACAAAGACTTTGGGCGAGAAGAGGGAAACTCCATTTATAAAAATAGCTATAGGAAGGAAGAAATACCATCTGATCAGGTAAGCGAAGATGAATGGACATGTGGAAAACAGAAGTATGATGTGCATAGTGATGATAACATGATTCATCAAAAAGCACGAGGATACGAGTGTTCATTCAAACGGGTTCAGAATAACAGTAGTGCATATTTCATAGGGGTAAATACTAAAATGAAAAAAAAAAAAAAAAAAACCTTAGACATGTCGAAGAGAAAAAAGAGTAAAAAAAATGCTCATCCAACTAGTAACATGTTTTGTGTGGAATTTTGTCAACAACATTATAGATACATCCTCTTGTTATATGTTAAGAGACTGCTAATTATACACAAGTTCCAGACACATGATGAAGCAGATGTATCGAATCGAAAGAGACGCAAAAAAGATATCGGGGAATTGCTAAAATATATTCTTTTTTTCAGCTATGTTAAGAAGTGCGAACCTATTTATTTGGTCATATTAAATCACTTTGAGTGTTGTCATATCATACTGGAGTACTACAGAACCAAGGAAAAATGGCGAGAATTGCATGAATATGTATTTTACAAAATTTTTTTTTTTTTTAAAGAACGACATGTGAAGAAGCGCATGTATGGGTATCTTTTTTATTTAGATGTGCTTCAGCATCTCGACGTGTTCAAGGACCCCTTAGTTAATTACATTTTGGCTACTTATATAACTTTTCACGAGAGGACCGTACAGATGGTTCGAAGTAGACTAAGTCGGTTGAAGAAGCACCATGGATGCTCTCTATCCTTCGGTAAGGAGCATACTCATAAGGACATCATCACATTGGAAAAATTTCCACCCGCAGAGGGAGGAATAGACAAATGTGTACATCTAGCTAGCCAAAAAACGATTCATTGGAATGAACCCGAGTTTCCCATCGGAGAGAAGTACACACAAGAAGATATACAATACAAAGTAAAAAAAAGGAAAAAAGAATTGCTGAATTTATTTTACTTCTTTATCAAGAGTTTAATAGATTGTAAAAACTTTTCCGATTCAATGAAAGAGAGGATGTATTATCTACTTTTATACGAAGTAAAAATGCCACGAGAGATAAAAAAATATCTGTACAGAAAAACGTTTTATAAATATCTTAACCTACTTTGTGAATATGAAAAGGAAAAGGTTTACAAATGTGTTAAGAACATAAACGCAGAAAGGTATATACAACTCTTTGAAAAATATGACAATGTTAATGTTATTTTATTTATTAACGAAAGGCATGGGAATTTTTTAAAAATTATTCATCTTTGTCTTATGCGTATTAAAGAAAATATTTTAAAATTATATGATTCTTTTTGCCAAAATGATAATTGGTTCTTTTCAAAAGAAATGACATATGCTGATGTGTATTCTGTTACCTTTTCGAATAAAATAGACGTGTATAAATTTTATTCTATGCCATTTAAAAGCACGCTTAAGAAGTTATTTATTTTCAAAAGTGATAACCCACGACGTGACATAATATCGACCCCGTGTGTTACCAAGAAACACATATTTTTCGAAAAATTTTTTCGAGAATTGAATTACACTGTGGATTGCACCTCTTGGAAGAATTACTTTGTCATGACATCCTACTTTGGCAAGAAGGGTAGAAGAAGAGGAGGGAGAGTGGTGAAATCTAGAGCCGATATAACCTGTTCAAATATGACTGACGAGAAAAGGGAGAAAAAAGAAGGGGGTCTTCCTCCTCCTCCGCATTGTAGGACTAAATGGAACAAGAAGGTGCAAAGAAAAGATAGCGAAAAAAATAACCTGAACGGCAAGGTAAAACAGAAGCAACTGGAGAAGGCATGTTGGATTTACCTAACGGAAGAATACAATGCGATTTTTCTGTACACGTACATGCTAACATTTATCCTGAGGAGAAACAAATTAAAAAAAGACAAAATTAATGAGTACATTATTTTTTTTATCATTAATGAATGTTTGAAAATTTTTATAATGATTTCTGAACAGGTCAGGCAAAATGAAGAATATGACAAGAAAAAAAAAGTTTCCTTTTTTACGTACATTTTTGAGCAAATTTTAATGTTTGTAATTAACATAAATTCACATGAACATACACAAAAAATATGTAAAAAATTGCTTTTCAAGTATAGGAATTTTCATATGAAACTAATTAAACTCCCACTAATCGAAGTTTTGAAAAGTACGAATGACGCTTACTCATTTTTTAATGACAATTGCATACTTGCACAGAACAGGATACAAAAACAGATGGACACGTACACCTTTGAAAAGAAAAAAGGGCTTGTTCTTGACTTCGAGGTTTCACATTTGCATCCTTTCAACATGGAATTATCCACTCGCTTGGATGGCAAGGAGGTCGTTCCAAAGTTATCAAATGAAAGGCAGTGTAATCGAAAAAAATACATCGGTTCATGTAATACTGTGTATTTGGATAAATGTGAACACGAACATCATTTTTCCTGTTCCCATAAATGTCACTTGTGTGGCACTCTTTTGAAATGAAGACATACAGTTGAAGATGAGGTTGTGTCATCATGTGATTCCTTTATTGTGTGTAGTTAAACTTCTTCACACCATGTTCATGTAAACGCATTTTACATGGTTAAAGTTCCATTGCATGGAAAAATGCTTTTCAATATGGTATGCAAATTTTGTACCTACGTGTGTTAACACGTAACAGTATTGTGAATCACTCTCCTTTTTTTGAGTATCATTTTGTGTGCCATCATCCCCTTAATTACCTCGTATTATACAGACATTAAAAAAAGAGAAAAAAAAGAGAAAAAAAAGAGAAAAAAAAGAGAAAAAAAAAAAAAAAAAAAAACACTCCTGCGTCAAATTGAAACACTTTTAAGTACCTTGTAAAAAGCTGAGTAATCAATTCATATGTTAAGACCCATACTATGATGGATTATTCATCATGTGGAGTGTGTATCCCCTCGTTCACCATGGGCTCACCACCTCACCTTTGCATATATTTCATTTTTGTTCGTACTTTTGTAAATGTGACGTGGGGGGGAGAAGCATCCCGTGAAAATGCATATGCAAAACGTGCAAACAGTTTGTCCCCCTCACCTCAAGCTTCACTCCCCTCTAGTTTTTTTCGTATATAGCTTATTTGCCTTACTTGGCTTATTTTTCTTCATTCTCGTATTTTTTTTTCTATTTTCCCCTGAATGCATGCGCAATATGTCCCGAACAAATAAAAAAAAAAAATCCATGGTTGATTAAGTATTTGAAAAGAAGCAAAACAAAATGACTCCTTCAAATTGCATGCGATACGTTTTTGCCAATTTTTTTTTTTTTTTTTTTTTTTTTTTTCAAAAATAATTATTAACACTCTTTAATGTACATATAAAAATGTGCTAGAGAAAAATGTGGCACCCCACACTTGTATTTTCTCTTCGATGTTTCTCGAAATCGGAGAATACGTCACAAAAAGGGAGGATTAGGGAGTACTCAGTGGTGTTGCATTGATTGGGATGAACTACCGATAAAGTGAACACTATAAGTGTGTGTACATGAATATATTATTCATGTATATATTGTTGCATGCACATATGTATTGTTACATGCATATATATATTATGTGTACCACCCCTGTGTGAATCGGCTTTTCTTTTGGGGGTGAGGGAACGACGCTTTGACCGACTGATCAGATTGGAGGATTAAGAAATTATGAACCATTACTCACGGATTCATGAGAAAAAGAAAACTCTATCGTTCAGCAAAATTTTCTTGGTGTAAACCTTTTGCACCTGCTTAACGGGACAATCACAACATACTTCTCCTTCCACATGATAAGAAAAAAAAAAAAAAGAAGAAAAAAAGAACGAATAAATGAATGTGCCAGATTGGCTTCACACGTGTATTTTTATCTTAAATTATAAACCCTGCTTAAACTAGCCCAAATGGTCACCCTGAATTGCCAAGTAGTACAACAAAAGGTGAGAGAAAAAAAACCACATTATTCCCGATACACAAGTGTATATATAATAAATATATGTAACCAGCAAGGAGCCAAGTGCATGTGCAATTTGTGCATAGCTTTTTTTTTTTTTTTTTTTATTAACCCACCGACAAATGATAATAAGAACGATTATGTAATGTATGCCTCAGGCAAACTTTAAAATCTCCCCCTTTATATTTAGAAAAATAAAAAAAAAAAAAAAAAAAAAAAAAAAAAAAACACTACATATACAGCAACATGCTTAATTTCAAAAATATCCTACTAAGCCATCTTTATATGCGTGAGCATTTTTTATGCCTTGTTCTTTTCTCTCCCCAAACCTTGATCTCAATCCCATTGTGACAATTTTTTTTTTTTTTTCCCAAATTCATTTTGTTATTTTTTTCTTAGTTTTTGTATAACTTTCCAAATACTTAAATAAAATAAGAACGCGCAAAAATAGAATTCATATAAAAACACGTCCCTCCGCCTTTTGAATGAGAAAAAGTTGTAATAAATGAGAAAAAAAAAGTGGAGAAAAATAGAGAGGGAGATGGAGATATGGAGAAAAAAAAAAAAAACACCAATGAGGAAAGAGCTTCGTAGCAAATAAATATATTCACACATGTACATGGTTCATACTTTTGTATGATAAAATTCTGAACGTTCATATTAAACTTTTGAGAACTGCTACTCGTTGCTGCGTTCGTACAGTTTGGGCATATGTGGAAATGTATTCCCCACGTTCCTTTGTTTTATTACGTCAATCGAGAGAGAAAAAAAAAAAAAAAAAAAGCACAATTTTTTGCGAGACGCAAAACATGCACAAGCACACACACACAAAAACAACTCCCTATCTCTCCTACTGCATCCATCTCTCTCACATTGCGCTCATCTCTCACCCCATGTCATGTCACATGCTGAGAGAGAGAATTGCTTTTCACCTTGGTAACATGCAACATTATCCATTAACTTATTCCTCCTCTACAGTTTAGAGATTTGAGATATCAGGCGTTTCTATCCTTAATCCCTCGCACATTATTTTTTCCCCTGAAGAAACTACGCAGGGATAAAGATAGGCGCAGGAATATTCGATTTCCTTTATCCTTTATCAACTGGGAAGAAGATTGGTATATCCCCAAACACATGCACGGTTCAGTATTTACCTGCACGCGTTCAGAAAAAAAAAAAAAAAATACAATACAGCACGGTACATTGCGTTGCGTTACATTACGTTGCGTTACATTACGTTGCATTACATTGCGTTGCGTTACACTACTTTGCATTACATTACGTAGAGGGTATTCCCCCCAACTGAGACACACAACTGAAGCGTGAAGAAGGCCATACAAAGTATTATGAAAATGATGAAGGTAATGCAGTTCTCCATCCTCGTCAGCATGCTCATGTTGATAAACAATGTCATGTGCAAGTCGAACATATCGAAATGCCTCTTCTATGATAAAAGAAATTACGACCTAAAGCAAACATTTTATGTACCAACAAGCGATGTGGATATGTATAAAGCGACCATTCAGAAATTATTAACAAGAGAAATTAATCTACTGGATGAGTCCATGACAAGCAATGAACAACAAAGTAGTGCACAAGGAGGGAACAGCACAATATCCAATTTTGATGATATAAAAAAAAAAGAGGAAAAAAAAAAAAATAAAGAAATGGAAGAAAAGTTAAAATATATTGAAAAGTACAGAAATTACGCAAAAAGTATATTAAAAAATGTCGAATTTAAATGTGAAAATATTGATGACTATGAGTCAAAAGTTAAATGTAATTTGTGTGTATATACAGAAATTGTAAACAATAAACATATAAGACAAGGGCAAATTATCCAAGTTTTTATGAACGAATGTATGTACGGTTTTTACTACTATGACAATATTAACCAATATACTCAGAATAACAAAGCTCTCAGTAGTTTTGATGCTGATGATGATAATGATAATTCCAAAGCCAAATTGGATGACATTTATTTCAGCATTACAAAGGATGTCACTGAAGGAAATACTAGTCAGATAAATTTTTTTAAGCAAACATCCAGCAAATATCATCCCGTATGTTATGTCACAGAGTAGAGGGTTTTTTTTGTTAATGTTCTTTTTTTTTTATGGGACATGGAAAATTATGAACTGGTCAGGTGAACGAAGCTATAAACTGGAAAATGTTATGAACATATCAGGCAAATATAAGAGATATATATTTTGGGGAAAAAAAAAAAAAAAAAAAAAAAAAAAAGTCTATTATGATAGATTTGTAAGACCACCTGCCTGTATACCTGCAAAGACGCAATCATTTGCGAGCTACGCATGTGCGTTTAGTATAACAATCTGTACATTTTTTTAAAATTGTGTAAAGTAGTTTTTTTTATGAAATCTTTACAGCAAATTGGAAAAAGGCTCCCCAAGCATTGTAGCCATATATGCAATTGTGTTAACATGCAACTGTGCTAACATACAACTGTGCCAACATGCAACTGTGCCTACGTGCAATCGTGTCAACATGTATATGTGTTTATGTACCATGGAGTAGTAGTACCCTTTTAAAAAATCAAACATGCAACACAACTTAGCGAAATGCATGAATCAAATACTTGTACCTGCATGTTTGCAATTTCGTATCATCATTTTTTCTCTACTACTGAACCCCAATTTTTTTCCCCTTTTTTTTTTTAAACACCTCAATTAATACATGAATGAGTATAAAAGCGTCTTCTCCCCATTTTGAATGGATACACCCTTTTGTTCATACAAACACCTGTACAACGTTAATATCTTTCTTCCATCCACCCATACGTGATATACAAACTACTGAACACAGTTTCCCTGTTCTTGGTTTTTTCTCGTTTGGAAAATATGAAGTTATGAATCTATGAACCGTAGAAGTGGGGTTCTCAGCACGCTTGGTGTGTAGATGTAGGTGCGCAGATGTTGGTGCGTAGATGTAGATGCGCAGATGTTGGTGCGTAGATGTAGATGCGCAGATGTTGGTGCGTAGATGTAGATGCGCAGATGTAGATGCGCAGATGTAGGTGCAGATGTTCGCTATGCAAACATAGATGCAAGTTGCCGATGCAGATGTGTAGGCTCGGCTAGGGCTGCACGTGCCTGTGGACATAGGGGGGAGGGTGTAACCCCGAAGAGAGTCCGTAATCATATTTTTAAGGTGCGCACGAAATATCTCCTATCCGTGTACATAAACTTGTGGCTGTTGTGCAGAAGTAGTTGGTTTCTAGAGCACTGTGGATTCAGTTTCTGCTGATAAGCAAGGTTAGTGTTGGCATCATTTGGGTAAAAGTCATGCGTTCTTTCTGTGATGTGAAGAGGAATACGAAAGGTGAAATTGCACATGTTTCCATCATCACTTTCATCATTATTGTTGTTATCATTGACATTGTCACCATTGAAAAATTCTTTATGGGATAGAAACCGAAAATAAGAATTGTGATGTGCTTCCATTCCCTTTGGAAGGCAAAAGAAATTGAAGTCAATCAAATAATCAATCTTAACTATGTTATTTCTGAAAGCAGGAATTATTTCTTCGTTCAAAACAAAAGCAACATTTTTTAATGAACACTGCATAGTAGAGATACTTTGCTGAGCTACTAGTTTATAATTTGAGATGAGATGGTAAGATGTTTCATTTGAATCGACAGATGAATATCCCTCATTTATGATATCATTTTCATCATATATTTTATTCTTATTCAAAATCAAATAATTCGTGTTTACTTTTAATTTTTCAACCCGTTTTAAATACACATCTACATGAACAGTATATATTTCTGCGCGTCTAAAATCAAAGTTTACATTCACAGTGCTGCCATATGAGAACGAATTTTTTATTTTGTTATTCACTCCATCTGTTAAAGTAATAAAACATATACTTTTCCCATTGGAATTTATGCGATACACATTTTTTGAAGTGCCATTTGTAATAGCCATCTTTTCTTTTTCTTCATCCCATTCAGATACTAACGTGTCGGAAGTGTCGTGTGTCATGTACGGTGATATACAGTATGATGCACAGTGTGGTTTTATCTTACGTTTATACATACGTCTAAACAGGTTTCTTTCGTGCATGCACTTGATGATGGTGTCCGCTTTGGCATACATCTCATCGAAGGGGAAGAGTTGGTTATTTGTCGCTGTGCTATTATTCACCTTTTCTTCTGACAGATCGGCACTTTGCATTATATCCATTTTGGTGATTTTTCCCAATTTATCCTTTGTATTTCCTTGAGTTAAATCCATTACCCCTCCCTTTGACATTTGAACTACATGATCTTCTTTGTTCAATGGTCTTGACAAGTACTCATTCTTCGTCTCTGAATTAGGAACATTGTCTTCTTCATCGCATACATCTGAAGTTGATGCAGAATCTGTCGTTTCCAAATAGATGTTCAAAACGTCTTCCTCATCAGGGGACGCATTATGAACATTGGGTGACTTGCCAAGAACTAAATTATCATACCATCGTATGGGTTCATATTTCATATCATTAAAGACGAAATTGTTATAGTTACTGAGGTAAAAATTTTGCAGATCCTTGTCGTCGCTCTTGAGAAAGAATTGGTCGACCAGACCATCGAAATGGACATCTCCCTCGTGTGTGTATAGCTCTTTTAGCAACTCCTCATGATCAACATGCGCGTCCTTTTCGCCTGACTCGTTAGCTGATTTTTCGCTCGTCATTTCGCCTGACTGGTCAGCTGATTTTTCGCCCGTCATTTCGCCTGACTGGTCAGCTGATTTTTCGCCCGTCATTTCGCCTGACTGGTCAGATGATTTTTCGCCCAACTTTTCGCCTGACTCGTTAGCTGATTTTTCGCCCGTCATTTCGCCTGACTCGTTAGCTGATTTTTCGCCCATCATTTCGCCTGACTGGTCAGCTGATTTTTCCCCTTGCGTTGCGTATTGGTGATATATTTTTTTGTTGCTATTTTTTCCGGTTTCTTTTTTTTGGTTAGTTGTGGGTTCTAATCCCTTGTGCGCATCGCCTATGTGTGAGGCAAATAGAGGCAACACAGGCACATATGACGATTGTTCAGATGGTGTGGTTGTCAGCGCCCCTCTAGATGCAGTGGATTCCACCAACTGATCCCTGTAGCATGCGAGAAGAACATGCAAGAAGGCATTAAAACTACCAACGTTTTTGGCATCTCCCACAGAGGGAACAAGTTCATTGGTGTAGTAATCATAGTGATGTGCCAGATACAGAAACAGATGCAAAAAGTAAAAGTAGCTATAGTTATAAAGGATATAGTTAAGCATGAAAAGGGAGGAGTCTTCTCTTCTCTGACATGCAATATTGTAAATGCAAACAAGTGAATCCAATCGGCTCTTATTGACATTGTTGTACAAGTAAGATGGGATATGGGACGCGTTAAATGTTCTTTTCTCAAGTGCATGACGACTTGATGGGTTTTCATTTTGTCGTTCTTCGTTTTGTTTTCTTGGGCCGCTAGAGCCGCTCGAACCGCTCGAACTGCTTTCGTAAAGTGTAACATGGAAGTTGTGATAAAGATACTCATATGCAGTATCCCTTTGGCTAGTTTTATTCCTTTCCAGGTGGGGATTGCGGGGGTTATGGGGTTTGATTGGGTATAAGGAAAAGTCTAGCACAGGTGAATTGGTATACTTTGAGCTTAGCAGATGTAAAGGGACGTGGTGTTCATATTTTTTTGTTACAAATTGGGTTCTATTTATATATAATCTCTTAACTGCCTGCACGTACATGCAATATTTAAATTTTATGTTTTTCCCGCTATATGAAGGGGGAAGAAAGGGAGGAAAAATACAATTAAGGTGGTAGTAAAAAGTTTCATTGGATTTGGTAAAATTCATATCTGTGCATAGAATTATTGGATTAGAATAGAACAATAAATATTTCTGTTCATTTGTTTGATCGGTTCCATAAAAAGGTAAGTTAATATTTTCTTGTTTCTCAACAATTTGGCTAGTAGCACAAACAGTTATTGCTTCCTCGTTAAATATATACAATCCATATAAATACAAAACGACATAGTCTATTTTTATATTCCCTATGTGTTTCATAGGCCCGATTAATTCAAAGGAGGCTTTGAACACATCACCACTGTGTGTGTATGCTTCGTCCAGGTATATGTTAATTGTCACTTTGTCATCTTGCACGCTTTCAAGGTTCACTGTTTGGTTAGTTTTATTTGCAGGGAAAAAGAAGTTCATCGTGAGGGGATCTCAGCGTTGCGAATTTGTGGTGAGAAGCTCCTAAGTGATAACAAAGTTGTAGTCTTATCAACGAAAGAAAGAAGGAAAAAAAAAAAAAAAAAAAAAAAAAAAGAAAAAAACTCATAGCAAAGTTTGTCTTTCTCTCTTACGCAGTATCATGTATGGAGATATGAAAAATGAGAAAATTTTCCACTTTTCACACAAAAAAAAAAAAAAAGCGGGGTAAGGTCAGAAAAAAGGGAAGGAAAGGAAATTCCTCTTTTGGCAAAATGGTAGCTGCGCTTAAAAAAAAAAATTAAAATGATGCTTGGCTTCTTCCCCTTCTTCTTCTTCTTCCCTTTTTTTTTTTTTTTTTTTTTCGAAGTGCACCTTTTTTGATGCATTGGTTTGTTCTATTAGATTATTTTTAAGGGTACCATCTACCCATGGGATAGGAAATATAACACTAATTGGGGATCCGAGAAGATTGTACTTTACTTCCCCCACCTCTCCCCTGTTTTCTTTATTTTGGAAGGGTGGTCAGAAAAAAAGGAGAATAATTTTTTTTTTTTTTTTTTTTTTTTTTTTTTCCCCTCTTTGTGGGTCGTTCAATTTTACGTTCCTGAGGCGTAGAATTTTTATTTTTCATTTTTTACATTTTATATTTTTCATCTCTTTCTTTTCAGCTCTTTCTCTTAATTTTTTTCCTGTAGGAACATACCTCCTCTTTGCGTTCCATATGTACATCTGTTTGTACACCTGTTTGTACACCTGTTTGTACATCTATTTGTGCATCTATTTGTGCATCTATTTGTGCATCTATTTGTGCATCTATTTGTTTATTTACCTACTTGTACAAGCACTTTATGGGCGTTTTATTTTGAGGTACTTTCCATTCGACCACATTTGAGATTAAAAATTCGGAATGGCACATGAAGTCAACATAACTGTTGCATTTCTGTTGAGAAAAAAAAAAAAAAATACTGAAAATATTGATAATACGTATAATACTGAAAATATTGATAATACGTATAATACTGAAAATATTGATAATACGTATAATACTGAAAATATTGATAATACGTATAATACTGAAAATATTGATAATACGTATAATACTGAAAATATTGATAATACCTATAAATACTGAAAATATTGATAATACCTATAAATACTGAGAATACTGATAATGCTGCAAATAAATGCAACGATCAATTTGTTAATAAATCACCAGTTAATTTTTTCTCTTCTGAGGAGAGAAAAGTCCACCATGTGGAAATAATAATTCCCTGGTGCTTCTCTCCTTCTTCCACTTCGCAAAGTACTTAAGAATATATAGTTTCTTTCCTTCATAGATTCGTTTCATTTGTTGTGACGTAGCGTGGTTATTATTTTTTTTTTTTTTTTTTTTATTATTACAACTTTTTTTGGCACAAAATTTATTCACAAGTTGCTATACGTCTTACTTGTCAGTTTTTCCATTTATTTTCCCATCCGTTTTTCCATTTATTTTCCCATCCGTTTTTCCATTTTTCTATTTATTTTTCCATCCGTTTTCCCATTTGCTTCTCCGTTTTTTAATTTTTTTTGGAGAGTCCCCGTTATTCAGCTTTAAGGTAAATATTTGCATTACCTGTCGTCTGAGGAAAAAAACTGAACTTGATTAAGAAATGCAAAAATTACCAAACAGTCCCCGATGTGGCAACTCCTTAATTTGTTAAAGTTCTAATCTGAAGTTGCTGTATGATTCCCTGTTTAAGAGACAAGAGGGAATTCTCAGAACAAAGAAAACTTGAAACGCACTCTTCCCCTTCTTTGGTTTGCATGAGATATATATATATATACAGTTAACACAAGAAGGTGGGTTAAGTATAAGGTGTCGTTCGTGTATATGTTGATACATTCCTCTTAAAAAAATAAAATAAAATAAATTGCTCCACCCAAGTCTGCTACACCAACTGCTTGAACCAGGATGAGGAAATTTCAGGGGTCGAAGAAGAAGAAGATGCACAAAGGAAGCATTAAAAAAAAATTTCCAAAAAAGAGGGATGAGAAATATTCCAAAATATTATTGAAAAAAAATAGGAACGCAAATAAAATAAGAACTAACTCAGCATCACAGAAAAATTTCCAAAAGAAGGGAAAGAACCAACAAGTGAAAAACAGCAGCTTCGAGAATGGGTTCGAATGTTCACCACGTGCGTTTGGGAAGAGCAGTAAAGGTGGTTCCAGTAAAGTCGATGGTGATGTGGGAAGTGATATGAGAAGTGATGTGGAGAGTAATATGGGCAGTGATATGGGCAATGATATGGAGAGTGACATGGAGAGTGACATGGAGAGTAATGTGGGCGTCGATATGGGGAATGATGTGTACCCGGGTAGGGAGGGGAAGAGGGAGGCCTCCCCCGAGCAGAAGAAGGAAAACCTTTTTGATGGTTTATTCTTAGATATGAAGGGACTCCTAAGCGAAAGTCTGTTGGAGATATTAGAAAAAAACAAGTTTGTTAAGACAACAAATATCCAGAAAAGAAGTATCCCGATAATGTTAAAAGAAAATGATGTTTTTATAAAATCTATGACAGGTTCTGGGAAAACTTTATGTTATGCTTTACCATCTATTCAAAAAATTTTAAATTTACAAAAAAGAAAAATAAAAATAACGAGAAATATGGGTACATTCATATTGGTCTTATCACCAACACGTGAATTAGCTGTTCAGATAAATAATTTATTTTCAATTTTAACAAAACCTTTTCCATATATTGTCGTTTCATGTATAACAGGAGGAGAGAAAAAGAAATCAGAAAAAAATAGACTAAAAAAAGGGGTTTCCATTTTAACCTGCACACCTGGAAGATTACTTGATCATTTGGAGCATACAAAGTCGTTGAACTTGTCTTATTTGATGAGTTTCATTTTGGATGAAGCTGATAAGGTTATATATTTGGGTACCCAGGATAAGGTTAGACTCATTTATGATACCATAAGGAGGGTTAAGCGGCAGCAGGTGGGAGAGAAAGAGGCTGCCCCTAGTGGGGTGGCAGCTTCTAACGGGGAAGGAAACCCATTCCAGATGATATTCATATCAGCAACACTGAACCACGCAATAAAAAGTCTAGCAAACTACTGCTTGACAAATAAGACCGTTTGGATTGAGGCAAAGGAAAATTCTTTGGAGGGAAAGTTCCCAGCTCCAGGTAGAACTTCTCTCATGATGAGGAGCGACAATGTATTTGGAAGTAAAATCGATAATACATTTGCAGAGGAGGAGGAAGAGAAATGGAAATACGAACTTCCTGAACAGCTGAAACAATATTGTATTGTGTCAGAATTAAAACATAAATTTCTGTGTCTAGTGCATACACTACTAGATTGCATGGAGAAGAAAAAAAAGCCAGTAGTATTTCTATCAAATTGCCATAGTGTGGAGTACATGCAGATGATTTTAAAAAATTTATACTGGCCTACAGATTTGAAAAAGAAGAATATGGAAGTGTATAAGAAGCTCAATAATGAAATAACACCCGTCCTTCTAAAAGAAGACGAACTATTGTTGCGAAAACATTTAGAGAAAACTTTGCAACATTGTGAGTTGGAAGATCTTCGGCTAAAGGTGGGAGTGGGAGAGGTAGAGGCTTCCCACACGAGACCTAATCAAATGAACGATTGCCAAACGGGGCCTCGTAAAAAAAGGATAGACTCGTCAAAGAGAGCGAGAAAGGAGGAAGCCTCAACAATGTTGCCCTTTAAAAATATACAAATTGATGACATACGAGGAGGAGGCTGTGGAGACTTCGCAGACGATGAGAATAAGAACATAAATGGGTACAGGAGCAATAGCTGTGACACGATGCTTTACAACATTAATGGAGACAAGCATAAACGACAATACCTGTTCGAAGGGGTAGATATTTATATGTTACATGGGAATTTACCTAAAGAAGACAGGTTAGGAAATTTCACTGATTTTTCAAATGAAAAGAATAAAAAGTGTATATTATTATGCACAGATATTGTATCAAGAGGAGTAAACTTTAATGCATTAAATATAGTTATTCAATATGATCCTCCACAAGTGTTTGAAGAATATATACACAAAGTTGGAAGAACAGCAAGACTGAATAATGAAGGATCCTCTTACTTATTTCTCTTACCATCAGAAATAGAATTTGTTAATATTTTGAAAAAAAACAAAATTGATGTGAATATAATACGAAGCAATGAAATCATAAATAAATTTCGAAAAGAGTATATTCCATCATTTTTTAAATCAATTGGTGGAGATGTACTATTCTTTTTATATAATCATTTCAAAACATTAGTTAAGTCAGATGAAATATTAATGCAGAAAGCGACAAGTGCATTTCTTGCATCCATAACAGCTTACTATTCTGTGAGTAAAAATCTCAGACATGTTTTTTTCGCAAAAAATTTGCATCTTGGTCACCTTGCTTATGCCTTTTTACTTGACCAGACACCTCGGGAAATTTCTAAATACAACAAGCAGCATAAGTACATGGAGATTAAGAAGCACTCACGCTTAAGTAAGAAGGACAGACGTCTCTTACGCTCGAAACCTTTCAGGGCACCGTGACCCTGAGTGCGAGGAAGTCCACACATATACATACCCCTATGTGGGAATTGTTATTCTCCAGTTTTAAGTTACCATTTTGAACGTTTCAATTTGTTCATACTGTATTAATTAACCTTCAACGTGCCACCTCTCTCTCTATGAGAACAATTTTTTTTTTTTTTTTTTTTTTTTTATTTCACATCTAGCACATATGAAGGAGACATATATATATGATACTCTCCTCATATGGATCCATTTTCTACCTGTGCCAGCGTAAGGCATATTTTGTTGTACATCCCAAAGGGGGAGCATGGCAATGTATCTTCTTCATTTGCTTTCTCTATCCCTATGTGGATATGCGGATCGGGATGTACATCTATTTGAATTTCTGAACTTGCGTTTGTTTCTATTTTTGTGTTCTCCAGTTTGGCACATCTACCCCAACTGATCAACGATTTTTTTTTTTTTTTTTCACGTGCATCTGACTAACTTGTGAAGTTTGTTTTAACATATGATATAAAAGACTATATTTAAACGGACTATATATATGTACCACCGCATGACTGAAAAGTTTGGATATTTTTTTTTTTTTTTTTTTTTTTTTTTTGTATTTTCCTTGAGGGAGGTATAGAAGTGAGTAGATATGAAAAATTGCCACGTTTGTATTTTCTCTGCTCTATGCATTCCAAAATTGGATCTCTATTTCACGGTTCAGTTATTCACAACATGGATACTGTAAATTAAATGTTAGATACTTTTTTCTGGACTGATTAAGGAATATATATATTTCCTGAACCCCAGACCCCACGTGCCTCCTAAAATTGTACATATTTTGGTAAACCTACTTTTCGGGAGTGCAAAAAAAAAAAAAAAAAAAAAAAAAAAAAGTATATTCCAAAAGAAATATGGTAAAGAGAGAGAACAGTTAAGGAAATGAGATAAAGGAGAAATAATACCTGTTACAGCACTTTGAAATAGAACAGAAAAAGCATTTAACTAAAAAGTTTAAAAAAAAAAAAAAAAAATCTCAATATAATATATTTATATCTACAGCTTGTACGTATCTATAACCTCTTTACTTTGGCACGTAAAAAAATACACCTTGTGATGTGATGGCCTATGAATCTCTTTCTATTTCTTTTCCTTTTACATATATATATATATATATATATATACATGCATATGTACATGCAAGTGGTTAGAAGAAGGTACACTAGCATATATGACACTGCTAAGCATTTTTTTTATTTTTCCTCTCTCCTTTTTGTGCATAAATAAAACGTTCGCTGCCGAGTAGAGAACAAAAAAAAAAAATAGATTCTCTTTTTTAGACTTTTCTCTCTACAACATATACATTTTCTTTTAATGAAAATTTGAAAAGGTACCTCATACAGATTTTCTACCGATTTGCAGATCGGGTTAGTGACACGTGTATATTCGTAAGTCTGCCATATAGATACGTACACGCATATGCATACACGTATACATATGTACATAAATGCATATATACATAAGTACATAAATGCATATATACATATGTACATAAATGCATATATACATATGTACATAAATGCATATATACATATGTACATAAATGCATATATACATATGTACATAAATGCATATATACATATGTACATAAATGCATATATAGATATATACATATATACATGTATACATGTATACATATATGTGCATACCCCTGACGTGTACTAGTAGACGACACCTAGACGTGAGCAGATAACTCCAACTCACCATTCTGTAAAGAGGGGAAGAAAAATATAAAGAAATATTTTACGAATGTAGCGAAGGTACAAAACAGGTAAAGATTCTTGTCGCTACATTTTTTTTTTTTTTTCCCCATTTTAGTGCACCATAGCACCGTTGCACTGTTGTCTCCGAAAATGCGGATGAATTTGTTTTCACCCATATGTATGTTTGTGTACACATGTGCTAACATATTTAAGCAGAGTATATTAACACCTAACATAGCAAGTGCATCATATAAGAAACAGTCCTGTCTTCGCACGATGTCTACATTGAATAAGGGCAGTTCCGACAAGTTGGATGCTGTGAAAAAGTACATCAATCATTTTGATCATGCGAATGAAACCCAGAGTAAGTGAGACATACCCACGAAAGGAAAAAAGTGGGAAATTTGTGTGTGTTCAACATATAGCTGGATATATAGAATGTTACAAATACATACAAACCAAATCTGTTAAAATATATTTACTGGACATTCCCAGAATATATTTTTGTATTTTCCAAATCAGTCTTAATTTATTATCCACACATATGTTATAACATTAAAAAAAATAAAAAAAAAAAATATGTGAGAATTCATTTTTCCATAACGCACCCATTTTGTTACTGTCACGAATTTGCTCCGCTCACCCATTTGCTCCTCCTCTTTTTGAACCTCTTAAGGCATTAACGGATTTGTGCAATTGCTGAAGGATATTAATATAAAAATGGTTGTATTCGACTTTGACTTGACTATAATAGGTGCTCACTCAGGTTAGTCACCCCCTCCCCCTCCTTCATGGACATTTGTTTAGACCCCTTCTTTATTTTTACATCATCCATATTATTCCTCCTCCTCCTGCTTCTTCTGCTGCTTCTTCTGCTGCTTCTTCTGCTGCTTCTTCTGCTGCTACTTCTGCTGCTACTTCTGCTGCTACTTCTGCTGCTACTTCTGCTGCTACTTCTTTTGTTTTCCCATGGCAGCAATACCCGCAAGTCCCCTTTTGTGCTTTTTTTTTTTTTTTTGGAAATTTAATAGCACGCCTTTGCTTCACCCTAAATTCCCCATTTCATTTCACCATTTTTGCAAGGGGGTTATGTGGACAAAGCCAATGATATTGATAATATAGGGACGTCTGTCACGACACACTTTAAAATTTTCTCCAAGGAACTGAATACGAATAATATAAAAATTACTGTTGCCACGTTTTCAGGTTAGCATCTTGTGGTACACAATGCACATGTGTCGTGGTGCATCTCTATTCGTGTATCTCTATTCGTGTATCTCTATTCGTGTATCTCTATTCGTGTATCTCTATTGGTGTATCTCTATTCGTGTATCTCTATTCGTGTATCTCTATTCGTGCACATGTGTCGTGGTGTATCTCTATTGGTGTGTGTGACATGATATGACTCGCACCCCCGTTCACTCCTGCCCATCCCGACTTATGCAGACGATGAAGCCATACGGCATTCTCGAGGCAAGAACTCCACACTAATCGCAGGAGAGGACATGGTAAAGTTCAGTATGAAGAATAGTAAATGTGACGCAAGGATCGAGAAGGTCTATGCATATTATCCCCCGTAAGTCCCCAAAGAGAATTGGCTACCTGGCGAGGTGCATTAGTTATGCAGCGGTGCACTGGTTAGGAAGCGGTGCACTGGTTAGGAAGCGATGCACTAGTTAGGCCACGTCGCACTAGTTAGGCCACGTCGCACTAGTTAGGCCACGTCGCACTAGTTAGGCAGCGGTGCACTATTTAAGCCACGTCGCACTAGTTAAGCCTCTTCTTACTGCTTAAGCAGCAATGCATCTGCAACTGATCGATGTGTGTTTTCCTATGTTTCCCTTGTAGCTACTACCGAGAGCCGAGGCAATATCGACCCCTTGGACTAACGAAACCCATGAGCTATGATAAGTCTTATCACCTTAAGCAGGTAAGAGAATTACGCAGCTGCAAAAACCCCCCCTCCTTTTACACAACCTGCATATCTCCCTACATGCATGCACACACACCTATTTATGGAAGTTGTCACATAACTTTTTTGAAAATATGTTCTTGTGTTGTTACATCTGTTAAGTTGTTACACAATCTGCCACGGCTACAATGTTGTCTATCACGTTTATCCACTATTCCAGATTAGGTCCGACTTTGAGGTGACCATTGATGAAATATTATTCATTGATGATGACGTGAACAACTGCATCTCAGCAAAGAAGGAGGGATACATAACTTTCAATGTTACAGGCAAGAAGGGGTTCAATTTTAAAAATATAAAAATTATGTAAATATATTTCCACAACCAGTGGATGCTCAGGGACGCTACGTACCCGGTTTGTTGTATATGCAAGGAGCACAAATACACAGATTAACATGCAGGTGGGTATAAGTGGATATAAGTAAGTATAAGTGGGTATAAGTATAAGTGAGTATAAGTGAATATAAACAAGTGAGTAAATATAAATCCATACGGGGCCCCACCTCCCTGATCCCCGTCATAGTGGAGGATAGAAGAAAAAAAAAAAAAAAAAAAAAGGACCCTTAGGAATTTTCACACATATATCATTCTTCATACGTACCTTTATTTTGTCCGTATTTTGCCCCTTACAATTTGCGAGTTACGTTTTTTAGTTTTTTTTTTTTTTTTTTTTTTTTTTTTTTTTTTATTTCTCTCCTTTTCGCGCGTGATATATTTTTTAAATATATATAATATTTCATTTTTTTTCTGCGCCACTTGTTGACTTTTGAAATGTGGAAAATGGTCTTTTGTGTGTGACCTTCCCCAACTGTTTGACAAGCACGCGACAGCGTAACCTAAAAAAAGAGAAAAAAAAAAAAAAAAGCACACGCTTCTGCTTCGTCTGCTTCGTCTGCTACGCCTAATGAAGGTGCCCATGATTGAGAAGCAGAAAATGGTGATAGAAAACAATATCGGTAAGACGATAATAACTTTTGTGGAAAAATATATCCCATGGTTACACATCGCACATTTCTTCTTCAGCATACTCCTTTTAAATTATCTATTGATTTGTTACTTAACCCCGTCCTTTTGGTATTCTCATAAAGGATCAGAACTTCCCTCTGCAGAAACAAACTCTATAAATTTCCTTCACGTGAAAAAACAGTATGAAAAATTTGAACACATTGGTAAGTATCATGGTTATGTCAGCTCCTCAATATCTTTTGCATACATCTTTTTTTGCTTGTTTTTTTATTTTCTAAAATTCGTAACCCTTTGGAATCATCATGGGGATGATGCTAACATTTCCAGGGGTGGAAGTGTGAGACGTGTGAGACGTGTGAGACGTGTGAGAAGTGATAGAAGTGATAGAAGTGATAGAAGTGTTGGATATGCCACAAAGAAAGTCAAACGGGACAATGGATTCTATGTCACAAAGGGCAGGGACCAAGTGTGGATCACAGGAAGCCACTTTTTTTTATACATTTTCCTCACAACACTAGTTACACGAATGGGTGAAGGGAACCATTTGTACTTCCTATTCATCCTGAGCATATGCGAAATAAACACACCCCTTATGACGCTCATGAATATCATAAAAGCTGTAAAATATGGGTATAAAAGTGCATATTTGAAAAAAAAAAATTCTGAACAGTCAGGTAGAAATAAAATTAAAAGGCGAGATCTTTTTCTTTTCTTTTGTTATTTCGTCTTTGCAAGGTTGTCAAACAAAAATTCTCGTCGCGCTAGAGGAAGCAGCAAGGATAACAATGGATGTGGCAATGATAGAGGTGAAAGAGATGGACAAGGGGAAAATACTCATGAAAATTTCTTAAAAAAAAGAAAACCACAAGATGTACACAACCGAAATGATTCCATTGGAAGGAGTCAAAAAGGTAGAAGCGTCATCCCGAACGAATCAAAGAAGAAGGTGTTCATTCGCAGTTGCTTCAAGTGGTTCCTGGATTGGCTAGGGAAATGTTCTCATCGGATGAGCACCCCTTTCCCTTCTTCTCTACTTGGTATTGAAGAAACATCAGCAGAGAGGAAAGTCGAGCCAAGAGAAACATCCAAACCAGTAGATTCTCAAATCAAGATGCTCAATTTTGGAAAACACTCACGGAAAGGAGATTGCGAATGGAATCACATGAATGGAAGGAAAAACAAATCAAAGGTAGGGATAACCCCTGACATGAACCCTGAAATAGATGTGATTGGAAAAAACTTAGCTAGGACTAATATGTCTAATAAGAATTCATCCATCAGGACACAAAGAAACATTCGGAGCGAACACTTCAAGACAAAATGTTATGATACACTGCACAATGGGGAAAAGAAATGTGAAGAATGTGCTTGTTTCACCTCAAGGAAGAATGAAGTAATTTTCAATAAAATGAGAGTCTCTTCTGGTTCTTTGACAGATGATAGGTCAACCACTGAAGAAGAGGAATACGCAAGGGTCAGAAGAAATGCAAACATGTACAAAAATTATTATTATGAACATTTTAATAAGAAAAGTAGAAACGAAAATGAAGAAGGGGAGAACGATTCTGGGTGTGATGACATTTCGAGGAATAATTTTTTTAGCCATGTTGCTAAGGAGAAAAAAGAATTTCGTGTCATTCAAGTGGAAGCAGAGGAAGGAGCGGATGCAAACGATGCAGACGAAGATGAGGAATCCAACAAAGGAGACAATAAAAACTTCAACAATTCAGATAATTCCTCCCGAGGATGGTCATGCTTTCCCAACGCATACACAGAGGAAGATAAGGATGAGGTAAAGGCAAATGTAGATTTTACAAATGATAAAGTGACAAAAATGAAGGACAAATCAAGTTACACACCCGTGTATTATTCCCCATCTATTATAAAAATGAATAGTGAGAGAAGAAGAAGCAGCTGCCATAATAGTAGTGGGCATGATTCTCTGAATGAACAACCTATGTGTGAGAAAAATTATAAACATGTGCATAACATTCCAATTCATGAAAAGGAAGAAAAAGTCTGTGGAGGAGGAGAGGTAGTTAAAAAAAACGACAATTTTTGCTGCAACTACGAAAAAGAAAAATCAAAAAATGTTGAAAAATCGGGAGGATGTTTAACTGAAAAAGGAATAAAAGGTTTGATTAATGTCACAACAGTTGAGGTAAAAAGCGATGATGCGATCTCCTCTAGCCACGGAATTATATGTGGGAAGTTAGATGGGGGCACAGATGAGTGGGAAGGATCGGAGAAACCCTTCTTGGGAAATATTAATGTTCATAGAAGCGGGAAAATAAAAAATCACTCGCATCATTCGAGTCATCCACAATACCATCCCTCGCGTGTGCGTCGCAAGAGCATCAAAAGACGAGTGGAGGAGAAAATGAGAAATTCCCTTTTCTGTGCATTGAATGGGAAGAAAGGTTTACTTGAAGAAACATATTTAGACTACACCGATATTTGCAGTGGCCATAAAAACATAGAACTAAAAAAGGAAAGAGGGAACTCCTTTGAAAAGAAAGTAAATTTTTTTTTGTCTAAATTAAAAAGAAAAATGGAAATATGTGCATTTTTAAATCACATATATAAAACCATTTTGCTGACATACATTTTATCACTTTTGTTGGTAAAGGGAATTCTTATGTATGCAATTTTGTATTCCTTTCTGTATGTTCGTTTATATTCATTTCTATTCCCCACAATTATTCTTTCCCTAATGGAAATTTGTTATTTTTGTCTCTTCCATTTATATATGCAAGAGTATAAGACATTGACCTTTTTCACTTCTCGCTAAGCTAGTTGTATTCACTCTACTTCCATCCACAGAAGGGGAGGAAGATATGGGATGGAGGGAGAAAATCCTAATTGCACTATATTCCCACCCCCACACATACACAACCCTTATTCCTTCATTACATTACCATTACGTGATATTATTTTTTTTTTTTTTTTTTTGTTATAATTTTTCCCAACTTTTATACAAGATGAAAACGTTAAGCATAGTTTTGTGGTTTGTGCATAAATGGAATTTCACTTAAAGTTTAGTGAGAAAAGGAATAAAATAAAATGTAGTAAAAATAAGGCAAAAATGTAAGGAAAAAAAGCAAAATAAAGAAAAATGAAATAACGTGGAAATAATAAATGAGAACGTGGGGATTTCCCATTTTTTCCCCACTCCGTGTGAACAATTTGGAACTCATTCATATATTCCTTCTTCCTCTTCTATCACGATTTGCAGCATAAATTAAAAATTGCAAAAAATTACCATTTTGAAAAAAAAAAAAAAAAAAAAAAAAAAAAAGTACCTGACTGTTCATACATATTTTAGTTCAACACAAGCACAGCACACATTTTTTCATCCCTTCCCACGTGGCAATATGTAAAGAGGTAAAATATATAAATATGTGAACATATAAATGTGTACATATGCGAACATATAAATGTGTACATATGCGAACATATAAATGTGTACATATGCGAACATATAAATGTGTACATATGCGAACATATAAATGTGTACATATGCGAACATATAAATGTGTACATATGCGAACATATAAATATGTACATATGCGAACATATAAATGTGTACATATGCGAACATGTAAATGTGTACATATGCGAACATGTAAATGTGTACATATGCGAACATATATATATGAAAAAGAAAAAAAAGTGCAATTACATAGAAAGGGAAGCAAAAAACTTGCGTGTACAGCTTACACATAATAACGTATGTACATACACATGCACGTGTGTGTTGGTGTGTTTGTGTGCATATATACGGTGTAGTGATGATAAAACATTTTTGGCTTATCGGTTGGCTTTGGCAACTCTCTCAATTTCATCCTTCTTCTTAATGGCATAGGAACTAGAAGACTCATTTGCACAGTTGATAATTTCTTCAGCTAAACATTCTGAAATGGACTTTATATTTCGAAATGCAGAATTTCTAGCACCTGTACAGATGAGATAAATTGCTTGATTTACTCTTCTTAATGGGGAAACATCCACTGCTTGACGTCTTACGACACCAGCTGAACCAATTCTTGTAGAATCTTCTCTTGGCCCACCTTTCTGAACAGCATTTACAAAAACCTGTATAGGATTTTCCCCAGTCATAAGATGAATAATTTCAAACGCATATGCTACAATTCTAATTGCTTTTAATTTTTTCCCATTATTCCTTCCATGCATCATCATCGAATTCACTAATCGTTCCACAATTGGACATAAAGCTTTTCTAAATCTCTTCTTCTGATAACGCCCTGCCGTGTGTGGAGTGTACACGCATGCCTTCTGTGACACTGCAATGTAGTCAACCTGTGGGGGAGGGGAATGTTCATAATTTTGAGCGGTGAATTGGGAATGTGCAAAAATGTGTCACTTATTAAATCTACACTTATTGGAAGTGTGTTTTCACGATTCATCCGCCATTCTTCACGCTTCACGTTTTATGCTTTTTTTTTTTTTTTTTTTTTTTTTTTTTTTTTTCCCCTTTTCTTTTGCAAAAGAATAGGTGTGCATATTTTGTACATATCCATGCATGCACTTACCAATGACAGATCAGCAATGTTAACATCCTCGTAAGACCATTTTTTAAAAAGTTTTATATCAGCTGTTGTTGATTCCATCTTGTCAAAGATTTTTCCCTTATGATGTTGTGATATATCTGAAAGGAATCAGGGGAAAAATGAGTTGAGAATTTTACTTACGAAGTAATGAATGTAATGCGTCGTTGGTGACAATGATGTTACATCTTCAAGTAGTCACAACTGCAATGTCACAATAGTAATTATATATTTCTTCCATTTGAAACGGAATTATTTTTATATGTTCATTTTATTTCTCATCCACATGTAGAGGGGAAAACTACTCGTCATAAAAACATTAAAGTATATATGTATATATTCTACACAGTTACTTGTTCAGTCATTTTTTTTTTTTTTTTTTTTTTTTTTCCTGTTCTCATTTTCCGCTCTCCCTAACTTCACACAGTTCGATAAGCTTGGTGGAGGAAAATAAATTGGGAAAAAAAAATATTCATTTGTTCGTTCACTCTGTGTTATTTCTTGTTTACCTTTTTTTTTTTTTTTTTTTCTTTCAATATATAATATATGTATTCCTCCTTCTTTGGTTTATTTAGGGATGGGGAAGTTGTTCAAAAATTCATAGTTCAAGGGGGGTATAGATAAAAAAAATGGAAATACAGAAATTACAGAAATGTAAAAGTACGGTGATATATAAAAAAAAGAAAAAAAAAAAAATTGTAAAAGCAAAAAAAAAAAAAAAAAGAAAAAAAAAAAAAAAAAAAAAAAAAAAAAAAAAAAAAAAAAAAAAAAAAAAAAAAAAAAAAAGAGAGGAAAAAAAAAAAAAAAAAAAAGAGGGAAAAAAAAAAAAAAAAAGGAGGGAAAAGAAAAAAAAAAAAGGAGGGAAAAGCAAAAAAAAAAAAGAGGGAAAAGCAAAAAAAAAAAAAGAGGGAAAAATATTTTAGAAAAGCCTAAAACAATTTTTGCGTATAATAATTAAACAACTCCGAATTATTTTTAAAAAAAATAATATTTCTCAGTTTGTTTTAAAATATCGAGAGAAATTTTCCTTCCACCTTTCCTGCGGCTTTTGGGTTTTATGCTGAAGAGAAATGATGTTTTTTTTTTTTTTTTTTTTTCTTCTCTCCCTATGTACTACCAAAGTGAACCGAAATGCCCGCCAAATTTGAGGGAAAGATTTCTATATATATATATATATATATATATATATATATATATATATATATATACATGCATAATATACATTTATACGTACCAACTGTTTTTTGCATTTGTGCGAGAGTTAAAATAACATGAGTACAACACGTTATATATATACATTACAAATGTGCAAGGGTTGAAAAGAGTGGTAAAATAAGGGTAGCGTTAAAATAGGGTTTGGATGCAAATTCATTCGTATGAAAAGTAAAATGGTAGCTTTTAGCATCGTAATGCCCCAATTGGGGTATTTCGCTTGAAAGCATGTGCATATTATAAGTATATATTATTCACTGAAGGTACATAACAATAAAACCCGACAATTAGTGATGCAATTTTCATATAATGATTTATAAGGCACCGCCCTTAAGATTTTCGATGGCGTATATCATAACACAACACGTGTTTCATTGAGTGTGCATCTTACACATGAGTGTATGTATGTATGTATGTACATACATATATCTGTATATTCATGCATTGTGAACAACACAGTAACGGTAAAGTTATATCTGTTTTATATTGTATGCAAAAAGTAAAGCAGAAAGGAGGAGGGAGGTTGATATAGCATCGCTAAAATGTTGAGGCAAAAATTTCCCCCTATTATTTATCCTTATGCCCCAGTCTGTACCACAATTCTATACTGCTCTCGATGGGGGGAAGAGGGAAAGGAGTTAGAAGAAAAGCCAAAGGCAAAGCACATATATAAATAAATAAATAAATACATAATGTGTGATGATCTGTTAAGAGGAAGGGCCTCAATTTTAATTCATTTGTTAATGTTACAAATTATTGTTAATTTGTGTTTTTTTCCACTATCCTCCCCATTCCATTTTAAGGGGAAAAAAAATGCATTTATCAAAAACGCCTTTTTACGACATACAAAAATTCCTCAACAGATTTTGAAAATTTTTGTTTTGAAAAATTAATAGATCAAAAGAGCGAATAGTTCTTACGATGTGAAAAAAACCTTTCCCCTCCTTTTTTTTTTTTTTTTTTTTGCATTCCTTTCATTGTTCATTTTTATATATACATGTGATGGGGGGGAGGGAAATTAATGTTTATAAAAAAAAAAAAAAAAAAAAAAAAAGCATGGTATAACTTGACAAGGGAAAATAATACATGTATTTGTATGAACAAATGATAACTTCAAAAATGGGGAAAAAGAGGGGAACAGAAAAACAGTTGTTTAGACGTTAAAGAGTATATGCTGAAAACATTTTTTTTTTTTATACCTAAAATTCTATTGTCGTTCCTTCTTTCTTTTGTACAAAATAAAAAGGGAGAACTTTGTAGCGCCTTTTTAAACTTACACGGGGGTTGTATTAATTTGGGTTGGAAGTGTTAGAATTCACAAAATAAGCAATTATACAAAAAGAGAGATAATTGTGCGTTATTTTTGTTTATTTCATTTCCAGAATGTTAATATTTTTTTTTATTTTCTCATGAAGAGAACAAGAACAAATCGAAAAATTACACACACACGCACATACGCAGATAAAAAAAAGAAAAAAAAAATTTATTTTCACCTGGTTTGTGAGAATATAGGATGATGCACTGCTATCCCTTTTTAGCTATACAAACACATGTGTGCAATGGGATGAAAAGTTTTAAATGTTTTCATGTTTCCTAAATAGTAAGTGGTGTGTCAGATCAGCGTTCTTTCCTTTGCATTGCGTGTCACGTTGCATATTGTACCAGCACAATGCCCCCGTTTTACCGTCCCCTTTTAACACTACCCCGTATTATTGTCCTTTCTTATCGCTAAGAACGGACGCTAAAATATGAACAACCCCCTCCCCCCCCCCAACACAAAACAACTACTTTTGGAACATATGACATGTTAATCAGTTCAATGTTTGCAAGTGTGCATTGGGGGAAGAACAAATTATGCATGATTCGTGTGCACACACCTGAGAAATCTTAATTTGTGTTCCCCCTTTACACCCTTATATATAAGGAAGTATAAAATTGACCAAAGATATTATATATATATGCTACCAGATTGAGACAAGAAAATACATGACATGTACATTTTTTAATACAGTTTGACAAGACCTCTTTCATTCCTCAACCATCAGAAATGGGGAAAAAAAAAAAAAAAAAAAAGTTCCACCACACACATGACAATTTCCATTTTGAGAACAAGTGAAAATTATCACTTTGAAAATGCGTGAAAAGTACCATTTGTTGCTATTTTTCAAAGGAAACAAAAAAAAGTGGTCCTATTCAGAGCACCATGAAATGAAGACGCAAAACTGTGCAATAATAAATTACAATGTTTAACAAAAGCGAGAAAATACAAAAATCAAACTATCCATCCTCCATGGGTGAAAAATTAGTATTCCACCTTTTTGGACATGCAGCGAATGTTAAACTATAGGGCTTACAACTAGCTTTAGCAGAATTAAAAAAAATTATAATAATAAATAAATAGATAAACAAAAAAAAAAAAAAAAAAAAAAAAAAAAAAAAAAAAAAAAAAAAAAAAAAAAAAAAAAAAAAAAAAAAAAAAAAAAAAAAAAAAAAAAAAAAAAAAAAATAACAAAAAAAAAATAAAAAAAAAAAAAAAAAAAAAAAAAAAAAAAAAAAAAAAAAAAAAAAAAAAAAAAAAAAAAAAAAAAAAAAAAAAAAAGAATAAATAAATAAATAAAAAAATGAACAAATAAATAAAACAATGGTAATAAAATGAAAAAAGATCAAAACGTGTTCCCCACTTCATGTGTGTAAAAAGTAAAAAAAAAAAAAAAAAAAGGACATGTGCACGTGTGCACCCTTAAGGAAATAGCTGTGCAAAACGATTTTAGCTGCACACCCAAAAAAAAAAAAAAAAAAAAAAAAAAGAGTTCCAATTTGGCATGACATGTTCAGGCAAAAATTCTATTTCTCTCGTATCATATGAACAGCCTAAGGGAAAAAAAAAAAAAAAAAAATAGATAAATAGATAAATAACTAAATAGATAAATAACTAAATAGATAAATAACTAAATAGATAAATAACTAAATAGATAAATAACTAAATAGATAAATAACTAAATAGATAAATAGCTAAATAGATAAATAACTAAATAAATAGAGTAAATGTAGCGATAAGATAGCGAAAAAGCAAACTAGCTACGGCTGAGCATAACATTTTTTTTTTTTTTTTCCTTTTTTTGCAAGCCCACGATTGATATTTTAGACTTACGATTAACGTTTTGCTCTATTTTTTAGAACATTTTTTATTTTTTAAATTTATTATTTGCAATACACTTTTTTGTTACATTCATTTATATTATTTTATTTTTTAACATTTTATTTTATAATATTTTATTTTATAATATTTTATTTTGTAATATTTTATTTTGTAACATTTTATTTTATAATATTTTATTTTGTGACATTTTATTTTATAACATTTTATTTTACAATATTTTATTTTAAAACATTTCATATTATTTCCTTGTTTACATAGTTTCCACGTTTGCATAATTTCCCCGTTTACATAATTTCCCCGTTTACATAATTTCCCCGTTTACATAATTTCCCCGTTTACATAATTTCCACGTTTACATGTTGCCCCACTTTGATACCATATTTAATGTGCATTTTTGCTTCCTTCCGTAGTTTTTAGAAGGAAAGGCCACTTGATCAATTTGATATCGCCTCCCATTTTGACGTGTGCACGTCGTGTCGCGGCGCCTTGCCATCATTTATAACTCCTCGGTGTGTGTGTGTTTGTGTGTGTGGCAATACCATTATTTTCCATTTCCCCATTTCTACGCTTCGAAAAGCTTGAGCAATATGAAAAAACTTCTTACATTGACTCTTTTCTTTTTTGCCATCACATTGGTAAGATCTCACGATGAGGGAAATGTTAGTATATCAAAAACTTTAAATGATCATTTTAAAAAAAAAAACTCAGCAAATAATGGAAAAGCATTTAACTTAGAAGAAAACATCAAATATAAAAGAAAAAATAATTATGAGTTATTTGTTAACTCTAACGGAGAACTAAAACAAGAACGATATGGAGTAACAGAACCAAGGCAAATGCTAAAAAAAAATATAAGTCATTTAAGGTATTTAATTAACGATTTAGAAATTTTAACAGGAGTTTACAAATTTAATGGAAGAGATAAAGAAAAGGTATTAAAAGAAACTTTAAAACCAGAATCACTATGTTTTACTCTTTTAGGACTTTTAAGTAATAACATAAACAATCTCTTAACAGTAGAAGATTCACCAATCTATGGCTTTTTAATAAAAGGGGAAAAAATACCATATACTAATCAAGTAAAAAATTTATTAGAAATTTATGTAATTATGTCGAATATATCGGTATATTTAGGAGATTTTTATTTCCCCACTTCCAAAAATGCTCCATATGAAATCCCATTTCTTTTTGGATATTATGATAATAAAATAAATGGTTCTGTGAATAAAACATCCTTCAACTACCTTTGTCCCTTACCCACATTTTTAATTGATGTCATACGAACAACGAAATTTGGAATGAAATTCAATTTTAATGGATCTGATTTAGATGCGAAAGAGTTGTACCCAGCTACACTTTCCTACTGGATAGAAACACCCAACATGTTACCTATTCAAAAGGGAGACAAGTACAAAAATTCCAGAATGCAAATGATAGATTTACTTAAGAAAGAAGCAAAGGATGTGTCATATAGAAAAGTACATGATACAGGACTGATAGATGGAGTGGGAATTCAACAAGCATATGATAGGATAAAAGCTTCTCTATCCTTTTCTAATGCTTTAGAAACTATTAAAAAATTCCTTTCAACATCTGGCAAAACTTCCATGGATAGCAGTAGTAGTAGTAATTATTCAGAAGCACCAACCGCTTTGTATTTTCTACTCCTAAGCCAGAAGTTGTTTACAAAAGTGAAGAAACAAGAACCAAAAAGTGTAATAACCAAAGTGGACATTTCCAATGTGAAGGAAAATGCAAGTGGTTATTTGCAAGCCTACACTATAAAGTTAACTCTTGAAGATTCCACGTGCATAACAACTGACGCAGTTGTTCAAGGAAAAAACATATTAATGCCTCAAAACATCAAGTTGAAGAGTGCATTGAAGGGCGGGGAAAAGGGAACCAGCACCAGCACCAGCACCGTTTCACTTGATGTCCCATTTAACTATGGCTTGCAAGTAGGTGGCAATGATGGCTTAACCTACAGCTTCGCTGGTTTTTCTTTTAGTATGAGCAAGACTCTTCCCTACAGCATCAACAGTTTAACACCCTTCGTGCATGCACAGAGTGATATGTGATTTGATCACAACCAAAATAAATTAGCTACTAACGTGTGGGCTATATTGGACCTTGAATATGAGGTGAATGAAGTGTTAGCAAAAAAAAAAAAAAAAAAAAAAAAAAAAAAAAAAAAAAAAATGATTTGATTTGATTTGATGTGATGCGATTGCGATGTACTGATGGTATGCCGCCACCCTAACTATACTTATCTACACACACGCGTGCATTTTCCACCCACCTCAAATGGCACATGCTCTTGTGCCATATAGGATAGAGTGCTATGTTAAATTACATTGATTTTTATGTACTTATTTATTCATGCATTTACGCACCCATTTGTGCATCTAAGCATCTGCTTACCTATCCATCATCCATGTATTTATTATATTTATTATTTTTTTTTTTTACTTTTACTTTTACTTTTATTCTATTTTTTCTCTCGCAACGTGTTTGCTTCCAAAGACACCACACTTCATTTGGATGTCACTTTCGTCCATATATCAGCTTTTTCTTTTTTTTTTTTTTTACATGTGTTTTTCTTGAACATTTTAAAAAAAGTAGTGTAGAGATATATCGTGTCCGAGAGAGGTGCTATGATTGCTCCATATGCATATTTCTTGCCTCATCTAAAGTTTAGTTAATCTTTGAGGTTCTTGAGTAAATGGCGGAGGGTTGTGGTGATAATGTGTGTTTTTTTGTGGCGTTTGCTTTCCCTTTTCCTTTGTTTTTTTTTTTTTTTTTTTTTTTTAACTTATTACTCATGTTTTAGGTTTTACAAATACTTTTTATATATTATAGGCTTTTTTAAAACACTCCTTTTCGCCTCTTTTTCTTCTCATAGACGTTTTTCACACACGTATATATGTGTATGTAAAAGTCCACATATATATATGTATATACATGTGCATGCATGTGTAAACACGAATTCGGGTGCGAATGCAAACTTTTAAAATTAGTTTTATATTCACTTGTGAAAAATAGCACACGTTGATCATTTTAATGTAAATCTATGGAAAAGACAACTACCAAAAGAGAGCGTTTGAAATGGTTAAGTGAGTTGGATAATGGTGTATGCATTTGTCCTCTCGAGAACTACATAAAGCATATAAGCAGGTATGTGTGTGGAACAGATTGGTAACAACGTTGGTTTTTTGTTTTGGATGTGCGGCATGTTAAATGAAATAGTGAGAATGTGTGCGCAATTAGGTGTATATATATATATATATATATATATATATATATCACCTGCTAACTTAAGGATCGAGCGGCTGCTCACCCATCTTGGATTAGTTTTATCTGATTTGTGAATCCTTTATAACAGAATTTATAGCCCAATCGGACATTGTGTCTCATAAGATGGTGATACATTGCATATTAATGTATCGTATGCGATATGTAAAGAATTTTTCTTTTTTAGTCTAAATGTGTTTTCTATATTGTTATGGTTAACAAAAAAAAAAAAAAAATTGTAGTCATGGATGGAGGAATGTGGATAGAAGTGGAAAGGTTCACCATTTGAGAGTGTTTCATATCAGGAAGAACTTGGCCTAAATGTTTTTTTTTTTTTTTTTTTTTTTTCCCATATCTTTTAATTTTGCTTTATATTTTTTTCCATTTCGATTCTTATTTTTGTATCTTCGCCCTCGCTTAANNGTAAAAAAAAAAAAAAAAAAAAAAAAAGAAAAAGAAAAAAAAAAAAAAAAAAGAATGAATTTTTAAAAAGAAAAAAAAAAAAAAAAAAAAATTTTAAAAAAAAAAAAAAAAATATTTATATTAGAAAAAAAAAATTTTATAAAAATTAAAAAGAATGACACCCCCCCAAAAAAAAAAAAAAAAAAAAAAAAAAAAAAAAAAAAAAAAATGAAAAAGTCGTCAGGCGGTTCCTATAGTGCATGCTCATTTGTGGGTAAGGTATTTTATGTGTTTTGAAAAAAATGAATTTTTTCCAAAAAAATATTTTGCAATCACAGAAAGGTGTCATTGCGAAATATGCTTATTCAGAACATGCCAATGCGTGATTTTTTTATGCTTAGCAAAAAATGGGAAATACAGAAGTTATATGAACATGCATATATTTATATATATATTTATATACATGTATATATGTACATATGTAATGCCCACGGTTTACTGACATTCTTAAGGGAAAGATTTTTTCTTTTTTTTTTATAAGCATCATAACTTTTTCCCGCTTTTTATCAATTTTTTTTTTTCTTTTTAAGTGTGTCGTGACCAATGCAAAAGAACACGCAAGATAACGGAAACCAAAATGACACAATGAAAGATATGAAGGAAAATAAACCAGATGCAAAACAAAATGACATATATGAGGACAATATTTACATTTTTGATGAGCCTGATGATGAGTTGGAAGAGTTCGAGGAAATGGGTAAAAATTCTACTGTCTGCACTGAGCGGAGCGTGTGTAGTAACATAATCTAGAATAATAAATGTATAGTGTTCAAAAGTGCTTGAACTAGTGCAGCATGCCCAGAGTAGAAAAATATATATATATAACACAGTATACTAGTGAGTGATCCACAGCAAGAGGGATAAATTTAGAGGAGAATTTAAAGAATTCAAAGTATTCAAAGAATTCAAAGAAAAAAAGTTTTGTGCCTTGTCGTGTACTTCTCTCTCCCGAGTGGGGACTCATTGTCACGACAACATGGTTACACAAAAACAGAGAGATACAAAAACTATTTCTTTATTTTATGCAAATTTCTATTTTTCTTTCGAAACAGGTAGTACGGCTCAGAACATAGACACGGACTTGGAAAACTGGGAAGAAGACTGGGGAGCAGCAGGTAGGAATATACAAATATGTTTATGCGTCCTTGTGTGTCAATATATAAATGTGCTATCCACGTGACAGTGTATGTGTATGTATAGGACACTTATTAAATCGTCTGAGGAAAAATAATTTCCATTCTTTTTCTCTGTTGATCCATAATCTCCTCTTTTTCCCGATCCGTTTTATTTTTTTGACACATATTTTTGACATATATTTTTGACACATATTTTTGACATATATTTTTGACAGATTTTTTTGACATATATTTTTGACATATATTTTTGACACATTTTTTTGACGAATTTTTTTGACGTATATTTTTTACGTATTTTTTTGACGTATTTTTTTTCCCTTCATTCGCTTTTTTCTGCAGGCTGGGATGATGATGATGATGATGACGATGACAAGTTCATTATGAAAGTGCAGACAGAGTTGCAAAATTTTAGAGCCAACTTAGATGCAGAAAAGGATCTGAAGAAGTGAAACTAATGAAAGGAAAATAAATCGAACAAGTCTTTTTTTTTTTTTTTTTTTTTTTTTTATAAAGATCTTGTTAAGTATACCATACGAATTTGTACATATATACATATAACTGCAAATTCAGAGTATAATGTGTGAAGGGTACAGATGTGCATACAAACATAGATAAAAGATCTAGAGGGGATTGTTTGGGTGGGGTTAACATATGCTTTAGAATAATAATGTGGATTCGGAAATATGTGTTTCCTTTTTGGAGGTCAATATATTAATGTCTATTTTTCTTCGCCCCCCTCCTCCCCCTATCCCATTACCAAAAAAAAAAAAAAGTAAAATAAAAAAATAATAAAAAAAATACGTTTATAATTTTTATATAAATTTATAAATTTTAAAGTAAACAATTTTTTTTCACTTTTTTTTTTTTTTTTTTTTTTTTTAACATCTTTATTTATTTATTTTTTAAATCAACATTTTTTTTTCACATTTTTCATGTTTTAAAAATTCAAAAAAAAGTGGGAAAAGAAAAAAAAAAAAAAAAAAGAAAGAGGAAAAAAATACGGGACTGAAAAAGAGGAAATATTAACAAAACGAACAGGAGAGAAAAAGCCCATAAGCAAAGACTAGTTTGAAAGTCCATTTATCATGCTTCCACATTAAGCAAGCCCATGAAAGTAATATTTATAATGCACGTATTTTCTTGTAACATCTGTACTTGTATTAGTAGGCTCTGGTTGGGATAGGTATGCCGGGTGGAGGGTGTCTAACTAACGGCGTCTTTTTTATTACATCTTTGTAAGGTTGCTCAAATGTAAGATTGTTCCTATGTAAGATTGTTCCTATGTAAGACTGTTCCTATGTAAGATTGCTCCTATGTGAGATTGCTCCTATGTGAGATTGCTCCTATGTTAGATTGCTCCTATGTGAGATTACTGGCCCTTTTTGTGTGCTCCTATGCTTGGGATATCCCCCACCCACCACCTTGTGTTGTCTTACATTATCATTATTTTGTTCTTCCTTTATTTTTACTCCTTCACTACTCTCCGTATGGGTAAGATCATTGGGTTGAGCTGAGAAATATATACGCAAATCCAACTGTAGGAAAGAGGAGAAAAAAAATATATGCCGAGAAAAAGGTATAATGAGATGAACACACACACACACGCATGTACATACAAAACAATTAATATCTGTCAAACTGGGGGTTGTTGTTGTTACAGATAGTAAACTCAGGAATTAAAATCTATTTCAAGCACATAAAATACAATATGCTCATGATGTAACACAGTGTAGCTGATTATATTCTTTCGCAAGTGTATAGTAGAATAATTTATTCTTCTAGTTCCACTTTCTGTTACTTCTATCGACTCGTTACAGCTACCGTTGCTGTTCCCTTTTTTTTTTTTTTTCTTTTTTTGGACTTACAATATCCACAAACAGAAAACTGCCAAGGAGACTAATGTCACAATGAGTCTACGGAAAAAAAAAAAAAAAAAAAAAAAAAAAAAATGAATAAATCAGGAAAGTAGAATAAGAATTGATAAAAAAAAAAAAAAATGCAAGTGGGATGAAATGAGAGACAGTCAAGAGATATATGCTGAACGTATGTAATTTTCTTACTTCACCAAATCTATTCTAGATATTTTTCCTTCTCTTGCGAACAGGAGACAAAAGAAAATACATGATACAAACCAAATGATTAAATATATGAAACTTCCTGTTGTTATATTCGAGTCCATTCTGTTGTCCAAGGGGAGGGGGAGAAAAGTAGACAAATATGTTAATAAAATTCGATTGATTATATGGGGGCTACTACAAAGCAAGATAAAAAAAAAAAAAAAAAAATAGATAAAACAAATAAGACTCAACGAAATAATCCTCCATCCAATAAAGAGATGTGTAAAACAAAAGAAAAAGAAACTAATCCTTACTTGGATGTAACACGTTTGTACGAAATAGGACAGTGGAAAGTGTGCACAAAAAAAAAAAAAAAAAAAAAAAAAAAAAAAAAAAAAAAATAGTTGCTTCGTTATCTTTATGCAAAAATATATATGCTGAATGGTAAAGTCATAGCTTTCTTTCGTAATGTATGCATATTTTTTTTTTTTTTTTCTCGTTTGTTTATTTGTATAATATGTCTTGGGTTTTGCCGTCAAGCACGACACGACTAAATGTGGAATTACATGGATGTACTATTCTACTTTTTCCCGTTGATTATACTTCAGTTTCTTCTCTCTCAGTTTAAGTATATTGCCTCTTTGTATCTTCTTCAGTTTAAGTATGTTGCCTTCTTTACTTCTTTGCACGTTATATAGGAGAAAAGAAAAAAAAAAAAAAAAAAAAAAAAAAAAAAACTCTTTTAGGACTTAATCTATTGGTCACTTTCCATTTTATGTAGATATTTTATTTTATTTTTTTTTTTTTTTTTTTTTTGCTCAGTACATTCTCGATTCCTCCACAATTATAACACTCATTACTTTCCTCTTTCTTTTCTTGGCTTAGCACTATGCATGAATTATCCTTCTTCTCATTTTTTATTTTATACTTTTAGGCTTACTTTTTTTTTTTCTTTGGGGAACTTTTCTCTCATGTGAATTGAATGCACATGGAGTGAGAGGGGGAAAGACGGAGATAGTAAACGACAAGGGGAGTGTGTAAATAAAAAAAAGATCACAAATGGCGAATCTCAAATTTTAAAACGGAAATTGTAAATCGTGAACTGTATGTAAAATGCAGGGCAATTTGTTTGTAAAATGAATGACAAATTGTTTTATAAAATGAATGGCAAATTGTTTATAAAATGAGTGGCAAATTGTTTGTAGTATATCTTAAAACATGAATTATCAGTCCTGAAACCTGAACGAGTCAAAAAGGTACGAAAAAGGGGTCTCAAAAAAAAAAAAAAAAGGGTACAGAAAAGGCGAAAAAACAAAAAAAAAAAAATGCCGAAATGAGGGAAAAAATGAAAAGAAAACAATTTAACGATGGCGAATTAACAGCACCAATGAAGGGACCTATCGGTATATATATTCACAAAAAAAAAAAATAAAAAAAAAAAAAAATAAAAAAAAAAAAATAATAAAATAATAAAATAATAAAATAAAATAATAAAATAAAATAATAAAATAAAATAATAAAATAAAATAAAAAAAAAATATATATAAATTCAAATTGGTGAATGGCCAAACTGCTAAATGAGCAATAGGAAAAAAAAAAAAAACAAAAAAAAAAAAAAAAAAGGCAAAATTAAAAAAATAAAAATTGATCCTCATAAAATTAGCCGCTTAGTAAATTTACGACTCCCCCAAGTTGAGAAAAAAATGTAAAATTCGGAAAAATGATTTACACGAAATGGCAAAATATAAAAAATAGCCTTTTCTTTTGTGAGACTTCCAAGAAAAAAAAAAAAAAAAAATGATACACCACAAACAGAACAGTAAAACGACATGCCACAAAGGACGTAACACGTGTGGCCATAACTTTTAACACGATTTTGCAACATGCATATGGAATAGCTTGGATCACATATTTTCCTCTCCCCGAACACTGTACGTCACATTTATTTACCAATGCCCTGTCACACATTCGAGGGTGCACGTGTGAGATATTGATTGATTAATTGATTGATTGATTGATTGATTGATAGATTAATTGATTGATTGATAGATTAATTGATTGATTGATAGATTAATTGATTGATTGATAGATTAATTGATTGATAGATTAATTGATTGATTGATTGATGCATGGTTGTTGTTAGTTTATAAGGAGAAAGACTTTACGCGTAACGAATTCGTCCAGACAGGGTCCCCATATAAGTGTGTGTGTGCATATTATTTATGCATGTACACATAGAGGGGAGTCCTAGCTCGAGCAGTTTGTTCCTTAACCCCTGAAATGAAAAATGACAAAAAAAGATCTTGAAAAAAGAGAAGAAGTTACAGGTAGAGTTAAGCATAAAGAGAAACTGAGGAAACATGAAGCAGAAAGAAATTGGGATGGAGAGAAACGAAGCGGTAAGAAAAAGCGACGTCGGATTGGGCACCCCCGAAATGATGATAATGATGATGAAATAAGGGAATCAAATGAAAAGTGGAAAAAACAAGAAAAGAAAGAAAAGAAAGAAAAGAAAGAAAAGAAAGAAAAGAAAGAAAAGAAAGAAAAGAGAGAAAAGAAAGACAAATGTGTAGCCCCCGTGAGACGTCAAACACGCAGCAGAAGCAGAAGTTGTGACACGGACACATATAAGAACCATGCGAGAAAGACGAAGGAAACAAGTAATATATCATACAATGCATTTGATTATTTCAATAAAGATATTTCAAGCAACAAATTATTGCCCAGTTATCTTATAGAAGAAAAACTCAAATACGAAAAGGATGTTTTCGAGAAGGCATATGGACTATCCCTTGGGGACAGTACCATTCATTTTGATAATTTTCTTTTTGATCAAAATGATAAAAAGGAGAAAATAAAAATAAAAAAAAAGGATGATGATGGTAATCAGAAAAGTAACAATAGCCACTATGAGTGTTATAGTTGTAAAGCCAAAAATGTGTACGCAAATGTGCAATGCTACAAGTGTAAAAAATTGAGGAAGTTATAATATACAGGAGAAGATGGTAAACAGTGAAGTGAATGTATTGTATTGATACGAGGTTGAACTTTGTACTTAGAAATGATGACACGGGGGTAGTCTTTTGCATACATAAGGAAATATTTATTTATTTTTTTTTTTTTTTTTTTTTTTTTTTTTTTTTTTTTTGGGGGTAGGGGGGAGAGAGAGGGGTTCATAATATAACAAAATTTTGTTATCATATTTGACTAAAACTTTAAGATTTTATCCTAGTTCTTTGTATTCTCATACTCACAATTTCCATGGTTTACAAACATTTTTCACGAATTTGTAAAAAAAAAAAAAAAAAAAGGACATAATAATACTAAACGGGTTAATCAAATTGGTAGTGCAAAAATGTTCCCGTCATTCGATTACACACATCCCTATGATTAATTCCGTTCCTAATTTTGAAAATATAAAAACACCCACCATGCCGCACAGCAAAATGGTACAAAAAAAAAAAAAAAAAAATGTTATCACGTTTTGTAGAATAAGTTGCAATGGTTTTTCTTTACGATGTAGGAGAGAGAAGATAAAAAAAAAAAAAAAAAAAAAAGAACAACCTAAACAGGGTACACACCAAATGATATATGTGTGTAAACCTTTTCAATTTTTTTTTTTTTTTTTCCCTCAAATTTAGTGTTCTCCAATTTTGGGTAGAAAAAGAAAATTGTAATAATTCTCCTCACATTTAGACGAAATAATATATCTATAAGGTGGTGGAAATAAGCACGTGAATATTTTGTTACAAATTAATGTATTACTATAAAAAAGGGATTGACAAAAAAAGGTAATTTTTTTTTTTTTTTTTATTTTTTTCACCTGAACAGTTAACGTAGCTAGCCAATTTGTGGTCTTTTTTTTTCTTTTTTATTCACCTGAATGGTCTGAGCAGCTAGTCAATTTTTTGTCCTTTTTTTTTTTTTTGTACAATTGTTGAAAACATGTGTTAAGAATTAAAATGTCACTTTGTGAAATAGAAAAGTGCACAGTTGTGAACAGACTTATCCCATTTGACAAACATTGAGTATAAAAATTGAATACTATATAATACCTGAAGCTCCTTTCTGTACAATTACTTTTCCTTTTCCCCCATTCGTCGTGGAGAAAAAAAGAGGTGTAGACACAAACATATAAGGCCTTCTTATCATCTCGTAGTAGCAAATGTGTGTGTAAAATATACCTACCTGATGAAGTGATTAATCGAGAGGGAAGAAAAGAGATATTTATATAAATAAAACAAAAATGTTGCTATATAGTTCAGCGTTTTTCTCACCGTCTCCCTTTTTATAATATCTGTAATAGAATTTTATTATCTCAAATTTTTTGCAACATGAGTGTTGATTGACAAGCTTTCTTTACACTTCCCATCGGAATGAACAAAACAGGGGAAAAAAAAAAAAAAAAAAAAAAACACCAAAAATGGGATGAAAAAGAGTTTAAATCCGTCAAATAAATTTAAAGTATGAAAATACGAGGATGTAAAATTATCCCAATTTTAACAACTGCAAGAAAATGTAAAGGCACGATATTGTAATACCCTCTGTGAGAGAAAAGGACAAACGGGTAGTATATTTTATTATTATTTTATTTTTTATTTTTTATTTTTTTTTTTTTTCTCTTATGTGAGAATTCCAAAAATGAATTGGGGAACATTCAGCACAGGCAAATAAAGGAATCAGAAAAAGGAGAAAAAAGGGAAAGGACGAAAACTTGGGGAGAGATATCCGCACAAAGGAGAAAATTGAAGCCCGTTAGTTTGTACAAAAATAAAAAAGGAAAAAAAAAAAAAAAAAAACACGTATATGCATGTGTTTGCATATATACATACACTAGAAGAGAGCAGGGGGGGGGGTGAACAAGGGATTGAGGATTTTTTTCAGAACAGTTACAAGAATGTAGTTAGAAAAAGAAAATATTCAAGTGGAACAATGATATGTAAAAAGTTATAATTCTTGTGGAAAACGTAGAAAAAAGGGAGTTAGTATCCACAGTGGGAAGAAAGGAAGAGAAGTTCTTGTTTGCAAGAAATTGAAGTGGTAGTTCAGATTTATTAACAGACGAATCTCCAATCGTGAGGGGGGAGAGGGGCAGAGTGTACACTTGAAGAACTGCATTCTTGCCACTCCTCTGGGAAGCTCCAAAATTAGTGAACAATAAATTTACGGCACGAAATTTACGGCACGAAATTGACAGATGAACCATGAAGCTGCTGTACCGAAAACGAGATAATGAAGAAATGCTTATCGGGTTAGTGGCCGAGGAAGAGGACGATCTGTGGCATCTGTACAATTTGCTGAGTTTGTTGGATGAAGTGGAGATGGTTACATCTAGGAAAGTGCACAAGGATATTGGAAACAACACATATGCTACAGAAATAAAAAAGATAATGCTAACTCTGAGCATAACGAAAATCGATTTCGACTCGGCAAATAACAGTTTGAGATTATCAGGGAAGAATGTAAAGAACAATGAATATGTTAAAATTGGACAGTACCACACATTTGAAATAGAATTAAATGAGAAAATAAAAATAAGAAAAAAAAATTGGGATAATGTATATAGGGAAAAATTAGAAGAATGTACAAATATAAAATTAAATTCCAAAGTTGCAATTCTGTTAATTAATTGTGGTGAAGCAAATATGTATTTATTGACGGAAAATTTATACAGACATGTATTTACATTAAATAAAATAATAAAAAAAAAAAAAGAGAAAAATAATAATTCTATGTATAAAAAATCGTTATATGCATTTTTTGATCAGCTATTATCAAATTTATGCAAAAATATAAATCTAGAAAATATGAAATGCATTGTTCTGGGAGGACCTGGTTTTTTTAAAAACGATTTTCTTCATTACATTTATGAGAAATCTGAACTAAAGAATGATAAAGACATTTTAAATATGAAATCTAAATTCATCATTGCCAAAACATCAAACATAAATAAAAATTCTTTAAACGAAATTTTAAATGATGAAAATATAAAAAAAAAAATACTACATATGAAAGTTATATCACATATCGACATTTTAAACAAATTTTATAAAATTTTTGAAAAAAATGAAGAAAAAATTTCATACGGAGATTTGGATGTAAGACGTGCTGCATCCATGAATGCTATTCATTCTTTATTAATAACAGACAAAACATTTAGAAACTGTGACGTTCATACCAGAAAAGTGTATGCATCTATGATATGCCAAGTTAGGAACACTGGTGGCACTGTGTACATGTTTTCAGACAACCACACCACAGGAGAACAGCTAAATGCTCTTACAGGCATAGCGGCCATTTTGAAGTTTCCCATTTTTCCCGAAATCGACGAGGGGAAGCGGCAGGAATCGCTGCTTGAGTGTGAGCCCTCAGGTGGGTAAGAAGTTGTTCGAAGTTGCTGGCACTTGTTCAGAATTATTCTTCGTCATTCGCAGTTATTCGAAGTTGTTTGGAAGGAACCTCTTAGTTGTAAAGGAATTTCCCATGTTGTGACTACATATTTGTGATGTCCCCTTTTTTTTCCTCTCTCTTTTTTTTTTTTTTTCTATTTTCCTCAATTTTCTTCAATTTTCTTCAATTTTCTTCAATTTTCTTCAATTTTCTTCCATTTTCTTCAATTTTCTTCAATTTTCTTCAATTTTCTTCCTTTTTCTTCAATTTTCTTCCATTTTTTTTTTGCTACCTTACTTTTCGAAATATTATTCGAAAAAAAACTGCATACCTAGCACTTAGTATGTTCCTCCTTTGTATAGGAAAACTAAGTTTATTAGATGTTCATTCGTTTTGTCATCTCATATATGCACACACCCTGTGAACACTGTTTGGGACACGCTTTTTTTTTTATTTTATTTTATTTTATTTTTTTTTATTTATTAATTTACGTTACTTTATTGCACGCACCTTCGTGCTTTTTGTATCTCCCCAAAAAGGTGTAAGGAAAAAAAAAAAAAAAAAAAATATGATAGAATATGAATAATATGATAGAATATGAAATAATATGATAGAATATGAAATAATATGATAGAATATGAAATAATATGATAAAATATAAGATAATATAATAGAATATGACATAATATAACATAATATAACAGAGTCTAATAGACTAGAATGCCACACTGTACTTGGTAAAGCACATGGTTGCATTGTTTTTTTTAGTGCAAGAAAGTGCTTGTTTTTTTTTTTTTTCAAAAAAAAAAGGAAAAAAAATGTATCAATCAATATGTATACAAAGTGCGAAACATACCATGTGTAACATGTGCAAAACGTGCAAAACATTTCGGATCATTATCTTCCTCTTCCTCTTCATCTTTTTTGCAAAAAAAAAAAAAAAAAAAAAATGTGTGGCGTGATATGCTACCCATGGCAACCAAATGCACGCATGTCTACTATTTTTTGCGTTGATGAAAACCACTTCATTTTTACGACACATTTTTGTTGCAGTTGTAAATGACTCGTGTCTGAACAAAGTTTTAAGAACTTCAAAAGGGAAAGAAAGGGATAAGTTGTATGTACACGAGTGGATGAGAACAGATACTACAGATGAACACGAGAATCTGTTCTAATTCACTCCTTAAGGAGAACGCGCGCATACACAAGAGGATGCGTGATAGTAAAACCAAACACCAAACTTTACATAATTGCTATTGTCAAGTCAGGTGTACATAATTGTCACTATCGAGAGAACAGTACACAATTGCCACTATCGAGCGAACTGCACACAATTGCCACTATCGGGGTGGACGTGAAACCCTTTGTATACAGAATGAAGAACGTAAGTATCACAAGAATCATCCTTTTTGGCTTTTTTTTCATAAACTTAGATACCTGTGTTGTATCATCTGAATGCACACATAAGTTAAAGGGGAGTAATGGAAAAAATATATCGGTAGGAAGGAATGCACAAGGTGATCCATCTAGCGATGATACTGTTGTAACTTGTTCTGCTGTAAATGGGGAAAAGCAGATGAAGTGGAAAGATAAAGAAAATGTGAATGGAAATCAAATCAATCAAAATGGAAATGGGATGAAAGAAAAAATGGCAGCAACAGGAGAGGAGGAAGAGTTGAACGAGGAAGGAATGGCAGAAGAAGGAGAAGATGTAGGTTTGGAATCTGAGGACGTGGATGAAACAGCAGATGTGGAAGCAACAGATGTGGAAGAAGCAGCAGATTTAGAAGCAGCAGATTTAGAAGCGGCAGATTTAGAAGCAGCAGAGGTGGAGGAAGCAAATGCCGAGGCAGCAAATGCGAATGATGCGACTGCCTTGGAGAAGAACCATTTGAAAGAAACAAAACAAAAAAAATTGGACACAAACTCATGGGGTGGGGTTCCTGTGCAAACGGGTTCTACATCTATCAAAAAGAAGATGAACACACAAGCCCAGAATGCTGGACACGGAAAATCGGTTCACATTTCTAGTGAATCTGAAAAGAAAAATAAACAAAACAGTTATAATACAAAAAGGACAGTGGAGAGAAAAGAGAAACATAACACGACTACTGAAAGTGCAAATATGAATGTGGTTGGAAATGGTGAGAATACAAATGTACAAATGAAGAAGAAGAAGAAAAAAAAAAAAAAGAAAAGAAAAGAAAAATTACTCAGAGATGAAAATGAAATATTGTATGAAGAAAAAAAACAAAAAATATTACTGATCCATGTTCTAAAAAATATTAAAGAATTGTTGGATAGACAAAAAGTAAATTTTAATAATTTCCTTTCTTTCTTGAGTGAAAATTATGCAAGTTATGAAAAATTCCATTCTTTTAAAAAAAATATGAACAATGCAAAGAATGCGAGTGAAAAGGAAGAAAATGCATTAACAGGTCATTCCTTTCTAAATTTGCATCAGGACAGTAATACCAGATGTATGAAGCAGAAAAATGATACTGGTATTTTCCAAAACAGTATGAATCAGAGAAACAAATATGCTGCTATGAAAAGGTATATGGCGAAAATGAATTCAGGTGTGAAAGGATGTAGCTATGGAAACGTGAACGATGATAAGAGTGAAAATTCGAAAGACAGGAATCATGGAACTAATAATAATAAACCAGAGAAAAAGAATTCTGATGATGATGATGATGATGAATACGACATAGAGAAAGACGAAGATAATGTTGAGGAGCACGGAGAGGAAGAGGAAGGAACCTCGAGTGGAGAAAACAAACCTGGTAGCAACAGTGATACAACACCCAGTAGCAACAGTGACGCAACACCTAGTAGCAACAGTGATACAACACCCAGTAACAACAGTGACGCAACACCCAGTAACAACAGTGACGAAACGAATAAATCTACAGATCAGATAGAAAAGATAAGAGAACTGCTAGAGAATCTCCTAAAGTCCAATGATATCTCTGATAAGCAAAAGGAATACCTGAGGGTGATTTTGAAAGTGCTTGAACTAGAGAACGATCTATTCGAAAAAGAAAAGTTACAAGTGGAGTTAAACAAAAATATAATCGATGTTCTGTTGGGAAAGTCAAATGAATTGAGAAACATAGCTGTGCATTTAAGTAAAGAAAATGGAGAAGGGGAAAGTTCACAAAGGGTAGATCTTGCACAAAACATCGTATCAAATCTGTTAAACTTTTCAGTAGAATTAAAAAATACAGGAAATATCGTGTATAATAATATACAGGGACAAGGAGAGCTTCTTCAGACGATTGAGAAAAACATAAACAAAGCAGAGGATGAGTTGAAGAGTGTTCGTGTTCATACAGAGTACAAGGGAACCAAGGAAAATCCAAGTCCGGGGCCAAATCCTGGGCCAACCCCGGGACCCAACCCAGAACCCAATCCAGAACCAGGTGTAGATCCAACTGATAATAATAACAATAATGATAATAATAGCAATAATGATAATAATAGCAATAATGATAATAATAATGACAACGGATTTGAGCACACCGATACCAATTATGAAAGCATTGGAAATGAGGAATTTCTGCGATACTGCAATTCTGATGAAACGTTTGCAAATTCAACATGTCCATTCAGTGCTTCTACAAAAAATAGTCGCCTTGGAAATAAAGTGCCCACGGATAGAGGTATTATTCACAAAATTCAAAATGAAAGAGGAACTTACAAAAAATTCAAGTTAAACGAATCGATGAAAAATCACTTTTTCAACATTTTTGTTAAGGATGCAGTTACGCTGAAGAAGTTGTACAAGTTGTTGTATGACATGTTCTAGCGTCCCTTCTTTCCTCCCCTCACAGTACTGGCGAGAAAATGGGACGAAAAAAAAAAAAAAATGACAAGGAAGCAATGAAAACATGTACACAAATTAGAGGAACAAAACTGAAACTTGAAAAATGACGAAAAAATTACTTGCCACAAAAGGTGGCTACAGTTTTCCTGCTCTTCATGTATTGTGGGGGTGGGTGGGTGCCATCATGAAAAGCTTCACATTTTTTTTTTTTTTTTTTTTTTTTTCTTTCTTTCTTTCCTCTTTTTAATTTTCATTTTGGCTAGTTATGACTATTCGAGGTCATTCCTGTCACTTCTCTCATTCTAATTTAGAAAATGTGTTTTTACTTTTAATTTTTACGTTTTTAAGATTTTAAATGTGCACAATGTGTTTCTGCCGTTTCGGTATCCTCTATTCATGCATTTGGAATGCTTTTGCCATGCCTTTTCCATTCTTTTGTCATGCCTTTTCCATTCTTTTGCTCATACCTTTTCCATTCTTTTGTCATGCCTTTTCCATTCTTTTGTCATGCCTTTTCCATTCTTTTGCTCATGCCTTTTCCATTCTTTTGCTCATACCTTTTCCATTCTTTTGCTCATACCTTTTCCATTCTTTTGCTCATACCTTTTCCATTCTTTTGCTCATACCTTTTTTTTCTCTGCTTTTTTCTTTTTTTTGTCTCCTGCCCGGTTACGTTTTTTCTTTTGGCGATTTGGGAGGTGCGTGCCGTTCATACGTTGTTACATAGTTGTGTTGTCCAAATCGGGTTCTCAAATCGGGTTCTCAAATGGGACATCACGAACAAACGCACAGAAGCTGAGGAATATGCTTAAGAAGAACCCATTTCACAGTTCACTCAATAACTCATTCACCTGGTTTTGTAGAGACCGTATGGTCTCATCCAATCTCTTTATCTTCTTGGAATCATTGTCCTCTTGGTTTTTGGAAACCATGACGGTTTGGTCACTTTTTCCATTCGGGGTGGTTTTGCCACATTTTGAACTTTTTGAGTTTTTTGAATTTTTGGAATTCTTGAAGTTTAAGGAATTCTTGGACGCTTTTGCATCTGTGCCATCCCTCGAATCATTGGAATCCTTGGGGGCAACAATTCCCCTTTTCTGTAAAATGATGTTGTTGTTGAGGTCCCGTAGGAATTTAATCTTTTCTTGAATTTGCGCCTTTTCATTGTTTTTTGTTTTTATGAAAACCTCCACGCGTCTCATACAATTTTCTATCTTTTTGTTTTGATTTTTTATGTGGCTAATTACTTCATGTAGATTTTTTATTTTTTTTTTTTCCAAATCGATTCTGTTCATATACTTGCAATGGAGTTCAATAAGGCTATTATTGTACACATTCGATTCATGCGACAGTTGAGAATACAAAATGTATAAGAGTTCATTTTTTAAACTGTCACTGATATATGTATCATCAGTAAATATGTCGAATATTTTATTGTATATGTGACTATTATATTCATACATATTTGCATCCATGTACAAATTTATGGGTGCATCATCAACATCTTCGTCAAATATTCCCTCCTCTTCATAATTATAGTATGTGTTGTATTTCTCACTCATTAGCTCATTGCTCCTTGTGGTGGACAAGTTGCAGTATCTATTGTGTTCCTTACAGTTAAATTTATTGTTCACTAAACAACACGCACCAGTTGCTTCGATTTGATAGTCTTCGTCTATTTTTACTTCTATAAAGGTCTCCTTCATATAATTCCAAATTTTTTTAGTCCTCATGTTTATGCAATAATGGTGATTATACAACGTACTGTGCATTTTCGCGTGACTATTCTGATATCTTCCGCATCCAATGTTTGCACATATGAGACATAACCAAATGTCATCCACATTGTTACAGTATCTGCATTTCAAGGTGCTAATTATTTCACACAATTTTGTTTTTTCTTCACACAGTTTTGTTTTTTCTTCACACAGTTTTGTTTTTTCTTCGCACAGTTTTGTTTTTTCTTCGCACAGTTTTGTTTTTTCTTCAGATATATTTTTTTTTCCCCTCCTTTTTAAAATGAGTTCACTTTTGTGTCTTCCTGGGGTGACCTCCGCACTGGGTTGTTCTGCTTCTCCATCTGGCCCAGCTTCTTCTCGATCCGGCCCCGCTTCTTCTCCAACTGACCTGTCCTTGCCCTTGCTGAGATTCGATGTGGTGACACATGCGAACCCTTCATGATGAGTTATGCCAATCCGGTTCATTCGATGCATGTTTTTTTTATTTTTCATTTTTACCAAAAGTTCGTCCTTTTTCCTATGATTCTCTGTGTTTAGAAGCAATGCTGAACTTAACTTTTCCATGTTCATGTCCAATCCTGTGGATGAATCATTTGAAGAAGTATTTCCCACAAAATTTGATACAGAATCATACAAAAAAATTAAAGAACAAACATTACATGAAATGTTAATATAATCCTGTATTCTGTTGTTATTTCTTTTTTTAATTAAATTCCATTTCTTGTTTCTGGTTAGAATAAAATGCAGTTCGTCATGTAACAATTCTATACATAAAACACATGTCGATATACATATATTACCATCTGTTATGATTTTTTTAAAACAATTTTCATAATTATTTATATCAAATAAGTCACTGCTGATGTGTTCGTTTAATCTTTCTTCTACCATTTTTTCACATTTTCTCTCATTTTTATGTATATCCGTTTTTTCTACTCTTAACGCAAGCGCTTCATCATTATGGATCATTGCGAAGCTTGCCTTTTTTGCATCTGAGGGATGTGAACCATACTCGTTCCTATTGATGACTTCCACGTTCGTGCTTCCAACATTTGGAATTCCCACCTCGACAGTGTAATCAATGGGGCCATTTCCATCAACTTGACACATCTGCACCTGTACACCATCGACAATATAGTGTATAAGATTAACGAATGCACAGTATATATACCAATCTGGGTATAGGATAGAAGAAAATGTGTTGTCTACTTCCTTCCACTCTCCTCCCATGGGGGACCCATCATCTTCCTGTTGTCTCTTCTGTTCCTTTGAGAAGAGGTCCAAATTCGTGCAGTGATATTCTCTATAGAACATGTCTGCATATATCTGCGTTTTGAAGATAATGAGTACTGAGTAATTTTTAATTTTTAATTTTTTTTTAAAATTTTTTTTCACCACGTCCTGTATTTTTTCCTGCACACCTGAGGGTTCTTCCACGCACAAAATTTCTGACAAATGGGACCCCAACCGTTCTCTGCATTTGGAAATCTCATCACACTCAACACATTCGATGTATTTATCGGATTTATCTAATTTATCAGATTTATCTGATTTATCGGATTTATCTAATTTGTCGGATTTATCTAATTTATCGGATTTATCTAATTTGTCGGATTTATCTAATTTGTCGGATTTATCTAATTTATCGGATTTATCTAATTTGTCGGATTTATCTAATTTGTCGGATTTATCTAATTTATCGGATTTATCTAATTTGTCGGATTTATCTAATTTGTCGGATTTATCTAATTTATCGGATTTATCTAATTTGTCGGATTTATCTAATTTATCGGATTTATCTAATTTATCGGATTTATCTAATTTGTCTGATTTCTTTCCATTTCTATGCACCTCATCATTATTGATGTTCCTCCTTTTTAACATTTCAATGGTGGATGTCTCTTTACTTTTTTCTAGATAACCAATTGGGGTACATGCTGATTCATGTTTTTCTCTCACCGATTCGTCGATTTCATTTTTGATTTCACTTATCTTTCGTAAAGATTTGCAAGAGGGATAAAATTCAGTGCGTTCTTTCAAAGAACAAATGGGATGCTCTTCTACAAGTTTATTGCTTCCTGTACTTTCATCTACTCCTTCCATTTCTGCTTTTCTCACCTGAACGTGTACATATAATTTCTCCTTCGCTGCGTCCATCGCTTCGTTCTTGTCCTGGTAAGTGTCCCATCCACATGATTCCTCTTCATCTAAAAATGATATATTGCTGTGCACGTGAAAAACTTTTATTTGGACTATAAAATCCATGTATGTGCTTATGATGCGATGGAAGTGATAAAAGGGAAAATAAGACGGTAGAGACAAAATGAATAACATATGAGATCTATGTAGGGGGAGATTCACTCTCTTCGCCTTGTGGTCATCTTGACGATGAGAATCTTTCTGTTTATTTCCGTTTTTCCCTCGTTTTTCTGTTTCTTCTTTTAACCATTTTACTTCTGCACTTTTGACTCGTTTCTCCACACCTTTCTTCATTCGCTTTTGGTTCATATGTGTGTCTTTACTTTCCATTTCATTGCTTTCTCTCCTTAGAGAACCAGGGGTTTCTACTTTTTCTACAGTTTCTGAGATAACATCTTTCGTGCCATCACTCCCTCCTACTCCTCCACTTCCCCCCTCTCCTTCTATTTCCGTTGCTGCTGCTCCTGCTGCTGCTCCTGCTGCTGCTCCTGCTTCTGCTGCTACTGCTGCTTCTGCTCCTGCTTCTGCTACTGCTGCTACTTCTTCTTCCTCTTCCTCTTCTATTAGATACAAATCAAAATTCTTCTCATCATTTATATATAGCTGCAAAAAGGTGGATGTGTAATGTTGTATCTTTTCTTGTCCAATTTTTTTGGTGCATTTCTGCTTGATAAGTTCCTTTTCTTTCGGCTTTTTGTCATTCACATTTTCAACTTGAAGAAAGATATCATTAATGTCATCCTTTTTTTCATTTCCCTCTGGTTGACTTTGTTTTGAAATTTTATTTCCATTTCGATCGTATATATTTTCAAATACGGTCAAAAAATTATTAACACGATTAATGCTTTCTTGTGTGTATACAATTAAGTGAAACATCCTTTCACCCTTTTATGTTTTTTTTTCATTCTCGAATCATGTTCACTTGGGTGGCAGGGTCGCGTGTCATTGTAAGCGTAAGCATAAGCGAAGGCGATTGTGTGGATGTTGGCAAAGTGTGGATGTTGGTGATGTTGCGCAAGCGCTCGGAAGAATGGGTAAATGTGAAAATGAACAGCTCTGCGTGCATATATGGACTTGCTTGAAAATATGCAAATGTCCTGTTCCCCAATTATTTGCCTGAACTGATCAGAAAATTCAAATATTCACATGACAAGCCAAACTGTGCCAACTACGCATACTTTGAGATCAAATATTGTATTAAAGTCATTTGGGTACACTGAGATTGTAAGGACGATTAACTTCATATCATTTGAAGTCCACATGTGTTCTTATATAAAGTACACATATTTGTGGTTATCCTAAACTTTAAGCGCAAATTGTCACATTAGTGAACGAGTTGGTAATTTTAAAATGAAATGAAAAAAAAAAAATAAAATAATAATAAAACAAAACAAAATAATAAAATTTACGAAAATTTGCATGAACAAGTCAGAATTTTTATATTCATACATATGCTGCAGCAAAAAAAAAAAAAAAAAAAAAAAAAACTCGCTGCTTAAACCTTTTGCTCGAAAAAAAAACAAAAAAAACAATCTCTATATAACCCCCACACAACCGCAGCCCAATATTTATGTATATACGTGCATATATTTTATGTATTTATGTCAAGAAGAGTAGTATTTTTTTTTTTTCTCTTTACCTTTTTGTGGAACTCTCTGTTTATTAAGTTTGCTTTTTTTTCTTTGCGACGGAGACGGGGTGTGGTGTGGTCCTAACGAATTTCTATTAAAACAGAAAACGGAAATTACCAACATGCTAATTTAGCAAAGCGTTGTTGTGTTATTAGTTCGTATTTTTACATTTCATTTTAATTTATTTTTAGCACATTTTAATTTATTTTATCACATTTTAATACATTTTAACACACTTTTAATATATTTTAATATGCTTTAAGTATGTTTTTAATATATTTCTTTTTCTTTTTTCTTGGCATATCTTCACGTTTGACAAAATACATCGTCATGCACAGTCCTTAATGAAAATGAAAAATCCCATCCCATAAGTGTTCTAATAAAGAAAAAAAAAAAAAAAAAATGTGACAATTTATTCTTCCATCTTTTGTATGAAGAAAATACATACATAAGGGCTTTCTTTGTTTATTTTATGAAAGAATTTTTTTTTGCTATTTTTTTTTTTTTTTTTCCCTTTTTTTTCTGTCACCTTTTTGGTATTTCTTTCTCCCTACAGATCATTTTATTAAATGATCGTACAAATTATTTATGTGTGAAGAAACATAACTTGTCAGTTTTACCTCAAGTAGCGGCGTATAGCACTATTGCATACGTGTATGTATATATATATATATACACATGCACATATAGAAACGTTTGTGTATTTTTTTTTTTTCTTTCTCTTTTTCCCCTGTTTAAGTATGGCACCAAAGAAGAAAGAGGAGGAGCAGAAGATACTGCTAGGAAGGTAATAACCCCCCCCCCCCTTGAGTTGGAAACAACGTGTACCATTTTTTTTTTTTTTTTTTTTTTTTTTTTCCCATTTGGACATTTAATGAACTTCTCCGTCATTTCCCCATTCTTCTTTATATTCGTAGGCCTAAGAATACCCTCAAAATGGGATTAGTTGGTTTGCCAAATGTTGGTAAGAAGGAGTAAACAACGTGTTCATAGTGGCAGTGTCTAAAAAGATTGAGAGACAGACACATATTCGTGTAATTCTGTGTCCACATGATTGATACCTAGTCTGCCAGATTTTGCGCATTTTTTCTAATTTTACGTACTTTACGTATTTTACGTATTTCGCGTATTTTACGTATTTCGCGTATTTTGCGTATTTTACGAATTTTACGTATTTTACTTATTTTACGAATTTTACTTATTTTACGAATTTTACTTATTTATTTATCTATGTATTTATTTTTTTTTTCTGGTCGCCCCCCACCCCCCATGTAAGGCAAATCAACCACATTTAATGTACTGACGAAGTTGAATATTCCTGCGGAGAATTACCCATTTTGCACCATAGACCCGCACGAAGCTAAGGTTACTGTGGAGGATGAACGATTCGATTGGCTAGTTAATCATTTCAAGCCAAAGAGTAATGTGCATGCATACCTATCCATCTTTGACATTGCTGGTTTAGTTAAGAATGCACATTTGGGGGAAGGGCTGGGGAATAATTTTTTATCGAACATTGCAGCAGTAGATGGAATTTACCATGTGGTGAGGGCATTCGAAAATGAAGATATAATACACACAGAAGGAAATATAGACCCAGTGAGAGATATGGATATAATAAATTCCGAATTGATATATAAAGACATTAGTCATTGTGAAAAGAATTTAGAAGAAGTGACAAAAGTGTTGAATAGAAATAAAAAGGATAAAATAAAACAAAATGAACATGATGTTTTAACTATTGTATTAGATTTTTTAAAAGAACATAAATGGATTAAAGATGGAAATTGGAAAAGTTCAGAAATTGAAGTAATTAATGAATTCAATTTTTTAACAGCAAAACCAGTAGTATATTTAGTGAATATGAGTGAAGCTGATTTTATCAGACAAAAAAATAAACATTTAGCAAAAATTTACAATTGGGTACAGGAAAAAAATAAGGGAACTATTATCCCATATTGTGCAGATTTGGAATTGAAACTTTTATCCATGAGTGAAGATGAAAAATTAAATTATCTTAAAGAAAATAATATAAAACAAAGCATGCTAAATAAAATTATTAAAACAGGATATTATGAAATTAATTTAATTCATTTTTTTACATGTGGACAAGATGAAGTTAAATGTTGGACAATAAGAAAAGGTACCAAGGCACCACAGGCTGCTGGTGTTATTCATACCGATTTTGAAAAGGGATTTATTTGTGCAGAGGTTTACAAGTATACTGATTTGGTGGAATTTAAATCTGAGGGGGAGGTCAAGGCCAATGGCAAGTATCTGCAAAAGGGAAAGGACTATGTCGTGGAGGATGGTGACATTGTCTTTTTCAAGTTTAATGTTTCCTCTTCTGGGAAGAAGTAGGAATAGCCCCAGTTATTGTCTCAGCTTGACCAAACCAAAAATATGTACACCGTGACACTGTTACTCTTTAACCTCCTCTCCATTTTTACCCTCACACCCTTACCCCGTCTGTTCACTTACATTCCCTTTGTGAAATTTTCTTACCCTTAATTTTTTAAAAAAGAAAAAAAAAAAAAAAACCTTAACAGGCAATAATTTTATGAACATTTTTTTTTTTTTTAACAAAAAATTTACAAATTTGGCTAGCCAGCTGGTTGAAAAAAAAAAAATTAATAAATAAAAAAAAAGACACAATAATGGTATTAGCAGTAATAGTGTTAGCAGCAATAGTAGCGGTAAAAAATGAAGAAACCACACAACTTGGGAAACAAACTAGTCGACCGGCGGGGTACACAAATACGGCCAATTGACGAAGCAGGGTATGAAACAGTTCGTTCAATTACCGTGAGTAAATTGTCATGTAGGGAGAGGATGTCGTATTATATATATATACATATATATATATATATTACATCCCAATATGTAGTCCCCGCGCGCTTATGCATGTGCATGTTTACACATACATGTAACATGTATTTGTGAACGTAAAAAAAAAAAAAAGGATAAAAAAAATAAAAATTTAACATTGTCGATCAGCACTCATCAAGCAAGAGTAACCAATCAATGAATACACTTATAAAGGTATTTTCGAACTTAAAAAAAAAAAAAAAAAAAGGATAAAAAAAAATAAAAATTTAACACTATCGATCAACACCCATCAAGCGAGAGTAAACAAATCAATGAATATACTTAAAGAGAAATTTTTTGTGAAAAGATGTTCTCACAGTGTCATTGATGAAGGTACTTTTTTTCCCCTTCTTCTCGCAGGTGTTTCTAAATATGGCCTCGTCTGTCCACTTGCGTTTTCTTGCTATATTTTTCGACTGCTCATCATCATCACTATTATCTTCAAGATTGATAAGAGGGTTGTTCGTCAACACGTTGTTCTTTTTACTTTTCATAAGTTCCTGTTCTTGTTTCTCTAATCTTTGTTTTTCCAGTTTTTCTCGTTTTAAATTTTCTAGCTCTCGGAGGAGTTCCTTCTCTTCTTCGTCATCCGATTGGCTATCCGGCTCACTATCCGATTGGCTATCCGGCTCACTATCCGACTGACTACCTACCTGTCCGTGCCGCTTTTCACTCCTCTTCGTTAATTTTTTTTTCTCTTTTATGTCTCTTCGCCGATTGCGTGTCTTCCATTCCTCCTCAACCTCGTCATCTTCATCTTCTGGAAACGGGTTGGTATATTCATGGTTCGTTGCTTTCTTTATATTTTCAATGGCGACAATCTTTTTACTGTTATTGTTCTTCTCCTCGCTTGTAATTCCGTTTTCCAGTTGAATGAGATTTTTCTTCAACACTTCCTTTTCCTCCATATAATCGCTCAAATCCCTCATTTTCATCTTCGTGTGGCTTGGCATGTCTCTGCTGCAAACTTTTGCCGTTTGACTCACCTTTCTGTTCCCTCCTAAGGGTTAAGAAGTGCAGAAGTAAAGTAGTGGAGAAGTTATGAAGTTACGAAGTTATGAAGTTACGAAGTTATGAAGTTACGAAGTTATGAAGTTACGAAGTTATGAAGTTATGATGTTACGAAGTTATGATGTTACGAAGTTGTGCATGAGGTGTGGAAAAAATGTACGTGTAGTTGAGTGACTTACCTTGGTTTTCTCCTCCTATCGCATTGTACCATGTAGGTCTATGAGCAGTTGTCATCTTTTCGTTTTTAAATTTGTCAGAGTTTTATTTTATGACTAATAATCTGCTTGACACCTGAATGTGGGGGCTTAGCAGATGTTCCCCATATGTGTGAAAATTCGTGAATATGTTTTTACACTCAGAAGTATGTTTATATTTATGTTTTGCACTTGTGTGCGTTTGATGAGGTTGTTAAGCGTCTTCTCCTCCAGTAATGATGATGCGGGGTAGGATAGACATTCGTGTTGTAGCAATATTCCGGTAGTTAAAATTTCCAACAGAAGGAAATTAAATAGATTCAATGAAGAGACTCAATGTAGTTAGTCCCTAACCTTTTGAGAGGAACTTTACACAGTGTTATATGTAAAATTAGGTCATCTGCGTTGTGCTAATTTGGAACAAAGGTAAGAGAGAGAGAGAGAAAGAAAAAAAAAAAAAAAAAAAAACTTTGTTTCGCCCTTTTGTTTTTTTTTCTCTTTTCATAAATCCATCAAATGAAATATCCACGCCATGTATATCTCTCTGAACACGTCTTAATCAGAGTGAAGCAACCTTTTTTTCTTTTTTTTTTTTTTTTTTTTACTATGTATAGCTACTCCTAAGGAATATGTATAATACGGTAGAAGTAGTGTATACTTTTTCATAGGAAAAAGTATAAATAATACTATATGCACGGATAGTATTTAGAATGGGTTGTTTCTAAAAATGGGACAAGGTTTATCCAGAGTTGGATAAATTTGATTTTCCCCTCGAATCTCAGGATTGGCAAAGGTGCACACAGTCGCTTTCTCTCCGTACAGCGGCAGAAACGCACGTTTGCATTAGGTATGCATGTAAGTACATATGTAAGTACCTACGCAAGTACATATGTAAGTACGTATGTATATATATATGAATCCCATATGTCATACTTCAAAAAAAAAAAGAAAATTTCTTCAAATTGTTAATATGCTTTTGAGAAAATTAAGATGGTTTCTCGCTCTCTACGAATTTTTTCGCCAGAGAAAAAAAAAAAATAATAAAATAAATGAATAAATAAATAAATAAATAAATGAATAAATAAATAAATAAATAAATAAATAAATGAATAAATAAATAAATGAATGAATAAATAAATAAACAAATAAATAAATAAATAAACAAATGAATAAACATACATATGGTACATGCATAAACAATGCTGAGCAATAAAAACTATGCCATCGTGGCACTAGTAAAATATATATGTCAAATGAATTATTTGTTTTATGGCACAAATAGGAAGCGCGCCGGTGCCTCCATTTTCCCAGTGTATTTGGGGAGGGAGGAGAAAATAAAATTTGTGATTTCAAATTACAACATTTTATAAAAATAAAAAAAAAAAAATAAAAAATAAATATAACAAAATAAATGAAGTGGTGCTTTCTGTTCCATTCGATTTCGCACGAATCCATTTATTACCGTTGGTGTTGATGATAAAAATGGTTCTTTTTGTGCGCAAGAAAAAAAAAAAAAAAAAAAAAAAAAAAAACTTTTACCCAACATATTATACTTATATATAATACTTTACTATGTGCATACAACATGATGTACATTTTTGCAGTAAATTTTTCTTACGTGCAAATAATGTAACACTCACTGAGGTAGGAGGGTAATATATTTTTTTTCCTTTTTTCCGACCACCCTAAAAAATGACAAACGTGTCAGTGATATATATATGTATCACTTTGTGATGAATGCATAAAAAAATTTATACACAAAAACAGGGTGAGCGGGTGAGCGGGTGAGAGGGTGAGCGGGTGAGAGGGTGACAGGAGGAGAGACACACTATATCTTTATTTTTTTTTCACCTTCCAAGTTTGTATCAACACGTTGCTATTATGTTAAAGCCATATGCACATCTAACTTTGTCCCTTTTCCTTCGCGTTTGTTTTTCTCATATGTGATCCCCCCTCCTAATCCTTAAAACTTTTACGCAAATATTTTGGAACATTCGAATTTAAAAATGAATTTTTTTTTTTTTTTTTTTGGTTTTTCTTGTTTCTTTTCTTCTGTTTCCAAGACGTCGACTGTCCACCATCAAGATGTGTGTGCACCTTACCTTGGTTATGTTTAGAATTACATTTATCCATGGTAGCTGTCGATTGTTCATCATTACTTGTGTTTTCTGGCTCACTTGAGACTTTTCTCATGACATGCAGGTTTTTTACAGTAGATAAAGGATTTTTCTTTTTCGAATTGGATGACATAGAATTTTGCATAGACTGATGTAAATTACTTTGATATGAACGATTGGGTGGTAGATGATTTACTTTTGGGTTGCTGGGAAAGGTATAAGGATTAACTTTTCCTATTTCATTTTTTTTAAAATGAATTGTATCAGGTGGTAATTTTTCCAAAAGTGATCTAATTTCATTTTCTCGAACCTGTTTCTTGGTTTCATATGGATTATTTACAAAGGTATCTATATTGGCTAGTCCAGCTCCTGGGATGAGTAAAGATTTAATAGAATACTTAGAACCCACACAACATATATCTTCAAATGGTTGAAATGATATAGAATTTATTTTATCTCCACAAATGTTATGAGTTAAATATAATTCTGGTTTTGAAAAGAAATTTTTATATGTTCGAAAATGACTATTCATTGAAAATGCAACAATATTTCTGTCGCTAATTTCTATATTATCAATAATGTTATGAGATCTATATGAATTTATAAATTCTAATTTTCTCATATCCCACAATTTGTATGTACAATCAAGAGACGCTGTAATAAGATAATTATCTTGAATAGATAATGACGAAATTGGAGTTTCATGACAAAACATATCACATACAGGTTTATCCATATTTGGAGTCCATATAGTTACATGTCCATTTTTATGCCCAAGATAGATAGTAGCATCATGTTTATTTTGTTTCATAATTGTACAAGGGCCTCTTTTTGTTTTTTTCCTTGTAACAATATTTCCAATACTTATATCTTGATATACCAATTCTCCAAATTCTCCTACTGATGTTAATAAGAAATGAAATGGTAAGAATTCCATTTGGTATGTGTATAGTATATCCTTAATACAGTTCACTTCTATCCCTGTATTGTCATATATATATATATATTTTTTCTGTGCAACTGCAAATAGTTTGTGATTATGTAGAATCGTGCTGCATCTAACAGTTTCCTCTACTTCTAGCTCACATTTGGGTTCTAAATTATGTGTATCTATCAATGTTATGTGTCCTTTTTCTCCTGTGCTTAGTAAATATTTTCCATTTCTTGAGTAACTACATTTGTATGGACCTAAATTTAGTCTTAAGTTTAGAATCTTTTTTTTAGTCCCTACATCTGCTTTGTTGTAAATTTCTTTCTGCGTAGGAAATTTTTTCATCTTAGAATGTACCTCTATGTGTTCGGCGAGATTATTTGAAGTTCCTTCTTCCTCTTGAATAGACTCTTCATTTATACAGCTTACAAATTCGTTCCTCTTCCCCTTCGTATGCCATTCCTTTTGTGTATTCACAATGGAGTGTTCCTTAGATGTAGAATTATCCGTTTGGTCATGCGTAAATCGAATGAACCCTTCGTCTACTCTTTTAAATTTGCTATTGGCTAGCATCTTTTTCGAGGATATGATGGCTAGTCTCACATCCTTATTCAATTTGTTTTTTATTTTTTTATTTTTTATTTTTTTCGTTTTTGGCAAATTTTTAGGAAGTAAAAGTGGGTCTACTTGGAGGTAATCAATTCGGTTCTTTTGTTTTATTTTATTCTGGATCTTTTTTTTTATTTTATGCAGTACTTTCCTAGCAGACTTGTCATTAGCTTTTTCCACATTGACGTTTATCTTGTTTTCTTCGATCGCTTCGGGGTTCACGTCCCGCTGCACGAATAGGATCCCCTCCATGCCGGCCGCTTGCGGTTCAAGCAGAAGTGAGACGTCAGATGTGAGATGGCAGAAGTGAGATGTCAAAGGTGAGATGGCAAATGTCAGATGGCAAATGTCAGATGTCAAAGGTGAGATGTCAAAGGTGAGATGTCAGAAGTGAAACGTCAAATGTGCACACTTCTGACCTAAGCAGTACACCGTTCAGTTGTATATTCTTCACAAACATGCTAGTAACTTATGGAGATAACAATTGTCCCCGCACCCTCACCCCGGTGGACAGATGTGGCATATAAGGGTCTTTTTCCTGATACGTTCCTATTTTTTTTACGACGCCCTAGGTTCAAGCATGCAGTAGAAAAATATCCTCGTTGTAATGGTTTCAAGGTTAGATCAAAAAGTTCTATACAATGCTGTACCATTAAGTCATTAGTTTTTATATCCCACAGTTGGAATGGGGGTGCGGGGGAAAAGAAAAATATACTTTTTCCTCCCTTTCTATTTTGTAAACAGAGAAGAAAAAAAAAAAAAAAAAAAAAAAAAAAAAAAAATTGTTTTTCCTTTTTTTTTTTTTTTTTTTTTTTTNNNTACCATTAGTTATTTGTTTTTTTATCCCCCAGTTGGAATGGGGGGGGGGGGGAAAAAAAAAAAATACTTTTTCCCCCCTTTTTATTTTGTAAAAAAAGAAAAAAAAAAAAAAAAAAAAAAAAAAAAAAAAAAAAAAGTGGTCCCAATTGCGATAGGCTTGCGCTGGAATGGGGCATTTGTCGACAAGCTAAAGCCTAAATTTATTCTCCCAGAGGTTCAATCATTTGTTTTTCTTTTTCCTTTTTTTTTTTTTCTTTTTTTTTTTTTTTTATATTTTTGATGGCCTCTTTTATGTATTTTTTTCGGGATGCGCGGGGTTACGTTTTTGATTTTTTTTTTTTTTTTTTTTTTAAAATTGCATTATTTTTTTCTACATTCACTTCTTTATTCATTTCTCCGTTCGCTTCTGCGTTCGCTTCTTCGTTCACTTCTGCATTTTTGCTTCACTTTTTTCTGCATTTTATTCTCCGCTCCTTTCAACATTTCTTGGCTTTTATTTTTTTAATTTTTCAACGATACAATCGCACGAGGTGCATACGTCACGGATAACCCACCTTCAGTCGACCAAGGAAAATGAAAAAGGAAAATGAAAAAGGGAAAAAATGCATGTTAGGGAAATCGAAAGGGTGAAAAATTTTCAATAATGAAATACTCTTTTTTTTTTTTTTTTTTTTTTTTCTTTCTTAATTGAAATTTAATTTTTATAAATTGACACAAGTGGGCTACACTCAGCCAAGTTTTAGAAAAAGAAAGAAAAAAAAAAAAAAAATTGTGTGACATACATAATTTAATACACGACAGTTAACCTAAACGGGAGAACACAAGCAAGAACATATACAATTTTATCACATGCGAACACAAATTGATTAACAAGAGAAGAAAAAAGAAACTTTGGGATAAAGGAAAAAAAAAAAAAAAAAAAAAAAAAAAAGTCTTTTATTTTTCATATAAAAGTAGCCAACAGAGAGTGGGAGAGAGTGCAAAGTGAAAAAGGAGGCCTTAAGCACTCGTTTCCCATTATCCACACAGGCAAAGATATGAACATACATACGTACGTACATATACGTATGCGCATAGATAAATATTTATGCCACTGTTATGTTCCCCTTAGGAAATCTAAAGCAGTAGCAGAAGTAGAAGCAGAAGCAATTGCAGCTGAACCGTTCACCATATCGCCCACTAACACTCAGAACAGAAAGTGGGGAAACACCAGACCTTGCACCGCTGAGCGATTCTAAAGGAACCAGAACGAAGCAGTGAAAAGGGGACAAAATGTCAAAGGCCGTTTATGCAAAAATTTGGATGAGTACGAGGTACTTCAACCTGCGAAGGAGATACGGATGCATTAAGGTTTGGTAAGTGTCCAACATGTTTTGATGTGTTCACAAAAACATATAAGTATCATTCATTTTGTGTTCGTCTTTTTGTGTGTAATGAAATGGTGTCGCTGATTAGTGAGAGAGAACCCTTTTGAGTGACAGAGTTGGAAATGATAAGAAGTGCACTCTCTATGCACACGTTTATATATGTGAGCATATGGCAGAGGACTTGCCAACGTGGTATATATCATTGTGTATATATTTTTTTTTTAGTGCATAGGTACACTGCTATATACTATACTACATACCGAATTGATCCTGATTTTATCACATGTATTCTGTTTTTTTTCATTTCATCTCTACTATCTCACCCCTTAACTTTTTTTTTTTTTTTACAATCCCATAGTGGCCGTCTAAGTCCTTGGTTATACGTTTGGTCCTTTTATTGTCTATCGCTTGTTTTTCCAGCCCTTAGTAATGAGAATAAGAAACTTTTAACCTTTGGAATTTGGAAGGAGAATGATGTCGGTTATAACAAATGTGCACCACCACCATATGAATGAGATAGGAGAAATGAGGAATATTTGTTGGATCCATTGGTGTGTACGTTTGTGGTATAAGTATTTCCCAATTCCCCGATTAAAAACTGGTTAAATAGGGTTTCCTACATATGCACGAACACAGAAATGGAATTTTGCAAACTTATCATAGAAATTGTTTTATATCCTTTCTAATGGATGTATAGTTTGGAAAAAGACCTTTTTTTTTTTTTTTTTTTTCTTCTTTTTTTACTTCATATATACAGATGAGCAAATGGATCTGGTCTTAAGGGAGATCCCATACCCAGCTTTCTCCCATAGACAATAGAAAGAAGTTATATCACAGTTATCGCATAAGGTCTATCCTCGTGTACTCATGCTCTGTATACAAAAAGACATGTTGCTTATGTTTTACTTTTTCCATAGGAATGTATTGCATTGGGTATGTTTTTTCATATATATTACATATTCTTTCCATTCGCAATTTTTTTTTCTGTATTAAACACTATTCTTGTTGGGTATGGGGGAGAAACACTTTTTAGTGAGTCTCTCACCTGGCCATACTGCAACTTCAAAATGTTTTACTTTACGCGAATTAGGAAAAAATGTATCCAATAATTTATTACCGAGTATTTCATAGTGAGCCAATATTACAGAGAATATTTTAAAAAAAGAAAAAAAAGAACAATTACACCGAGTGGTAAAAATTACCTGACCGTTTTGAGCAACCATCAGCTCCCGCGCGAAAAAAGAAAAGAAAAAAAAAAAAAAAAAAAAAAAAACGTAGTAACCAAGTGGACTGACGGGGCGGAAAAATTGCATGAACAGCAATGTTGCAAAATGAAAAATGGCTAGGTGACAAAATGACAAAATGACAAAATGACAAAATGACAAAATGACAAAATGACAAAATCGTATGAACAGCAATGTAGCGAAATTGTACACACACAGAAACGCAACTGAGCAAAGAAACAGTTGCGACATCCATTTTGTGGAAAATTTTTAAAGTAAAAAAAAGCTTGCCGAAATAGACATTGTTACATAAGGCATTCCCACGTGAGAATGCCACTTCTGTTAGTTTGTTTTGTGTGTCTCTTTTGTCATCATCACCATTGTGCCCATTTCTTAGTATCATCATTTACATCCTGTCGTAGTTTTTTTTTTTTTTTTTTTTTTTTTTTCTTTGCAACACGCAAGAGGAACTCTTCATTCTAACTCATAGGGAAAAAGGAGGAAATCTCAGAATAGTTCATTTCAGTTATCCAAATGAAGTTGTCATTTTTATTTTGTTTTGTATTTTTGTTCCTTGTGCCATGTCTGTTCGGATATGCTGATAACGCACTTCACTATCAGATTAGGAGAAAAAAAGAAATGGTGCAAGAGAAAAATGGATTGGTAAACCAAGACAAGGGAATATCAACTGGAGATATCACAATGAATTCAAACAGAGAGGGAGAAATGATTTACAGAAAGGAGCCTCTCCCAGAATTGCAGAAGCACACAGGTGTTGATTTAGATGGGCTCGTAAATTTTGCGGACCCAAATGAATTATACAAGTTTTTAACAGAAGACACAGACGGAAGTGAAGAAAGCAAATCGAGGAATAATTCATTTTCAAATCTGAAAGGAGCAATAAAAGGAAGCAACATGAAGAAAGAGATATTCCTTACTTTGTATAAATCAGCGCTAAGTCACTTCGATGTAGATGGGTATAATGTCTTTATGGAAAATATCATGACAGAAAAGAGACATAATAATGATGAATTTTTAGAAAGACGGAAAAGGAAAAAATATAATAGATCTTATCCACATTGTGATAGGGGTCCAAATGGAATGGTGAAACTAGAGAGAAGTACAGATAAAGGTAACTACCAAAGTAAGGATGTGTACATAAAAGAGACACGAATAACTGGAGGTAGAGAAGGAAATGTTGAATACCCAGGTGGCCCCATCAGATCGGTGTATGGAAACAACTTAAGCAAATGGATGAAAGATTCTTTAGAAGATATCGAAACTCCTGCATCTATAAAAGAACCTGGATTAGCAAATATGTTAATGCAAAGTTTAACTATGGTTAAAGGATTAATTCAATCAGTGGCTAGCTCCGTAGTGGATATTGTACCTCCTTTAATACCTCCACCAGTATGGATTAATAGACCACTTCCATGCTTACCAATGGTGACAGGGAAAAATTGTTTGGGTTCTGTCTTATACCCTATAACAGCTGCAGAATTCGTGACAGCTGATATTACAGATTCTATAATGAACGGAGTTATCTCAAGCTTCCCAGCAAAATATGCATCTAAAGTAGGAAAAACATCGGATACACAATATCGAATATGTGCTATGGCATATCTTGGAATGTATTGTGCATCTATTTTTCCAATATGTTGGTTACCCATAGGTTTGAAAGTAGCAGAAACAATGTCAGTTTGTTTCCCTCAATGTTTAGCTACCCTTATTGCATGCCCTGGGTTCTGGATAGACGACATTGAGGGACCTTGTAATAATGCATCTGTGCCTCCATTTTGCTCCTTTTCCGTTTTTGTGAATCAAAAAATTGTTCCTCCTCAGTTGACATCTTATGATGATTCACACATGTATCCGAGTTCATGTCCTGAAAAGGATGAAGAATATGACTTGCTGGATGAATTGTATGATCATGAAGATAAAAAATTTAACAATGTTTATAATAAAGAAAAGAATTCTTATTCGAAAATATCTTTACCTACCTATCCAGATTTAATTCCAAACATTTATGATAAACAAGAACACAGGAAAGAAGAACTAGAAGCATGCAAATGTATGAACATCATTCAGTTATGCAGAAAACATTTTGCCATACCTGTCATTGCAAAGTATCACACACTTTTTGATACTACTCATGAAGAACCTGTTAAGCTATCTCCCCTTCAGACTAGATGTTGTCGAATCTGCAAACCCATTTGGCTAGTCCTGTTCCCTCGAAAACGTATAATAGATTTGAGAGGTTCTCCTGTCTATCCAAAGAGGAAGACAACTATGAATCTCTCAAATCTTGTGTTACATTGAAAGAAGTTCCAAAGTATCCAAAAAAAAAAAAAAAAAAAAAAAACTGCTTCTGTCTAGTGAAAATGGCTTAAATCATTGATTCGTTAAGATTCTTTCTATAAATTCATCATTTAACACTTTTCGCTACTCCCTGGGAAGAATCCAATTTTTTACACCTCACTTTGGAAATTCATATGGAAACCATTTTGAGGTAACATATATCTAACTTCTCAACAATTGTGTATGATGTGCTTTTTAAAAAAAAAAAAAAAAAAAAATTACACCCTAATGGGCATAGTAACAAAATTGGTTTTAGAAAAAGGGTCTGTCACATGCACCTCCAAGTGAGGAAAAAATAAGACGAAATAAAAAAATAAACGGGATAGATTTTTCTCTCCCTTGTACAAGGAGTTCATAAATGGAAACATCACACACAACAGTACAAAAAAAAAAAAAAAAAAAAAAAAAAAAAAAAATTCTTAACGCTAAATACGTAGAACACAAGTTATTATCTCTAGCCTCTATGCAAATAAGCCGAGTTGACAAAATGGAATAACACAACAAATAGGAATAATTTCAAATGTGACGTGAAAAAAAAAAAGAAAAAATTGTGTGAACTCCATGTGGAAGAACACATTTTTTTTTTTTTTTTTTTTTTTTTTGTCCCCCTCTAATATGCAATTTTGCACCTTGATGGGGAAAAAAGGAGGAAAATGTGAAGAGAAAATGTGAAGAAAAAATTTGAAGAGAAAATGTGAAGAAAAAATTTGAAGAAAAAATTTGAAGAAAAAATTTGAAGAAAAAATTTGAAGAAAAAATTTGAAGAGAACATGAGGAAAAAATTTTTTCTTCCACTTTTTTTTCCCTCATTTGCAATTGAAAAGACAAATTAAAGAAATGGATGGAACAGAATAACTCTGTTTGATTTACATCTGAGCATAGATGAATCCGTCTGACAAGGCTTAAACGGGAATGAAGAGGAAAGGGTGTAGGCTTTCAAATGAATTGACAAAAAGCAGATTCACAAAGGACCTCGGGAAGAGGAAATATCAAAGGTGTTCTACATTCTACTATGTTCAGAAAAAAAATATGGAATCTTCTCTCTTTGTTGTTACGTATCCGATTCTCTTTCCTGATCTGATTGGTGAGGGTTCTCTTACATCTTTGAGGGTAGAAGGAGGAGAAGTGGAGTGAGGTGTAACTGAATCGGCTTTGTCTCAATATGGAGAATTGTTGATATAGGATAGAGGTAAGTCACAATGTTACATATGACAATGTACATCGAAAAGATGTACATCAGTTGCAATGATAACAGATGTAACGATGCATGCTGTCAATGTAGAATCTTTTTCTCACAGGTAAACTAATCATTGTGTGCATGAGAGAGAGAAATAAAAAAAAAAAAAAAAAAAAAAAAAATCGTACAGTTAAAGGCGATGGAACAATGCTTATTCTTGCAAATGGTATTTATGTGAAAGGGTTTTCTATCACTATGTTCAATGGGTATGAGATCATTCTTCAGATGAAGAAAATAAAAAAAAAAAGTAGAGAGGGAGGAGAAAGAAAGAGAAATGTGAAAATGTTGAAGAGGAGTCAATCGATCAAGTAGATGTATAAAACTTAGGTGCTTTTCATTATTCAATTCAAAAACGCATGTTGTCTAATTCGTTTATTTGTAACATTTAAGTTGTCCCTGTGATATGAGGATTTGAATTTTATTTTTCTCTCTTCGGTTTCCTTTGGAACGCAGTTTATCTATGCGACGTTAAAATTGGGAGAAAAATGAAATGGCACACCAACAAGGGAACAATACAGAAAAAAACACACACACGTTCATTCACAAACAGTACAGAAGAAGGGGAGGAGAGGAACTCTATCCACTTGTGTAGTTCATAATGGAAATATAAACCCCTTTTTTTATAAGAACACTCTTGATAAAATAATCATACGTCGAGCTTGGTCTCGTTATAATGAATCATCTTTCTGCTGGAATTTGGAATGGGTGCATTTTCCTTTGGACACAGGGATTTCTTTAAAAAAAAAGGCAAAGGCGATTAGAGGGTTAGGGTGACTAGAGTGTTAAGGTTTAGAGGCTAATTTGTTTTGAGTCTATTTGGTTTTAGAGTTGATTGGGATTAAGCTCGTTATACTTCCCGGGTTGTATGTATGCTTATGGTGAATAACTTTGTTTTGTTTTTTCCTCTCTTGCATTAGTAAATTTTATACTTACCTCCAACTGGCTCATGTAATGACTTTTGTTTTTTTGAGGAATGAACGAATCGGCACTTATATTTGGTACAAGGCAGGTCTAAAATTGGGGAATCGTTTTTTTTTTTTTTTTTTTTTTTTTTTTTTTCACATTATTCAGAATTGGTTAGCACTGTTTAACATTCTAATTATCATATGTATGGTGTATGTACGTGGAAAGACAAAACAAATGGTGAACAGTGACGAGAATGCTCATAAAAATGGAGAGAGAGCATATTCCATCCATGGTTATCATTACAAACTAGCTAATTTAGTATGAACACTTACTGATAAATTATTAATATGTCTATAATTCCTTTTCGGTGGTGGTAATGTATATCTAAGAACGTCTATACCCCATTTGTATGGGTTGTTATTCAAGCTGTAACTACTAGTCTTTTTAGAGCTGTAATTTGTGTGAAATGAAATGAGATGGGAGAGAGGGAGAGAAAAATAAAAAAAATACATGAGTCAAGTTCAGTAAAGTGGTTCTTCTTGCAAACATTATAATAGACCAATGTGAGACATGAACTCATTTCTTTTGTGTGAATTTTTCCAAATTTTCGAATTTTTTTTTTGCTTTTTCAAGAGACCTCCTCTTTTGTCCTGTGTCTCTGCTGAAGAGAAGAGCATAATGATAGAGAAAAAAAAAAAAAAAAAAAAAAAATGGAAGGGAGGGATATCAATGTTAATTATTATATATATATATATACACTTTTGTTCCGATGATATTTGCATTAAAAGCACTGTTTTTTTTTTTTTTTTCTCTCTCTCCTCTCTCTCTCTCTCTCTCTCTCTCTTGTGTTTGTGTGTCAACCTTTCGTTAGAAAAAATGCCCCCACTTTTAAAATCAGAATAAATTCTTCTTCCACTTTTTTTGCTGAGCACTTGAAAAGGCTCGTGCTGTAATATCTTTTTTATTTCTCCTGAAGTGTTTTCAGATATTTTTTTCTTCGTAAATTTGTGGGCCGTGTAATGTCCGTTGTTCTTATTCTGGTCTGCCATTGGGGTGAAGTGAAAGTAGTGAAAAAATTGAATACAGTGAAAGTGAAGGAAAACTAAGGGTTTCTGTTTTCTGGTTTTTTTTGGAAACAATTATGTGCACAACTGTGTGCATGCTCTTTTGTAGAATTGAAAAAATATGACAATGGACTTTGAGACGTGTAACTAAGCAAAAATATTACGTAGGTGCACAAATATATATAGCATGTAATGCACCTACCTCTCCTTTCATCTTCAGTTTCATCAAACACAGATGTTTTATTTCTATGATTGATATTTCTTATACTACTTTTTAATTTCACTTCGGTTGTCTCATAGAATAGCTTCGATTGTGTGTGTGTGTGTAGGTAGGTAGGTGGGTAGTTATTGTATTGGTAATGGAAGCAGTAATGGCAGTGATAATGGAAACACGATGGAGAAGAAGCGTACATTTGCATGTCCAACTATTTGTTAATTTATTCCCCATTTGGATTTCCTACTTTGCAATGATTCGTTTCTCTTGAGTAGGTTGGCTTTCCGGCAGCTACACTGAAGGTATATGTGTGTGTGTGAGTGAGTGAGGGATAAGCAAAAGAGATACAATTTGAGATAGAGAAAATTTTGCAAAACTGTCTTTTTCTATTTTATGAAGTTGGCATATTGGGAACGACAGTTGCAAAGGCAGGAAAGAGAAGATGTACACAGGCATACTTGTATGTGTACATATACATATATATACATATATATATAAATGGTGCACGTATTATTTGTCCCTATGACGATTTTTCCTGGTGAGTCATTACTCGTTGAATCGGATTGGGTCATTTCTTTGGTTCCGTTTACCACTTGACGAGATCATTTTGTTTTATTTGAACTGGAATATACACGAAGCTCCGAGAGGAAACAGTTCAGTGTTTAGAATGTCAAAAAAAAAAAAAAAAAAAAAAAAAAAAAGGGGAAGGGGCAAACGAAAGATTTTAAGACTCTTGTCTCCACACTTGTGTAAAATTCATCAAAATTATTTTTAGGAAATTTAAATACATGGAATAATGTAAAAATATCACGTCAACTTATGGATAGGGTGAAACTAATTTTTATGAATGAACTCAGAAATGTTTCCTTATTCATATTTCGCTCTAAGGATGTAGGGGTTTCATTTGGAAGGCAACTAGAGCTACCATTCTGGAAAAAATGCAAAAGAACAGGAAAAAAAAGAGCAGTAAAGAAAAAAAAAAAAAAAAAAAAGACTCAACAAGACAAGGTTAGAAAAAACAAGACAAAATAAAATAAAACAAAAAAGAGAACAATAATGAGAACAAAAATGAGAACAAAAATGAGAACAAAAATGAGAACAAAAATGAGAGCAATAATGAGAGCAATAATGAAAGCAATAATGAGAACAAAAATGAAAACAAGAAAGAAAACAAAAGTGAAAAAAAAAAAACAAAAAACATTCGTGCACTTGTATGCAAGGGGATAAGAGCACATGCCGTATTCCCCAGAGCGCGATATGCAAAAATACTCTTATGCGTGAAAGAGACTTTTTAAAAAAAAAAAAAAAAAAAAATGAAAGAACGAAAGAATGAAAGAATGAAAGAATGAAATAAAAGAAGCCTGTCCTACTTGGTTAGACCACATGTTACGTTACATAAAGGTACAATTTGCAATATTTTACCTTGTGCCTTTTTTTATTTTATTTTAGATATATATATATATATTTTTTTTTTTTTTTTTTTTGGGATACGCACTCACGCAAGCATACACACGTGCATATTATGAGGATTTCTCAGCTTTGATGAAAATTTTTGTGAAAATGTGTGTATTGACCTAGTACCATTTGTTCAATATGTAACTTTTCTTTCTTTTTTTTTTTTTTTTTTTTTTTAATACGAAACAGTACACACATAGTATATGCACTTTTGGAGTGTCTAATTATTTCAAAATAAATTTTTCTCATTTTACAAGGAGATACGAGATTCTTTGGTAAACTGTGGAATTGAATCCTCGTTTGAAATTTGAAATCCAGACAATGGGGATCGAAAGAAAACATTTTGACCACTAGAAGAAAATACTCACCCTCATACACGAACGAGCTAACAGACATTCGTGTTTGAGTTTGTGTCTTTCCTTTGATGCATTCAAATGGCATGTCGGAGGTGTACACATATCTGTATATGTCCTTGTGGTGAGAAATTATGTACACTCCTTTAAAAAAAAAAAAAAAACATATGGGAATCGTTTTTTTTTTTTTTTCCTTATGGCATTTATCTGGTAACACTTTTTATGTCTCTTTTTTTTTTGCCCCTTTTTTTTGCCCCTTTTTTGATCCATTCGTTTGCGTGCAGATGTAGCATCGCCACTACCCATAGTCACTTGTCAAACACAAATCCGTACTTGTTCCAAAAACGATCACACACGAGATTTTCGTGTGAGAGGATTAATTTTGTCATGCTTTCTTTTGTTTGTTTCGTTGGGGTATACATTGTGAAAGCATCATCTCGTTTTTCCTCCACGATGGGTGCCTTTAAGTCTTCATCTCCTCTTCCCTGTTTCTGTTTTTCCACGCAGTCTATAGCAATGTCGGTGTTAACTTCAGCCCTGGTGGTATTAGCAGCACTGTTCCTAATTATGATGGACCCACGCCTGAAAATTTCTGGCAAATCGTTGTAGTTAATTCCAAATCGCGAGAAAAGCAGCTCATTTTTTTCCTTTTTTTGAGTTGTTAATAAAAATTTATATGCTTCGTCTTTCGAGTAATTAGCTTTTTGAATAAGATTCCAAAAGCACTCATTATATTGAGTGTTAATATGACAATCTACTTGTCTCCAGGAAAAATAATCCTTCGTTTCTTTTTCTGTGGGGAATATAATAATTCTTGCATCAAAACATGGTGGATAAACTAATTCCTGTTCAGAGAAGAAGAATTTCCATTGATAAATAAAAGACGATGTAAAATAAGATACAACGTTTGTTAATATTTTATCATATCTCCTATTCCATATTTTTGCTTTTTTCCTGAATAGGAAACTATATTCATCTGAGTGTCCATATGCTAAATCTATTTCATCAAATTTATTCATCACTTTCTTTGCACATGAGTTCATTAGATTTAATCCTCTAATGTCATTTGGTTTTGTGTATACATGTGTCTTTGTGAATTTCTTAAAATCACTTCCATCTATTCTTACAATGAAGTAGCAGTTCAATAGGATTCGTTTTTCTTCCTCGAACTGTTTAACGTATGCGAATTTGCTGTTAGCCATTAAAAGTTTCAGTGATCTTCTCACTTTTTTTTTTTTTTCTTCTTTTTTAAGCACAAAAAAAAAAAATATGACTCAGTAAGGGAATTTAGAGATGTACACATAATGATATGGGCTACATATATGTAAAGGGAATAAGTACACAATATGTAGAGTATATTTGTAAAAAAGCAGAGAGAAATATACACCTCTCTCTCCCCCCTCCCCCTCAGTTGTAATAACTGTTATGTAAATTTTTAGGAAAAATACAATATATGAACACATCAACCCAGGTAAATATCATTTAAAGAAAGAAGTTTTTTTTTTTTTTTTTTTTTTTTCCTATCCTATGCACCCCTTTTATTTTATGTTCTCCATTTTTCTCATCAATTCGCCTGAACAGTTCAGGTTATTTTTTACCACAAAAAATTTGATATATATTTTTTTTTAAAAAGTCAAAATAGAGAAGTCACACCCCAATTTGTACTTTTGAAAAAGGACACAAATGGTGGAAGTTACCAAAATGGTGAAGTTGTAAAGGTAATAGAACTCACACTCTTGACTTATTCCGACATTAAATGTGGGGGGAGTAACAACTATTATTTTATGTCCAAAGTGCACAAAAAAAAAAAAAAAAAAAAAAAAAAAAAATGGATAACGTTTTGTGTTTGAGAAGAGAGTAGAATATGAAAAGATAAATAATACATATGTTCAAAGTGGAGATATATATTCATGCACATGATACAGTTGAACCTTGAACGTAATTGTACCAACTAATGATGAGAGGGAGGATATAAGGGGACCCCATTTAAATAACAATTTTTAGCGCATTTACTGAGTTGCACTATTTTTTTTTTTTTTTTTCCTTTTTGACTAGATATGGATGTACATATGGTCTATCACGTTGTTCCCTCGCCCAACTCTCCCCACCCTCATTTTTACATCATCAAAATGTAATGTATGGTCCGTTCAAGCTCTTCATATTTTTTGCGTAATTGAAGAAGAGTTATATATTTGGTATTTAATGTTAAATTGTAATTTTTTTTTTTTTTTATTTTTTTTGCTTATGTAACGTTCTCTCGTAGGACACTCTCCATCCGTTCAATAAAGAACTTTTTCAGTCTAGCATGTATTAACGGTTGATAGTAAAAACGAAATGAATGCTTATAAGGTGAGATCGAATCGATTAGTTTGTCCCAATGAAATATTTCCGTTTGCTGAAAAATATTATCCTTATTAACTATGACGTTAAACAAATATTCATTATCAAACGTGAAAGACATGTGTAGTAAATACTGAGAAGTTATGGATTCCAGTTGATACACTTTTTCTCCAAATATATGTACCAGTTTAGAAAAACAGAATAAACATTTCCCCATAAATTTTATAATTTCATTACCTACTAAATTTTTTGAAAGTATTTTTCTAACTAATATTCTTGAATCAGCTGGATTTTTTATATTCCATTTTTTTATCTGACCATGATCATAAGAAAAAATTTTAAAAAGTGTATGCATAGTTGTGTTGTACAGATAAGGAAAGGACAATTTGGAAATTTGTTCTTTCACAGTACTCTCGGAATATTTTCTCAATCTAATATTCTTGCTTAATGTTTTTATAAAAAATAGCAAAGCTTTTAGTATTTTCAAAATTTCATCAAGTTGTGCTTGGACAGGCTTAGTTACACATATGGTTACAACTTTTTCCGATTGAGATATTGCATCTTGAGTCCATTTTCCCAAAGTACAATCCAGTTCATGGCAAGGAGACGTTTCCAATGAGGAAAAATATGTGTTTTTTTTTTTTCTTATTCCCTTTGTAATCAGGAATGGTGTTAATATATCCAATTGATCCGTTTCAGTCACACGGTTTGCCACATCCGTTCGATTGGTTTCGTTCACTTGGTTTATCCGAATTGGTGGATATTCTGAATGTGAAATTTTTGACACGCCCTGAATGGCAATCCTGTTTTTCTCGTTATATGATAAACATGACCTTTTTGAGACAAACCTATTTGTGTACATATAATCAGTTATGAGAGACGTAAATAAAGATTCATGGAATTTCTTCATAAATAATGTAATGGCTAGATCGACAGCTGTCCTATTGCATTCATCTCTCACGAAAGGAGAAGTTCCTTTTCTCACATGATCAAGTGCTGCTACTACATCATTATTCCATAGGCAGGAGTGGATGATGGAATGGTTGTTTCCTCTACATATGTTTTCGAATTTTAGTAATTTCCTATCACATAATACTCTGTGTTCCACTTTTGTGGTCTTCATGAGGCACTAGGGGAGAAGTTGCTTGCTGTGAGAAATATGCCGCCTCAATTCAGTGTCAATTCATTGTCTATTCAGGACGAGGGGAAAAAAAAAAAAAAAAAAAAACAGTTATAGTAATGTGATAAGTAGGGGGCTAACTAGACAGATATGTAAATAAAAAAAAAAAATAAATAAATAAATAAAAATACTACAAATGCATACACGAATGAGCAGATTGGTAATTTCAAGCATATCCCATTGCCATAGGCATAATGTTGTTCATAATAAGGAGACTTCCCTAGTTCCTGTCTTTTTCTTTATTTTCACTAATTTGTGGCTTTTCTTTTTTTTTTTTTTTTTTTTTTTTTTTTTCCCCTGGTAGACACTTTATTCACATGACTGTTCAGGCAAAAAATGTAGAAAATTAATTAGCTATAAGAACTGTCCTCATGTGAGAAAAGACAAAAAGGTGAATTATAGTATGTCAAAATGGAGGCTATATCTTTATTTTCCTTTTTGGTTCAATATGCATAAATGATAATATATTTAATTTATGCCTAAATGTAGTTATCTCAACATTTTGACATTTTATTTTTTAGGAGAATAAATAAATATGTGAGAAATTCCATGTGTAAGTACACGAGCGAAAAAAAAAAAAAAATACTTGACTTAATATAAGCTTACATTGTGTTAAGTTAAAAGGGAATAAAGTAGTTTTATATTTTCTCCGTTGGTTTTTATAACTGTGCTTATTTTTTTCATGCATGTAAAGACGTGAAAAAAAAAAAATTATGTGCACATAAGGGCAAGCGGTACACCCAAGTTGTGAGAAACAGTTGTACTTTCCATGGTTTTCCAACTTTTTTGTATTTTCCCAACTTTTTTGTATTTTCCCAACTTTTTTGTATTTTTCCAACCTTTTTGTATTTTTCCAACCTTTTTGTATTTTTCCAAACTTTTTGTATTTTTCCAGCCTTTTTGTATTTTTCCAACTTTTTTGTATTTTTCCAACTTTTTTGTATTTCTCCTCCTGTTCTACATTTCCCCGTCGCCTGTCAAGAGACACAGTGACTGAGCAGATATAAGTTTTCCCATTTTTAATCCTCTCATATGTCTTAGGTAAGACAAAAACCAGTGCAATACAATGCAATACAAAATGAGTAATTTCTGCTACTCGATCAAGCTAGGAATGGTTAAAATATAGTGCAAATCCATTCAGTCCAAAAATTCTTTGAGTGAATATTGTGCATCACATAGGGAGGAAGGAAAAAAAAGAGAGAGAAATGCATTTTTTTTAATGGCCCTATTCCTTTTGAATCCTCAGAGGGGTATATATATATATATATATGTGAAAAAGGAAAAAGAAAAATTGAACATTCATAATCTCTTTCCTAACATGTTCGTCTTAACCTAATCGTTCATCTGTTTTGTTTCGCACCGGACGAGTTGTCTCTTAAAGTATGCACCCGTAACGGTGCATAGCAATGTATGGCGATACATAGCGATGCGTGGCGATACATGCACACATTACCAAATAGTGCAGGACAGATGAAGCAAAGAACTCTGTTATTCCTTGTTGTATTATTTACGAGTCTAAGATTGGCAAGTCTTGAAAAGTCTCTCTTCAGCTATGTTAGCGAGATATCGTTTTCAGGATCTTTTGAGAAATTATTTGAGACATGTCTGAGGATCCCTAACAATTTGTGCTTAGGAGGAACATCCACAGTTGTCACTTCTGATAGTGTTCAAAATGGATTAATTGCTAAATGGACATTTGATGATATCTATGCCCTTGATTACAGTGCGAATAATAATCACATTCACAAATTCGTGCGTCCTGCCCCTGGCTTTAATGGGCATGGGTACAGCGGGGCGTTCCTGGGAGGTACTTTTAACCAAGAGACATAAAAGAGGGGGAATTTGAACCAACAAAGATGCTAGAGTGAAAATGCAAGTCAACAGATTTCCACACGTTATATAAGCGTGTGTTCATATCCGTATCTGTATTTGCACGCGCGTGTGAGTAACTCAGTTTATGATTCCACTTTCTGCTCACCCTCTTGTGCATTCCTCCCTCTCCACTTTGCAGACAACTCGGGTTTTGTTCACGCTAGTGACATTTTAAAAACGACTGAGTTCACCATGTGCGTGAAATGTCAAATGGGCGCGTTTTTGCCTGAACAAGTGCATAACTTTTTCTTCGCCAAATTTCCGCTGTTTTGTTTTCATCCATTTGTTCTGCTTTTTTTTTTTTTTTTTTTTTTTTTTTTTTTTGCTGCCTTTTTTCTATTCTCCATACACAGTTGCAACTTTTACCCTTTTGCCAAACTTTGCTCAGCGTTTTCTGGATATACTTACTGGAAAGGTCGACGAATAACTTCCGCAACATTCTTTCACAGATGTAATAACTCCCTTCTTAGTCCCTGCATTTGTGTAATCGCACGTGCGAGGAAAAAAATATAGAAACATATCCGTTTCCATTTCCCCCAATATTGTAAACCACGTCGACACAGTCGTCCCATGCACAGACGAGGGCACAACCACACGAGCAGGGAAAAAATGATGGTGCAAAAATTGAGGGTGCAAAAAATGAGAGCACAAAAATGAGAGCACAAAAATGAGAGCACAAAAATGAGAGTGCAAAAAATGAGGGTGAAAAAAATGAGAGTGCAAAAAATGAGGGTGAAAAAAATGAGAGTGCAAACCTCGCCTGAGAAACCCGTGCATCACCTATCGCGCAGACACCAAGGGGAAGAAAAAATAGCCGTGTTGCTGCACCCACATATGAACAGAATATCCGTTAGAATAATTGAAGATGCAAATTCAAATGAAGGATTATCGTCTATGGGACAAATAGCAATAAGGAGGTGGACAAATGTAGGCATAAAGTTAAGTGAAGACCGAATCGAACTGTATTTGAATGGGGTATTGGATAATTCTGTATACATAAAAAATAAAATAATAGAAAAAGAGGGAGACATAACAATTGGAAAAAGCATAAATTATTCTAGTTTTAATGGATATTTAGATGAAATATATTTTTTTAGCAGAAGTCTGAGTAAATCAGAATTAATTTCATTTGCCTTTTCAAATCTAACAGGAATACATGACACAGATTTTGTTTATGTTGGAAATTACGAGTGTAACTATGCAACTGCTATGAGTAGTAATTTATGTAAAAAGAAATATCACCTGTGTTCATCCTTTGATTTATACAATGGAGCCATTCATTATGCTAGAGTTAATGGAATTCTGTCGTCTCAGTCCAATTTATGGCCATCAGACATTTCAGAAAATTCGATTGAGTCTGGAGAAAAAAGAATTGCCCTCTGCTGCAAGGTGTACGAGGTAGATACTCGGGTGTGAGGAGATTATGACATTGTAAAGAATTGACATGAGGAAGGGAGGTGAAAAGCGAAGAATGGAACAGCCTTTTTCGATTGCATATAGTTTCAGTTTCAGAAAATGCAGAATAATGTACATTCATTTGTTATTAAATGGAGGCAAAATAGATGGTATGTGTGTTGTGTCCATCCCCTTGTCCAATTATTTTCCTTTAAACGTTTTACATGTTTGACGGAAACTCGAATTTTTGCTTAAGCCTGGATAATTTTTTTTTTTTTTTTTTCCCATTTTTCACGTCCATGCATTTGTCTCAATGTGATGCTTGAAACATGTCTATTAGGTCCATTTTACTATTTAGCATGGTTAATTGGAAAAACGTGAATTTTGTGATAAAAAAAAAAAAAAAAAAAGGAGAAAATATCAAAGATTGAAAAAGGTGTATCAGCACGGTTAGCTTTTTTGCAACACTTATAGGCAAATTTAACCTGACATGTTCATAAAAAATAGAGGGAAAAAAAAAAAAAAAAAAAAAAAATGGCTGTAAGGGATCAACATCATCATTTGAGCTCATTTTATTTTTTGTAGCCTTCCTGCATGTCTTCCGAAAGTTGACAAGGTTGATAAGGTGGAGAAATTTCATTTATTTGTCTACATATACGCATGCTCTGTTATCACCTTTTTTGCCGCACCTTTTTTGCCACACCTTTTTTGCCACACCTTTTTTGCCTGTGTTTTTCTTCTTTGCTTACTCACTCCACACCCTTCATGGTTTTGACGTTCACTTTGACAAATGGAGATTAAATCTTTCCCAATATTCTGTTTAAGTAAATTATTGCGTTTCTTAAACCCAAATCAGTGACTCTTGTAACTTTCACTTTATAAATCTGAAGAGGGCGCGTACCTCGATCTTTCCCCAAGTTGCACACAAGAAAAAATAAAGCAAAAAATAAAAAATAAAAAATAAAAAAATAAACAAATAAAAAAAATAAATAACGCAAAAAAAAAAAAAACATGCTGTGACATTTTACAAAAAAAGAACAGAAAAAAATAAAAGGGGTCTTGTCTTCAACACATTCCACCAAAATTAAACAAATATTTATTTGAGACAGAAAAATACTCTTTCTTTTTTTTTTTTTTTTTTCCTTTTTTGAAACTGAAACAAAGTAATTAACACAAAAAAGAAAAAAAGAACGTCTACTTCGATTTTTTTTTTTTTTTTTTTTTTTTTTATGACATTTTAGTGAGGCTCCTTCCTCCTCTCTGAGATTAAGCCTTTAATTTTATTTTTATTTTTATATTTTATTTTTCCATTTTTATCAACTTGTTCATATCGTATAGACTTTCACATAGAGTCGTTTTTTGTTTTAAAGACGATTTTCCAACAACAATTTTTCAATACCACCCCTGAGGCATTTCCACGTGTAACAACGTGCTAATGCGCACATCACTAGTTAGGAACAGCTGTGTCTGCGTTAGGAGTATACCTGAGGTGACCATTCTAGCCTCTTCTACTTTTAAAAGGACATGATGGTGCATGAAAGAGAGGACAACTCGGGAAAATCAAACAAATCAGACAAATCGGGCAAATCAGACAAATCAGACAAATCAGACAAATCAGGCAAATCAAACAAATCAGACAAATCAAACAAATCAGACAAATCGGGCAAATCAAACAAATCAGACAAATCAGACAAATCAAACAAATCAGACAAATCAAACAAATCAAACAAATCAGATAGAACGCAAATGTCGGAAAATACAAACGATGGAGAAGATGGTGTATCAAGGAACAACGTTTTTCCAAATGACAGCGAAAAAATGAAATTCGAAAAATTTACAGAAAATTTTCAAAATAAGAATTTTAGCTCAGAAGGCAGTTTACATTTCATGGGAGATGTCGAATTTCCAGGTTTAGAGAAAGCAAGTAATTCATCTTCAATGGAAGTGGCACTGGGTTCAGGAGCTTCAGAAACGACGTCTTTGTCTTTTAAAGATGCAAAAGAAAATTTAGATGAAAGAAGATGTAATGATTCTAATTCATCTTTTAGTATGGTACCCTCCTTGTACAAAAAAAATAACACTCTGAGTTTGGATCTGCCAGAACAAGAAGCATGTAAAGAGAAAAAAAAAAAAATGAAAATCGACAATGAGGGCTATGGTACACCAGATGAGGAAAAAAAAAAAGACATACATGTTGAAAAAGCAGGAGACAACAAAAAAGCTGAGGAACACATGGATAGTTTGCTTGGAGAACGAAAAGGTGATGAAAATACAATAGACGTGTTGGAGGCAGAAGTGGTGAAGACTCGAATCGACAAATTTTCCACTACATCTGAGGATGTAACACATGAGAATATAACGCATGAGGATATAACACATGAAGACATTGCATTTAAGTTAGATGTATACTCACAGAGTACTGAATCTCCCAATCGGATGAGTTCAAGTCTAAAGGAAAGAAGTAATCCTATGCAAAGGGAACATATCCAAAACAGTAAGACAGAGAATGAAATTCACTCGTCTTCTGTCAACCAAGAAATTGATGAAAAAACGATAGATATTCATAGCAAAGGAAGGGTTCCAAAGAAGATAGAAAATATAAATGAATATTTAATCAAAAGAAGGAATAGCCAAAAAATAACAATTTTTGTAGGTGAGAAGATGCAGAAGACTAAGGCAGATTTTAAGTATGGGGAAGATCCACATAAGAATGATCACAATCCAACCATCCATGAATGTGCAAATTTGGAGGATAGCACAGAATTGGAAGGAAACGAATCGTACAGAAGAGTTATCGAAAAGAAACAGAAAAAAACTGTTTTTACATCTCAACTGTGTGAGAGAAGCAATGCAGATGCTAGGGCATGTGAAAAGTTGATAAAGAAAATTCCTGAAAAAACAATTTTCGAAGCACAGTTATGTGAGAGAAGCAATGCAGATGCAAGGGCAGGTGAAAAGTTGATAAAGAAAATTCCTGAAAAAACTATTTTCGAAGCACAGTTATGCGAGAAAAGCAATGCAGATGCAAAGGCAGGTGAAAAGTTGATAAAGAAAATTCCTGAAAAAACAATTTTCGAAGCACAGTTATGCGAGAAAAGCAACGCAGATGCAAGGGCATGTGAAAAGTTGATAAAGAAAATTCCTGAAAAAACTATTTTCGAAGCACAGTTATGCGAGAAAAGCAACGCAGATGCAAGGGCAGGTGAAAAAATGACAGAAAAGACAAATGGGGCTGTCGTTTTTGAATCACAAGGAAACTTTTCTACCAAGGTCCACGCAAGGGCATGTGAAAAAATGGAAGATAAAACAATTGGAAAAGGTGTAGTGTATGAAGGTCAAAACTGCACAGAAATAATTGCAGATTTTAGAGCCTCAGACAAGATAAAGGAAGTAATGAAGAGGAACATGTCGGATGATTGCCACCTGTTATAGACATGTGAGGAGATTGTTACTACGTGTGTGTATTCACACTTGTGGTGAAAAGTGGTTGCGTGAAGACGCATATAATGTGGTACTTGTACGAGAACAGATTTCCATTAAGAGATTTTTTTCCTCCACTATTTTTTGACTTTTCTCTTTTTTTCTTTTTGTGTTAAAACTTTTTTTTTTTTTTTTTTTTTTTAATACCCGTTTTTATATCCTTAACACACACACTTGTATAAATTTATAAAAAAGTTATTAACTAGCTTCGATGAGATCAAAGCGATTTTTATTTCCCGTCTCCACGAGTGAATATATGTATGTATATATATGTTTGTTTGTATGTGTTTTTTTTTTTTTTTTTTGGAATGCATACATTTCATTTCACTGTTTCTTCTGTACCTGTGTGTCATACAGATTATATTTTCATATAAAGCGTCAAGAGGTGTATGTAAACCTGCACAGGTAAATACAAAGTTCTATGTCAAATAAAATAAATTAAAAAATTGTGCGACTGTGACATGGTGAATAATATATTTAAAAAAAAAAAAAAAAAAAAAAAAAAAAAAAAGTGAAAACGAACAAGTAATGGATTTCTACACTACATATGTATACAAGGAGTATAAACCTTTACAAAAAAATAACCACATGGTTCCCTATACACAGATCCGTCCTCCCCACTCCAAATTCATGTACATGTTTTTGATATGCCAAATGTGTATTTGCCTACAACGAACTCGGAGGAAGAGTTCAATAAGGATTTATAATGTCTTCTGATGTTATAGCATAATTATTCAATAGAAATAGATTCATAGATGGAATATCCATTTGGTTCATCAAAACCTTTTTGTCACTTATTTGTTTTTCCATTGCATCATTTTGTAATAACATTTTGAGTAAATATAATTTATAACTGAACAATTTTGGGGTGATTCCTATATTAGAATCTGAAAGATCATATTGCAGTTTTTTCTTTCTGGGGGATTCTTCATTTCCACCTTCACCTTTGTCTTCATCATCATCTTCTTCGTCTTTTTCTTTTCCTTTCGATTCTTTTCGTTTTACCTCTGATTCAGATGTACTTTCTTGCTGCTTTTCTTCTTTTTGGCTTGTTCTGCTAAAACCGGTTAGAATCGAAATTGGGTTTTTAAGTTTACTCTTCATTAAGTTTAAGAGGTATGTATTTGTACTTTCGTCCGGATCATCATTCAATTGTTTCTCCACTTTGTTATCTATGCCACCCTGGTCGTCACTCATGTTATTGCCCTTCTCATCTTTTCCATTTTGATCTTTATTATTTAACAGTTGTTCCTTCTCCTGTGTGTCAGTACTACTGGCAGTATTGCCACTTTCTTCCTTATGTTGTAGGTTCTCACCACTTCTGAAGAGACTTTCGTTCATAAGTCCATCATCATGTACAAAGAGCCTCTGGTTGGATATCCAAGATTTAAATGTGTTTTCACCACATGCTGATTCACTACTATTTTGTTGTTCTTCTTTCATGTGGTGTTCTTGTTCATTATAAAATTCCTTGTTTGATGACATGATAAAATTTATCATTTTTGTTCGAAAATCATTTTCTTCTACCTGTTCATCAGTTAGCGATTCCTTAAATGGCAGATGACTCATTATGCTTTTGCGCTTGGTAGGATCTCTAATATGGGATGTTGAACAATTTGACAGATTATCAGCTTGAGTGTGGTTGTAACAAGTAGATGATAATATATTATTCATATGTTCATTTTCAAATATTTTATAAGATATTTTTTCCTTAAATGAGAATTTTGTACTTTCTGGAATGAGAATATTTGTGTAGAATTCATTATTGATATGTAATTTTTTTTGATGAATTTTTTTCTTTTGTTCATCTACATCTGTTTTTATTTCTCCATTTTTGCTATATACAACAATGGATTCTAAGTCTGCGCATGGATTCTCATTTTCGTTTAGTTTGCTAACACGAGGGGAAGAATCCGAATTTGTCGTCGTTCCTAAACAATAATTCCCATTATTGCTATTCATGAACATCGGTATTAGATGTAAGGCATCAGAAATGATATTCGTTTGGCTAGTTAGCTGATTCTCCAACCATTCATGCAATTTTTCTTCCCTTGTTCGTGCCTTATTGGTACTACCACTATATTGTCCATTTGATCGGGTATTTCCACATTGATAATTTGCATTGCTCACATCATCATCACTGTTATCATTCACACTTTTGAAGTTACTATGTGCCAGCATGTCACTCTGATCGTGTTCTCTATCAATACTATCATGCTGTGCATCTATAGAATCTATAGGTTCATTGACACCAAGTCGTATCCCACCACCCAACCCTGCTCTTTCATTCGTCGACTCATGTTCCATGTTCAGTTTATCGAAATGAGAATCCGGGATGGCATTACAGTTCGGATCGAAGTTGGGATCGAAGCTGGGATCGAAGTTGGGACTGAAGGTAGAAGTAAAGTTCGTGTCCAAATCGAAACCGGGATTTCCTAGCGATTTTCCATCCTTACTTAGAGATGTTAGAGTTATATGATTATTCATATGGTGCGATGGTACAAATCCATCGGATTGAAATTTTCCCTTCTTGTCAGAAATGGTACTGTACATATTATGTGTGTCCGCATTTGGAAGGTACGTGAAGTTCCAGTTCTCTTCCTTAGAATACAGGTTAACATTTGGGTTCGTACTTGCATCTGGGGGATAGTTCATTAACATTTCATTCGTACCATCATAGTTTGGATTCTTAAACATTGTAACACCACCAGCACTGGAAGTGGGAGTGCCTGGCGGAAGCGGAAGTTTGTTGTTATTTAACCCTATTCCAATTCCTCTTGTGATATTACTACTGCTGGCACTAGTATTGCGTATGTTTTTCGAAAGTGTAACATTGTTTGGAAATCTGACAGGAAATGGTGCATTTGTGTTGCTTACAAGGGAAGGAATTGAGTTATTTAGAAGATGGTTGTTAGATTCTCTATTCATATCATCGTAATAATTTCCCACAGTGCTATTCATGAGATTGGCTGAAGTGCCATTCGTGGGGTCAAATGTCCCCATAAACATCTTATCACGTACTATAGATGGAGGTGCTATATTTTTCATATTTCCAGCATTCGAATGCATATTATGCAAATTATTTTCATTTAAATCTAACATCTCTTCCGAAATATACGATGGAACATTTTTCAAAAGATTCATATTGCTGTTCATATTAAATCTTCTATTATTCAATAAATTTGTATTTTGGGATAGGTGTGCATTATTTGCACTCAACGAGATGTAGTTGGGGTTAGCAACATTTCCTTTATCGTTCATCTTCATATTATTAATTTTTTGCTTATTCATTGCCACGTCATGGTTATTGCTGCTTTTGATGCCACTAGTGTTCACGTTAGATGCAGTAGTAGGATTCCCACTTGGATTTGCATAATTTGGAAGAGGCGGATTGTTTATTCCATTTCTGTTTATTAATGCATTGTTGTACCTTTGAGAATTTGGCGGGTTCGGCGGGTTCGGCGGGTTCGGAGGGCTCGGTGGGCTAGGTAGATTCTGTGGGTTCGGCATGTGGGGTTGATTTTCACAAAATACACCAATCGTGGGTGCAGTAAGTTTCCCTCTCTTCACATCTATGTCAGGTGGAGGTGGAATACCATTTATCATCATGTTCAAATTTGTATTATTACTTGTTATTGTATTTTCAAATTTTGCATTCTCCTTAATGTCGATATCTCCAACTGTGTTGTTCTTGTGAGAGTATCCACTTTTCATATGTCTGTTTGAAAGGGGTTCAGGGGGCGGGAACTTGCTGTTCATGAAATTCGGGTTATTTATAAAGTTCGGATTGTTTATCATGTTAGGATTATTCATAAAGTTTGGATTGTTTATCATGTTCGGATTGTTTATCATGTTCGGATTGTTTATCATGTTCGGATTGTTTATCATGTTCGGATTGTTTATCATGTTCGGATTGTTTATCATGTTCGGGCTGTTTATCATGTTCGGGTTGTTTATCATGTTCGGGTTGTTTATCATGTTCGGGTTGTTTATCATGTTCGGGTTGTTTATCATGTTTGAGTTGTTTATCATGTTTGAGTTGTTTATCAAGTTAGGATTGCTGCTAAGATTTGCATTGCTCACATTCCCGCTACTCATCATCTTCATGTGCCCATCGTTTGGAAATAGAATCAACCCCTTCCTATGACTAGCTGAAGCAGAATATGGAGGAGGTGGAATTGCAGTATTGTTTGAATCTCCTATATTATTAATATTGTTACGCTGTTGTCCCAATTTGTTTTTATTGGGATTGAAAAAAAAATCTCTGGGTTCTTCAACGAGGTTGTTAACAGCACTGTTGTTAATATTCATCATTTCAGTAGATCCGATTTTTATATTGTTTGGATTTGCAGGAGTGGGGGAAGCAATGGTGGCAATAGATCGTAGATTTCCATTTGTCCCTGCTTGACTTTCATTAAAAAGGTTATTGTTACTCCTGTTGGTGTATCCTCCTCCTATGTCATTGCTATGGGGAAACGGTGTATTGTTAAAAAGGTTCGTGGAATTGTTTGTGTTTCTTCCCGTTGGTACATTGCCGTTCATATTGCTGTTTATATTGCTGTTCATATTGCTGTTCATATTGCTGTTTATATTGCTGTTCATATTGCTGTTCATATTGCTGTTCATATTGCCGTTCATATGGCCGTTCATATGGCCGTTCATATTGCTATTACTGGCATTTCTAACATTGCTGTTGTTGTGCCCGACGAGATTAGCCATAGTGGCATTGCTTTGAAACCCCGTAGATGGATCCGGGATATGGGTCGCGTTGTCTGGGTTCATAAAATTCCTAGATCCTGAGATTTGGGGATTACTTTCATCCATTGTTCGCACTCCTTGGTTAAACATATTCTTCATCTGCTGATTCTGCTGGAGGTTGTGATCAAAATATTCTTCATTTAAAAATATGGCGGAATTTTTATTTTTCATATTTCTCATTTTTTTTCCCTTTTTGTTCTTTTTTCCATTTTTTCCATTTTTCATATTTTTCATCTTGTAATCCCTAAGTTTCATATTTTTTTTATTTCCAATTTTCATTTCTCCTTCATAAGAAAAGTTACCATTAGGCATATTTCTATTCCTCATCAGGATGTCCCCGAAATTCGGTTCATACCAAGCTCCGTTTTGATTCATCACAGCAGATGTGGTTGTTAATCCATTCGCTTCATCTTTCAGCTCGCTTTTCCTTATCTCCATGTTCTTCTCATCTAAGTCGATGTTTCTCCTTAATTCTTCATTCGAATGAAATGTTGAATTGTTCAAAGTTGAACCCTCTCCATCATTTCTGTTATAACTACAGCTATAGCCATAGTTATGGTTATCATTCATACTTTCGTTACTCTTGAAAATATAGCTATTCCTTTGGTTGCCATTACAAGACATACGCATAGTATTAGAATTGTGACTATGGTGATAATTTACAGAATCATTTCCATTCCGTTTCCGTTCTTCTTCACTATATGGGGTCCTCATTATGTGCGAGCGATGGTCTTTTCCACGATTCATATTATCTTTACTATATTGACTTTCACTTCGCCTGGAGTGTACATCACCACGCGATGGAGAAACACACTTATTATTAGCTTTTCTATCTTTATGTCTATGTTTCTGTGCGTGTTTGGATTGTGCAACGGAATTTCTATCCCTGCTTCGACCGTATCTATGACTTGACGACCTCCTCCTGTCGTGCATACTTTTCTCACGTGCATGCAACAAATCATCGTGTTTTTTATAAGAATCCTTTTTTTCCATTCCTCTTTTCCGGGTATGTCTTTTATCTTCCTCGTGGGGGGATTCATCCTGTCGGTGTTCATCATTTCGTCGGTCATCATGCCTACGCTCCTCGTGTCTACGTTCATCATGCCTACGTTTATCATGCCCACGTTCATCATGCCTACGTTCATCCTGCCTACGTTCATCCTGCCTACGTTCATCCTGCCTACGTTCATCCTGCCCACTTTCATCATGCCTACGTTCATCCTGCCCACGTTCATCGTTTCGACGCTTTTCATCAACTCGATTATCATCCGTTTTCATCCTCTTCCTTCTATCATTGTCATCCTTCCTTTGAATACTTTCCAGTTCATACTTTTTCCTCTCCTGCACTTTCTTACCCTCGCCTTTAGCATCATTGTTTCTTTTCCCTTCTCCTTTCCGCTTATCTTCATTTTTCTTATGATTATTTTTTACCTTTTCACCCCTCTGTTCCTCCTGATGCCTTCTATCCTCTTGCTTATCATCGTGTTTGCTGTGATGATTTTTCCTTTTCATATCGACTCAACTACTCGTGTTGCATTTAGGACATTTATATATACATATATATGTGTGTATGTGTAGACTATTATACATGTGCTGTACCACGAACAGTGACCAAACGTGAAGATTCAGTTTAATCGCCTGATTGGATCACTACGAGCTGAGTTATCACGTACATCAGTACAAAACAGTTTGCTTTTTTTTTTTTTTTTTTTTTTTCCCATTTAGAGTAAATATGTACGCCTCACTTGGCACGATGAGAAAAAAAAAAAAAAAAATAATTCTCCACCCACAGGGGTTATATATACATATATATATATGTAAATATGTTTATATGTAAATGTGTGTATATATATATATGAAAATAAGTAAATATATATATTTATATATTATACATGCATATATGTTAATGATAAACCCTCAAGTAGTAAATTTCTCTTTCTCGTGTACATAAAAGCGCTGTCCCTAAAATGGGGAAACAAACAATTCACGGATTTGTAGTACATAAATTAAATATGTATAAATATATACATATATGAATATATACATATACGAATATATAGAGTATACCCCCTGTAACAATAACTCCGTAAATGTCGTTATGTGGGTGTTTCTCTCAAGGAACGTAAAAGAAAAAAAAAGAAAAAAGTAAAAAAGAGTAAAAAAACAGGAAAAAAAGCATAAAAAAAACTGTAAAGCAAAACGGTAAATGTTAAACAAATTGACTTTTGTTACGTTCATAATTGTTAGATAAAAAAAAAAAAAAAAAAAAAAAAAGTATGAACGAAAACAGCTTAAATTAAAAAAGCAAAAACTTTAGCCTGAACATGTCAGGCGAATGGCATTATCCTAGGGTAACATAGTTCAGCGGCAAGGCAACAAGGGCAAAATATATGTCCAACGTACATCGAATACATACATAAATATATATATATATATATATATATATATATATATATATACATATATTAGTATATGTAACGATGCATGACTGTCCATGTAGAGAGAATGGAAGAAACCATTTCTTCTTCCCTTGCTTCACGCACTGAATTTTTCCCATTTCACGAAAGCCTAGCACACAAAGAAAAGTGAATAAATAAATGAGGTGGGCGTGTTTTATTCCACAATGTCACGAAGGCTACAAATTTACAAATTAAAAAAATTACCTTACTTTTAATGTTCAGGAAAAAAAAAAAAGGGACCTCCGATAAAAATTGCTTCCATTTTATATGTTCACATATAATGAACTCCATGAAAATTTCCTTTCTGAATATCTTCTCAAATGAATAAACTAGGAAAGTAGAAAAGGAGAAAAAAAAAGAAAAAAAAAAAAAAAAAAAGATCCATTATCCGTAACTAACATATATATTTGCTGCATTATTAGTTAAGTCAAGCAATTTTTCACATATGTATTATATATAAAAGGTTGACAAAACCTGAGAATGGATTTAAATTATGGTTTTTATCCAATTGATAAATTAATACCCCTGGTTTCTTCCACTCAAAATATGTTGTAAAAGAAAATTCAGTGTAAAGGGTATAAATAACACACACTATATTTACATATTGTCTGGTTATGAAAAGACTCATCTGTTATTCCTATGAAAATTTAAACCCAATACAGGTTTTCACCAATTTAGTGTTGTTAAAATAGAAAAGATAAAAAAGGGATCATTTCATTACTACATCACACATCCCTTCTTTTTTTTTTTTTTTAACCCATTTAAATGGAATAAACAAAAAGAGAGATGATATTTTTACGTAAAAAAAAAAAAATTAACCATATTGTGAACAGATTATATATATAACAAAATGGCAAACAATGATTAATAATCATTAGATGAAGATGTTTTGTTCTTATATTACTTTTTGTAAAGAAGGAAAAAAAAAAAAAAAGAGACTATTGTTGAAGCATGTGACTGCGCTTTGCAAAAAAGGTGGTCCTCTGTTTGGTGCTAATCAGCAAGGCGCTACAGTTAGAACAAAATAGCAATATGAATACAGATGGGAGAGTAGAGTAGTGTTGTATACGTATGAAGAAAAGCAGATATATTAATTTAATATTCCTCTAGTAATGATAAATGAATATACAAGAGGTTGTTGAAAGGGTTACATGTCACACAACTTACATAAGTGTAAAAACTACTGTTGAAAGAATGTAAAATAAATCAGGTGTAGTGTACAGTGTGCAATGATAAGGGGTATAGTTTCCTACATACTAACGAGTTCAAGAAGAAGGAATGAAATTTTTATAGTGCATATAAGAAATATCTTTCAAATACGTTTCAGCAGATTCAGGTAATTTTTTTATATATTTTCCAGGACAACCTGCGTATTTTGAAAAGGAAGCAATAGTGGTATCATTTGGTATATAAGTATTGTCCTTTATAATTACGTTATCCTTTATGACTACTCGTTCTCCAACAACACAATTATTTCCTATGACTACATTGTTTCCGATCAGTGCAGCTTTGATAATGCATGCTTTTCCAATGTAAACGTTATCTCCTATGGTTACTGTTATGTATGAACTTTCCTTGGATTTACTTTTTTGCATACTTTGGTTATTTCCATCACTTTGTGCCATAACTGATTGTGCATTTCCTTTGCAATGTAAGAAACAAGGACAAATGAGAGTTTTCGATCCTATTATAACGTACTTTCCAAAATATAAGCTGCTCAAATCTCCTCTCAACATGGCCTCACTTTTTATAATTGATTTCCCTAACATGTGAATATTTTTCATACCACACAAAATGGAATCCCTGCACACTTTATTTCCTGAAGCTGTTAATATGTAATCTGAGGGACTGAATTTTTCAGCTTTCTGAAACGTTGGTGTGTTGTAGGAATCCAGATATCCTTCGCTCAGTAGATTGACTAAATTTGATGACTCCTCTGCTTTGCTAACCATTTTGTGTGGAAAAAAAAGTTATGAACCGCAAGGTTAAATTAGATGAAAAATGGCTAGTTCTATATAAAAACGAAAGGGTAGGAAAAAAAAAAAAAAAAAAAAAAAAAAAAAAAAAGATACTACAAATGGCTAGTTACACAAAAAAAAAAAAAAAAAAACAGATCAAGGGGATTGTTATACAAAAAGAAATTAACCCCTTTTTTTATTCAGAGAATATGTGAATAGGAACCTTTTTCTCATACAAATGTGTAATAAAACCATATTATATATTTCGTAGGTAATACTGTTCCTCAATGTTTTAAGTACTACTAAGGGTATGCACCTTTATTTTTGTCTACTTTTTCTTGGTTTCACTTAGGTGTGAAAAGCGAGAAGCTTGTGGTGATGGAGGTGGAGGGTGAGTAAAAACTGTTTTGTCTAAGTTTGTTCTGAGATAAGCGAAGATGGGAATATGTATGAAATTTGAATTGCATTTTTTTTTTTTTTTTTTATTCTGTATTGTAGTTTGATGGTATATCCATTCTGTGGTATATGGGGAAAGAAAAACAAAATAAATAAGTACATAAATAAATTATTGTACCTTATTAGCCTAATGCCGTATAGTATATCCCCTTTTTCACTTCATTCGAGAAATTTACACATGTCTGACATGTGTACATTAGGCCATGTCAAGTGTTATACAGACAAGTTTTTTTTTTTTTTTTTTTTTTTTTTTTTTTTTTTTTTTTTTTGGGTATCACGCAAATTGTGCATAAACCTAAGCACACTAGTTGGTAACATTTCGAGCAAAAATGATAACATAACTATTTTGCAATTATTCTGAGGAAGCAATGTAAAGGAGCTAAGAATACAGGAAAACTGGAAAAAAGAAAAAAGGAAAGACGAAAAAGGAAGGAAAAAGAAAAAACGAAGTAATCATAAAATGCACAAGAACCAGAATAGGAATGAAGGTGCATATATGTCATGGCTTTGATATAGTTGAAGCATACATGTAGAATTACCTTCGAGGAGTTTAAATGATTAATTATATGTACACCTCACGAGAGATATCTCAACAGTTTAATACAGTCATGTATTGTTTTTCTCATATAGCATTACTATAATTGATAAATGCACATACATATAAGTATATAGAAGCTATAAAACATTAAGAAAAAAAAAAAAAATAAAAAAATAAAAAAAAAAAGCACCTACGGTTTTTCAAGCAGAGGAGGAGAACACAAATAAAGAGGAAGCGTCGAGACGATATACACAACTGTGAGAAGTCCCATATAAAATGATGATGGGGAAAACGAAAAAAAAAAAAAAAATAAAAAAAAAAAAAAAAAAAAATAAAAATAAAACTAAAAAATAAAAAAAAAATAAATAAAAAAAAATAAAAAAAAAAAAAAAAAAAAAAAAATAAAAAAAAATAACAAAAAAAAAAAACAAAACAAAAAAATAAAAAAAAAAAAAAAAAATAAAAAAAAAAAAAAAAAAAGCACCTACGGTTTTTCAAGCAGAGGAGGAGAACACAAATAAAGAGGAAGCGTCGAGACGATATACACAACTGTGAGAAGTCCCATATAAAATGATGATGGGGAAAACGAAAAAAAAAAAAAAAATAAATAAATAAGAATAAAACAATAAAAATAAAACTAAAAAATAAAGTAAAAATAAATATAAAAAAAATAAAAAAAATAAAATGTAAATAAATAACCAAAATAAATAACAAAACCACGCTGTGTGAAAATATAATATAATACAAATCTAAAACACACAAGTTATTCGAAAAGTCTCTTAACGCTTTAAAATGAATAAATAAACCCATTTGGGGAAAGATTGTTAAAACAAATTATCCCAAAAAAGGACGCATAAAAAAAAAAAAAAAAAAAATGAACAATACATGTTGTAATACATCCGAAGATATTAGGCCATATGTAGATCCTGTTGCTATTACTGAAGAGGAGGACAGCGTATATAAGAATATGAGTATTTATAGATATGAAAAGGTTTACATGAGTTACCTACACTTGTATTTTTCTGTACTTGATTTTAAGGAGACCATGTTTATATCTGTTAATGACGAAAACGACCAGTTGACCGATTTGCAGGCATCTTACCCACTCAAATATGTATGCATATATATGTAGCTTGAGCAAAAGGGGAAAAAATATAAATTCAGCTTGATTCTGTTTATGTGTAGCTGTATATGTATAGCTGTATATGTGTAGCTGTATATGCATAGCTGTATATGCGTATCTGTATATGTAGCTGTTTATACATTCCTGCTTAGATTTAGCTTGTTAAGCATAGAAAGGAAGCGTAAACTTTTGAGGGTCAACAAAAATTTTTTAATGATGTGTTAAACGCTTTGGATGATTGGTGTTAAGGGGAAAAGTGTTTGTTAAGTGGAATATGATTATTTAATTTTCACGTGCATGAAGAGAGATGATGATAAATTGCTTATAAATGTAAATATTTTATAAGATTAATTTTTTTTTTTTTTTTTTTCCATTTTGTGCTTATTTTTTTTACCAGATGGATGCAGACAATACAGTTTGTCTCGTGGGGGAGCCTCACTCGTATGGAAATGACGTGGCAAGAATGTTAGGTAGGGATTCATATCCGATAATTGAAGTTCATATCATTTTTTGCATCAATACGTATGCATATATATATATATATATATATAAATATAATGATGAGTGTTCTCGCTTGACACATGATTATAAACACGAATAAAATTCTATGCAAAAACATATGGACATATCACACCGCTCACATCGCAGGAATGAAATTCAAAATCCCTTTCTATGTTAGTGTAAGTGTTGACGAAAGTGACGAAAATTTGACGAATTTTATTTTTTCCACATGTCTGGAAATATTGACTCCGTTATTTAACTCTAGGTAAAATACATGAACATATATCGAATGTGCGTGCTGCCCTAAGGGGAAGACCCTGCATGTGTATATATATTTTATGTACATACTTTGTTTTTCGTACCTTATTTTGAACCCACCAATTTAATGGCACTCATATGGTTTAGCACAGCTACAAATTCATAGTGGTACTTAAATTTTTTTTTTTTTTTTTTCCATTTAATTGTTATTTTAATTTTTGAACAAACCCTCTAATAATGCGACGGTTTTGGAGGTATATCTCTTTTCCCTATATTCCATCGCTTCGCTTAAACTTTTTTTTCTTTTTCTGATGGGAAATGTAACAATAAGAAATGTTTTAAATAATTTTGTTTTTACATTTTGCATAATCTCTACTTTTAAGCATTATTGATTTTTCTCTGCTTTGATGTGAAAATAAATCGTCTTCTTCACTCCAGTTAAATTGGAACACATCATATATAGATAAAAAAAAAAAAAAAAAAAAAAAAAAAAGAAGGAATACATGAATTGTAGTATGAGGGAAAGTTGTTATAGTAAGGGGGCGTGCAAAAAATGTGGAACCACGCGCAGATGGTACGTCGGAATGAGAACACAAATTATAAAAATGAAATAAAAAAAAATAGCAAAATAGCAAAATAAGAAAAATGATAAAACAGTTGAAATAATAAAAAGTAAAAAATCGATGAACTATATACTAAACAAAAAAAAAGGTAAAAAAAAAAAAAAAAAAAAAAAAACAGATAAACATATAACAGAACAAAAGTATAATGTGCCAGTTTGCCATATAAGGAGATGTGAGAATCAGAGGTGAGAAAAAAAAAAAAAATAAAATAAAAAATTAAAAAGCAGAAAAATAAAATATGGTAAGATTAGGGGAGTAGTGTAGAAAATATAGGGTATGGTGGAGAATATTTATGCATAGAAAATACACTAAAAATGGCAAGAAGGCAAATTTTCAAAAGAAGCAGAAAAGGAAAAGAAAAAAAAAAAATATGTCATTTTTGTTTTCTTACTACTTTGTCATATTCTCACTTTATACCATTTCATTGACACACAATTTGAGGAATAGGAAACAGTCTAGTTATTTGGCATATAGCCAGGATAATTCCTTGTGTCGTATATTGGTAGGAAAAACGAAAAAAAATAAAAAAAAATTCACCAGGAATTGTGCAGTAAATTGGGTACGAAATTGTGCATTAAATTGGGCCCAAAATTATGCCTTAAATTGGGCTCAAAATTGTGCAGTAAATTGTTTCAAGAAATGCAAGATAGATCACTTCAATAACCATGGAGAGATAACTCATTTGTCCATAAGAACAGGATGTGATGATTATGGAGGTGTGAATATTACTGAAAGGATAAGAAGGAAGAGGGGGAGAGGAAGTCGGTTCAGCAAGGGGAGTTTGTACGTAAAAGCAGATGCATGTGAGGAAGGAAATTTCTTGAAGACACATCTACAAGAGTTGATTGTTAAGGAAAAGATGACAAAGAGATTACGAATAGGTGTGGATAAACTTATTTTTGTTAATAGAATATTGTTTGAGATAAGGAAGGAGAAAGTTCCCGACGCGAGTCTGTCTGCAACACCATCTGTTAATGAAAAGAAGAAACAGAAGAAACACACAGATGGTAAATGTCCTAGAGAGATCGAGATGTTGGTAGAAGAGGACCTGTCTAATTACGACTTTGATGAGAAACATGTAAGACTGTATGAGGATTTTATTGAAGGAATCATAAACCATGGGGTAATCCCTTTGAGGAACAGTGGTCCTGAGATCATAAATTTTGATTCTGTGGATATGGAATTTCGTAGTTACCTTGCTTTTCTGTTTTTGGATGGTGAAGATGGGGAGGAAGCCAGATGTGAAAATGGAGAGGCAGCCAGATGTGAACATGTGGAGGAAGCCAGATGTGAAGATGGGGAGGAAGCCAGATGTGAAAATGGAGAGGCAGTCAGATGTGAAGATGTGGAGGAAGCCAGATGTGAAAATGGAGAGGCAGCCAGATGTGAAGATGTGGAGGAAGCCAGATGTGAAGAACTGGAGGCAGCTAGATGTGAAGATGTGGAGGAAGCCAGATGTGAAGAACTGGAGGCAGCTAGATGTGAAGATAGATGCGGTGGAAACAAAGAAGAGGAAATCCCCGCTGAAGGTAGCACATTGGATCAGTCTAAGCTAGACGAAATGCTGGCTAGAGTGAAAAGAGAAATAAGAAAGGTGTCCAAAAAACTGATATTGCTGAAGGAAACAATTGAAGAAATAACGAATGAATATGAAATAGAAATGGAAAAAATATACATAGATAAAGAAACAGGTGAAATAAAAGTGAAACGGAACAGATATCAAGACAGCAATGAAAAAAGAAGTAACTGGAAATTAATATTTTTAGGTACAGGTTCTATGTACCCATCGACCAGTAGAGGAACCTCATCATTTTTACTGCAAATAACAAAAAAAAAATTTAATGATGCTTTTCTGTTTGATTGTGGAGAAAATACCTTTATATCTTTACAAAAAGCCAATATAAAAGTTAGCAAAATTAAGAATATTTTTATTACACATTTGCATGGAGATCATTGTCTTGGACTCATTTCTGTTTTGACAATGTTGAGAAATGAAAACACAATTAATATTTATGGCCCCGAGGGAATTTATCGCTTTTTGAAAAATAACATCAATTCAACGTTCTCCAAGAGGATGGCGAAATTTTTTGTTTACGAGATGAAGACAGGGATGAGCACTGGTGGGGGAGCAGTAGGAGTAGGAGGAGGAGGCAGCGGATCTGTTTCTATCACGTCAAGTAGACAAGAGACACCTTCTGACACAGGGAATATGCAGAGGAAGAAGCGTGTGGATACAGAGTACATTTTTCAAAATGAAGAAAAAGTATATCCAATACTTAAAAACGAATTTTTAGAGATTTTAGGATTTCCCATAAAACATACAGTACCTACCATCGGGTATGTAATAAAAGAGTTAAAAGCAGAAAGTAAATTTAATGCATCTTACATCAATGAATTAATTAAGAAAAATTATGATAAACTGAAAGAATGTGAACGATTGGAATTTCTTCCATATAAGATTTATGAAAATATAATTCGAAAAATGAATGTAGGTGATGTAGTTGAACTTCCAGATAAAACACAGCTTTCGTTTAAAAATGCATACAAAGAAGTGTATAAGGAAAGAAAAATAGTAGTATGTCAAGACACTTATGATGCATCTAGTTTAGAAAATTTTGCAAAAGATGCAGATGTATTGATTCACGAAGCAACAAATAGCTTAATAGATTTAAACGACCAAAGTATTGGTGCACTTGATACGCCCTGTGAAGAAAATGTGAAAAAGACATTCGGGAAGAACCAGCATCATCAGATACATGTAAGAAGAAAAGAAAATATCCCTCAAGGAAATAAAGATGGCCAACTTAATTGTAGCATAAGTGATGCGAGCATGTTTATGTCTATGGCAATTGACTATCAGACAAGTGAAAATTTCTCACGTGAGAAATGTGACAAAAAAGAGACACCTACAAATAGAGATGGAAAAGACACGATGAATTCTATGAACGACGAACATGTTGTACTGTCCAAGGGTGAAAAGACAAATTCCAATAATGTAAACCAGATGAAGAGTCCACAAGAGAATAGTTTATGCTACTCACAAATGAATAAACGGTTAGTAAAAAACTGGTACAATAAAATTATTTCAGAACGAGGCCATTCAACAGCTAACATGGCAGGTGAGTTCGCGAAAAAAATCAATGCAAAGAAACTTATTTTGACTCATTTTTCACAAAGATACATTGGAGACAATAAGTTAAAGAATGTGCTTATTATGAGAAAAATCGAGCGGGAAGCACAAGAACCGATGGAATCAAGGGATATATTGGAACCAATTGAACCTGAACCTTTTCTAGGAAATAACTCTCATGGGAGAAGAGAAAATATAGTTGACAACAAAGATAGTATATCCAAAAGGTCTGATAAAAGACACACTGTTATCGCTGCATATGATGGTTTAATTGTACATATTCCTCCACAAATGATAAAGTAAGTTTCACATTGTGTTCAGGCCGGGCAGCAGAACCAGTCTTGCATGTGGAAGAAGTGGAAACGTATATATGTATATGCATACATATGCATATACATACATATACATTTGCATATACATACATATACATTTGCATATACATACATACATGTATATATTTTGATAGAAACTTAAACGGAGATAAGTTTAGTTGAAGAGAAATGTTAAAGCGTGCTGTTCGGACCTACTTGTGGTACATATTAGACGACAAGGCTGATCCCCGGGTACCCTTTTGCATCCTAGTCAAATGTCAACTGATTGGACATATTTCTACTTTTTTTTTTTTTTTTTTTTTTTCTCATCTGCTTTTATTTCTTTACTGGTTTAGGGCGATGAAAAAGATATGGTGGAAAAATGAGAGGGATAAACCATGTCGCTAAAAATTTTTACACCAAAAATTGATGAATAAAAGGGGGACTGTGTGTGTGTGTGTGTGTGTGTGTTTGTGTGTGTGTATGTGTGTGTGTGTGTTTGTGTGTGTGTTTGTGTGTGTGTGTGTGTGGTGAAACATAGTTAACTCAAATGGACGTGTGAGGTACGAATGAATACACACCTGGAAGTTTTGTGAAATTCATATATTATCTATCTGTGTGTACATGTTTGAGATATCCATTTCTACCGTTGACAGTTGGCAATGCTTCACATTGCCACATTCTTTTTTTTTTTTTTTTTTTTTTTTTTTTCGTTTATGGATTGGCTCATTTGGTTATTTTTTTTTTTTTTTTTTTTTTTTTTTTTTTTTTTTTTTTTTTTTTTTTTCTTATTCTTTTCTTTTAAATTAACATTTGTACACAAGATTCCATCTCACCGCTTACATTTTTACTTTGATGATATAAAGGTTTGTAGAATGGGCATAATCGGAACATGCAGATTTCTGTGATTATTGTGAATTCGTCGTTTTTTTCTATATTTTTTAAAATGGAAGGAAGCAAAAAAAAAAAAAAAAAAAAAAAAATGTTCTCCATATTTTTATGCTACGTACGTGAATAAGAAAGTGCGAAAAACAAAGTAATCAAAAATGAAGCGATTAAAAATAAAACACAAATCTTTTTGCTGTTTCATGCAATGCAGCAAAGCATACGTAAGACCACACAACTGTGAGTTCAAAGTTTCGTTTCATTTGCTTTGGGCATATAGCCCCATGCCATATAAGTGTGCTTTTCCAATTGTATACAATTTCTGCACGTTCTAACATTGCAGTAATGAGATATGTGCAAGTGTGTATCTGCACTTTTGTATTTGTGAAAGAAAAAAAAAAAAAAAAAAAAAAAAAAGAGGATGCGGATGCGGATGCAAAAATGGGGTGGGGAGAGGGGAGTGAAATGTACGGAAAATAAAGAGCAATTAGGAAATAAAAAAAAAAATAGCAAAAAGGTAAAAAAAGAAAGCAATTTTTAGCAGCAAGAAAAAAAAAAAAAAAAAAAAAGGAAACAATTTTTAGTAGTAAAATTGTAAAATATAAAAAAGCACCGAAAGGGGGGGTACACAGCACAAGGAAATCATTAGCATATAAAGTGAAAAAGTTATGAAAATGTTATGAAAAAGTTATGAAAAAGTTATGAAAATGTTATGAAAAAGTTATGAAAAAGTTATGAAAAAGTTATGAAAAAGTTATGAAAATGTTATGAAAATGTTATGAAAAAATGATGAAAAAATGATGAAAAAATGATGAAAAAATGATAAAAAAATTAGTTGTATTCTTTTCACCTCTTTTTCACTATGAAGACAAAAAATAAAAAAAATGCAAAAGCTCCCCGTTCACAGGTGAACAAAACACACATGAATTTCTGCAGCAACACTTTTTCATTCTTCACGTTTTGACATCCACACCCCCTCTCCAAAAAAGAAAAAAATATTAAAAACCACAAGCTTTTAAAGTTTTTTGTATATGTATTTGCTGAGAATAGGAAAACTACATTTTGTGCATTTTGATTCTCATAATTTTATACAAAAAAAAAAAAAAAAAAAAAAAAAAAAAAAAAAAAAAAAAACTTTTTTCATTAAATTTTATTAGTTTAAATTAAAAAAAAAAAAAAAAAAAAAAAAAAACAACAAGTTTTTAAATTTTTTTTATTTTTTTTTGGTGAAAAAAGAAAAAAAAATTTTTGGAATTTTTATTTTCAAAATTTTAAAAAAAAAAAAAAAAAAAAAAAAAAAAAAAAAAAAAAAAAAAACGTTTTCCCATTAAATTGTAGTTAATTGGATATGAAGAACAAATGAAAAAACACATACACACATATAAGCAGTTCCGTGGAAATTCTGCGCATAACACAAAATAGGAAAGAAAGAAGGCAGAAAAAAACAACCAATCATCGGTGGGATAATTGGTTCGATAATTGGTGGAAAAATCTGATGTTGGCATTTGGAAGTGCATACAGTAGAATGCTGAAGCTATGTTTTTTTTTTTTTTTTTTTTTCACATTTTGATTTATAGCAGCTAGGAGAAGATAATCCAACAATTTACACTACATACATGTGGTAGTGCTCTTCTAAGTTACAATTTAAGAAGTAGAGGAAAGGCAAAAAAAAAAAAAAAAAAAAAAAAAAAAAAAAATATCCAAAGAATAGCAAGTTGCTTTTCCTTCCTTCTTTATTTCTTTTTTTTTTTTTTTTTTGCAAATAGTACAAGTATTACACACATTAGCAAGGACAGACATATGTAAACCAATAGGTTAACATCTGGATTGTTGCAAGGTGTAAGCGAACATTTTGAAAAAAAAAAAAAAGTCTCTGCACATTGGACTAGTGGCATATTTGTCTAAAATAATGTCAGAGGATAATGTCAAAATGGACATTAATGATATTAAAAATAATGATAATGAGGTGAAGGTTAGAGACGAGTATGAAAGAAAGAATGACGATGAAATTAATGAAAGAGGGAATTCACTCCTAAGTGTGGATGATTACGGTTTTTTAAAAGATGATAAATTTGACGAAAATGAATTTATGGAATTAGATAAAGATTTAGAAAAAATGAAAAATATAGGAGACTTAAAAGAAATGACAAGTGATGAATTTAGAAATTTTTTAAATGAAGATGATGATATTGCGAATCACGGGATGGGTGATGAAAGCCTTAACGCTGTGAAGGATAACCAAAATGAAAACGGACATTTAAGGAACTCAAAAAAGAAGAATCTGTCTACATATTCAAAAATGAGTTTACTGAATGATGATTTTCTCTTAAGAGAGGAATTATATTTTAATAATTTAAATTCCAAATCAAGCAGAAAAAGAGACAGTCATTTATCTCTTGGAAATGTCAGAAATTCGTCCATTTTCAATTTGAGTGCATCATATGATAATGGTAAGAATTCATCTCACAATTATAATTCGGGTGGAAATGACAGGTTCAATACATCTCTTTCTAAAACTGACAATGCTTACGACAGTGATTTGATAACTCCGTCTCCATCTAAGGTGAATGGAAGAGATAACTCAGAAGTTGCGAGGGAGCACGTAGACTGTGAAAAAAAGGACAACCAGTTAGGTAATCCGCTAGATAATCAGCTGGATAATCAGGTAGATAATCAGCTGGATAATTCGCTAGATAATCCGCTAGATAATCAGGTAGATAATCGAGGAAAAAGAAGATCCATTGACATTTTAGAAGAAGAATTAAATAAGCTGAAGAGAGGATTTCTTCTGAACAAAGGGCGTTATGATTCAGGAAATGCCTCTGTTACTGCTGGTGGTGAGAACTGCCATATGAGCGACAAATCAAATGATGAATTTTTGGGAGGAGGGTATGCAAGCGATTCAGAATTTTTAAAAAGAACATCGCTAGATAAGAAAGTGAGTGTGGATATGAATTTTGGAAATGATGATTCGTTAAACAATAGCAGATTATCTAATGGTTCTTTTTCATACTGGGAAAATAAAATAAGTACATCACGAAAATTAAAAATAAATAATGAAACTCCCAAAAAAGGAATATTAAAACAGAGCAATTCTTTTTCGCCTATAAAAGAATTAAATGATAATATTAGTGCACGAAAAAAGTCGGTGCAATTTTCACACAGATCTATAGCTGTTTTTGATGATAAGGAGAAAATATCTCCCTTACATTTGACTCAGTTTACGAGAATATCTAGCGATTCGAACAAATCAGAAATGAAACGCAAAAGTGTATCATCTAATGATTCTAATGGGATCAAAGAAAACAATGATGCATTTCATGAAAATTTTTTAAGGAACATAGATAAATCACCAATTGATAAGCTTCTCTACAAGTATGATAATCTTAACACTGTGGAGAGAAACACAACAAGTTATGGAATCAACTCTATTAATACATCTAACGTCGGCATGAGGAGAACATCCTCTGAATCTGTTAGATTTAAAGCGAAGATATCTGTGGATAATATTGAATCAGCACGTCTATCCCCAATTAAGAATAGACCCAAAACAATGAATGAGTGTAGTGACAATGGAAAGGGTCTACATGTTCGTAATAAGGAGAGCAATTGTGAAGATGATGATGTTCTACACAGATTGCTTACAACCGATATTGAAAACATAAAAGAGGATGATTTTTTGAATTTTAATTTACTGAGCAACTCCCATGACTTTAAGACTTATGAGAAAGAAATAGGGGATGGTTCCAAAGAAGAATCCAAGGAAGTGAATGTCAATACCGATACAAATGAAGAAAAAAGATTATTATATTTAGAGAAAGAAAAAACTGAACTCAAAGTGGATCTGATTAGTAAAGAGAAAAATATGGATTGCAGCGATGTGTTTTATGAATGTAATGACAACCCCACTTCGATAGAAAAGAAAGGAACAATTGTGTCTAACAATGAATGTGCTAAAAACTTATATAATATAAAAGGTGAAAATGAAAGAAACAGAACGGATGAAGAAAGGAAAAAGAAAAACTTTTCAAATGAAAGTAAATCAAACCTGGGTGAAGCATCCGTGCGAGATGACAAGGGACTGTCTGATGAAAATTCGCTTCCAAATGAAAAGGATCTACCTAGTGAAAATATCATAATATCATATAGAAATTCTAATTATAGACAAAACGGAACAGAAAAAACAATGAATAAGGAGGAGGAAAAAAATGATTCTGAACAAGGCAAGGCAAATATGAATACAAATGCATCTACTAGCAATACATCAAAGGGACATAATTTGGAAGGAGACACGTACGACACTAGTAAGAAAACGAATGAAACGAGTCGTGAAGATATTTTTAAACATTTCGATCAAGGTAAAAATGTTATGCAGAGAAAAACCATAAACATTGGTGCCAATACTTCTACTCAGCAGAAAAACAATTCAAACTTAAATGAGAACGATTCTAATGTTGCAAAAAAGGTAAACAGAAGGGCTAGTTACAGTGTTAATGTGGATGTCTCGAAGAATTCATCATCACACGTTAGGTTTAGAGATAGGAAGAGTTTAAATGAGAAGGGAGAATCAAATGAAAAAAATGTTTATACAAGGAATGGCGAAACTGTTGCCAATAAAAAGGTGCCACATTCAGAATCAAACAACATGAACAGTACAGACATTTGCGAGAGTAGTAAAATCAATAGAGACAATTTTGAATCCAAGACGGGTGAGGAAAATGAGGAGAAGGAGTTCCAAGTGAGGGAAGACAATGGAGTGAACGAAACACACATGCATGGAAAGGACGACAGGGCCATGAGACATCAAGGCAGATACACACATATTGGGCAGAGAACTATGAGTAAGGGGTCTAGTGAAGACATGCATGAATTTTGCAATCAAGGGAAAGCAAACTCGGATGAAGGAAATTGTAAGAAGTATGTGTGTGATGATGATAGGTATGCATATGGAGAAGCAAATGTGGAGGAAGAGGCAGACTGGAGGGAAGAAGCAGATTGGAGGGAAGAAGCAGATTTGGAAAATGAAGCCAAGTGTAAAGAGGACTCAGGCGAATATAAGGAAGACCAATTAGAGGGAGAAAATTTTTTTCGAAGCGATGAAATGGCATATTGCAATGAATATATGGACATGAAAGAAGAAGAGGAATACCATTCTGAAGAAATTGGTGAGGTGATGGATGAGGGAACAGTGGGATTTGCAGGGAATGAGAAGGAAGGGAAGAATGTTTTTGAGGAGAGAAAACATATGGAAGAAATAAAAGAAAGAAGAAAGGAAGAAAATGAGAAATTGCAAAGAAAGTTAAGTGAGAATCTGTTAAAAAAACAAGAAATGATTAAAGAAATGACATTGAACATAGTTCGAAGATGCAGAATTTATGCATTAAAAGAGATAAATAATAATAAAAAGAGTTTAAACAATCTGATGAAATTGTATGAAAATATTCGTAATATGATATTCAAATTTATAGGAAAAATGAATCATCTTAATAATGTAAGTGTGAAATTGGATGATGCAATTTTAAAATATGAAATTATTCAGCTAAGATATAGTAAGACAAAGAAGGCAATTGAGACATTGAAAAAATATAATCTGAAAATTGAAAACAAAATAAATGAGAAAAAAATTTTACTATCAAAACAGGAGCTCGTTCTGAATAAGAAAAAACAAAAAATTGAATTAATTACAAAAGAGTTAAATAATTTAAAAAATATATATGACAATGGATCTACTAGAAAACAAGAAATTCATCTGATAAATGTTTACAAGAAGAAAATGGAAGAATTAAAAAGTATTGAAATTGTTAAAGGCTTTTTTATTAAAAATTTTAATAAGTATGGGATCAATTTTGAGTTGCTAAATTTTAATTATTACAATTTTGCCACGTTGTATGATTACAATAATGTCGATTCACTTTTCACTCGTGAAACTGATTCAATGAATTTTATGGGGGCCAATCTGAATAGTAAGAAAAATTGGAACGAACATAACAATTATCAGGAAGAAGAGAATAAAAAAGGAACCATTTGTGAAAGAAAGGAAAATGGAAAAGAAGAAAAGGAAATGATTCTCATGAGCATTGTAAATGATGGAAGAGCAGGAACCGATTCCATTGCCAATGCCATTGCCAACGTAAATGCCAATGCCAATGTCAATGCAGCAGGATCGATTGGATTTTCTCGTGATGAATACTACCAAT